GTTCTCAAGATACAAGATCATTTCTTAATTATGTTAAATTGTACGGTACTTTCTTAAATATTGACGTTTTTATAGATATAAGCTCATCCCGATGTTACACTTATCAAGAGCTTTCATTTGAGTACCCACATGCATTTTGATATATTTTTCATACATACATATATATAATATATATATAAATATATTTAAAAAAATTGATGTGGGCACTCAAATGAAAGGTCTCGATAATTGTAATGTCGGGATAAACTTATATCTTTAAAAATGTCAATAGTTCTCAAGATACAAGGTCATTTCTTAATTATGTATCTAGAGATAGAGCAATTTTGAATGCTGCCTAAATACTTATCATAATAAATTAACTATCGGTGAGAATAAAACCTTGAAAAGGCATAAATTCAAGTCAAGACCTTTGCAATGACACTAAATTTTACTAAAAAAAACCGATTTTATCATATGACTATCCTAGACACAAAATTTTTCTTATTCTCTTAATTAATAATATAGATAAATTTAATTAAGTACTAAAGTAAATAAAAACTATCAAAATTTTTTTCATATAGAAAATTTTAATAAAAAAATAATTACTTAAATTTTAAATTTATTTTAGCGCTTCTTACATAACTATGTACAAGATTTAGTTTTAAAAATAAAAAAATAACATTTTCAATAAATGATCACGTGCCATTAAGCGCCGATCTCCCAACGACTTTTGGCATCTTTTTATTTGTCGAATCTTCAAGTTCCTTTGGCTTGTAATAGTGAGGAGCGACCTCGGCTAGCCAGGAACTTTCGATTTCCGTCACTTGCCTCATATACTCCTTGGCAGTGACGACAAGTTCGTGGTAAACGATCCACCGAGGTAGCTCCTGGAACAAAGAGCTGTTCGGATGAATGGACACAGTCTGGTTATGCTTGACTGTCTTGTAATTTCCGCTCTTCGACAGTCTAGCAACGTGGTAAAAATACCCAGCAGTGATAGATTTTCTAATAGCAACAGTGTCGGAGATCCCAGAAATTATATCCATCTCCACTCGCTGCATCAGTCCTACGAGCTGTTCTCTGACATCCCTAGCTCTTTTCATCGACTTGTACTGAATAAAGTTCTCGTAACACCAATGAGTACTGAACTCTGATTGCTGCCACTGGTTATAGACATTTAGAAGCGTCAGATGATCTCCTCCAGGTACGTGGAAATTTTTCTTCGCCGTATCCGCGTAAATTATCTTATCTTTAGGCCGGAAGAAAACTGCTCCCGTAACTGATAACATTGCCGCAATCGTAGCGATTTCCTCGGAGCATTTGTACTTCTCGCTCGCAAGCAGCATCTTCGCCATCATCGGGTCTAGTGGAAACTCTGCCATCCTGCGACCAAGCTTCGTCATCTCTCCCTTGTGGTTTATTGCTCCCAGAGCGTACAGCTGTTCCAAAGCAAGCACCAATATTTCGGACGGAGGTGGGTCTAAATAGTCAAAATTTACTACGTCGTTAATTCCCAGAGCTTTCAAAGTCAACACTGCGTTTCCAAGATTTATTCTTTGAATCTCCGGGATAGTATTGTCCTCTAGTTCATGTTGATAAGCCCAAGCGGTGTAAAGACGGAAGCATTTTCCTGGAGCAACTCGACCAGCTCTTCCTGCGCGCTAGAAGAAAAAAAAAATTATTTTTATTTTTTGTATTTAATATTTTCATAATTTTTTAATTAAGAAAAATATTTAATAATAATAATGATAATATTCATAAGAATAATAATAAGCAGCTTGACTGGGATTATTATAGTAAACAAAAAAAAAAATTTTTTTTAATCATTAAAAGTATGAAACTATTAAAAAAAATTTTGTTGAACCCTGAATAATAATAATAATGATACATATTATCAATCTTATTAAGAGAACAAAAAAAATTTTGTGTCCGAGATAGTCATATGATAAAATTTGAATTTGTGCCTTTTCAGGGATTCATATCATTCTCACCGATAGTTAATTTATTATGAGAAGTATTTTAGACTGCATTCGAAAATGCTCTATATGCTGAATACATAATTAAGAAATGACCTTGTATGTTGTGAACTATTAACATTTTTAAAGATATAAGCTCATCCCGATGGTACACTCATCGAGACCTTTCATTTGAGTACCCACATCTATTTTTAATATATTTATATATATTATATATATGTATATATGAAAAATATATCAAAAATGCATGTGGGTACTCAAATGAAAGCTCTTGATAAGTATAACATCAGGATGAGTTTATATCTTTAAAATTGTCAATATTTAAGAAAATACAGTGCAATTTACCAAAAGTCATTATTTAATAAAGTAAAATGTTAATTTTTTATAGATCATAAGTCACGGCAGTCACATAGTGACTGCAAGATTGCTAGTTTTCATTATTATCATTATTATTATTATTATTATTATTATTAACTTGAAATTTTTGTTAGATGATAATAATAATAATAAAATCTTACCTGATTAGCCGACGCTTTGCTGATAGGAACTGTAATCAAGCTCTCCATTCCCGTCCGTGCATTGAAGTGATTTTGCTTCGCATACCCAACATCAATAACATAAACAATATTGTCTATCGTCAGCGACGTCTCTGCAATATTAGTAGCTAGAACAACCTTCCGAGAATTAGGTGGTGTCGGCTGGAAAATTTTAATCTGCATTTCACTGGGAAGATTGGCGTAAACTGGTGTAATAATCAACTCGCTCATTTTCAGCCGCATTGTTCTTTCTTGAAGAATTTCCTGACAAGTCTCAATATCATCTTGACCTGTAAGAAAGACTAGAATATCTCCACGCGGCTGAGTCGCATGGATCTGTAAAATCGAAACAACACAAGCATCAATGTAGTCAGCCTCTGGTGCTTTTGTGTAGTAAATATCGACTTTGTAGCGTCGACCAGGAATCCGGAATATTGGAGCGTCGTCGAAAAATTCGCTGAACTTCTTGGCGTCTAAAGTTGCCGATGATATGAGAAGCTTCAGGTCTTTCCGTTCACGCGCTATGTCTTTGACAAGTCCAAAAAGGATGTCAGTGTGTAGCGTACGCTCGTGAGCCTCGTCGATTATTATGACACTGTAAGTGTCAAGAGTTGGATCGCTGAGAAACTCACGGTGCATCGTACCGTCAGTCATGTATTTTATTTTTGTACGTTGTGATGTACAATCCTCGAACCTGATGGCATACCCGACTTCATTGCCAAGTTTGACAGCCATCTCATGAGCGACTCTTGCAGCAACGGACATCGCAGCGACTCTTCTGGGCTTTAATAAAAAAATAAAAAAAAAAAACAAAATTATTTAATTTTATTCATGATTTTTTTTTTTAGAAGAAATCTTATATAGAATTATGGTAAATATTAACAAGTGGGGTTAATGATTTTAATTTTTATTTTTGTTAACGAAATTTCTATTTGATTTTATTGACATATTTTTTTTTTTAAAAATACATAAAAACATGAAAAATTTTTTTAAAAAGTTGATTATCACAATTTTAACAAATTTAAAAATTTTTTAGAAAATTGTGATATTTAACTTTTTTTTTTATTGTTTGTTTTTTTTTATGTATTTAAAAAAAATATATCAAAAACATTAAAAAAAAGATAAAATAGAAATTTTATCCAAAAGTATGAGAGCCAAAATTTTTTCCAACTTTTGAAAGCAAAAAAGCTATCAAAATCTTTATTTTTTTCTCTCACGTCATTTTTTATTATAAATGCGCCGTAAAAACAAGCAGAATAAAAAAAAATTAAAAAATTTTAATTTTTCACCTAGATATGGCCAAAAATAGGGTGGACCGGACCCCACTTGTAAATAAGTACCTAATAATAATAACACTTTAGATTTAAAAAATTATTATTATTATTATTATTAACTTAAATTTTTTGAATAATAAAATTAATAATAATAATAATTTACCTGTGTACACCCAATCTTTTTATCGCCTTTTGTGAACCCAGCTTCATGTAAATACTGTGGAATCTGCGTAGTTTTACCAGACCCTGTTTCTCCCTCGATAATGAGCACCTGGTGCTCCTTTATGGCTTCGATAAGTTCTCTCTTAAAAGGATAAATAGGCAAACTCCTCTGAGTTTCTTGAATTGACTGCAATTTATTGTTCTCGACTGTTCTACTAGCTTCTTCCTCGTCTTCCCTCTTGATCTTGTCAGATCCAGGCATCTGAAGCGCTTGAATAAACTCTATTTCATCATCCAGCAGCAGCTCATGGTCCTCAGTGCGCTTTTTGTCCTTAGCTCCAAATTTATAAACAGCAGAACCCATCTGCTGGGATTCCCACCTACTCTGCTCAGAAATAGGAGCCTCATTCTCAGTGAGATCGACTACCGTGTCATCTTTCTCACCCTTTCCTTTGGCCTCAGGCATATGGTACCTCTGGACACGTTCAAGATTCCGCGCTTTTTCATGCTCGTTCGCCAGCACCAGTAACTGCTTTTTGTGCTCCAGTGCCCTTTTCTCCGACTCCGTCAACGTTTCCTCGTCGAAGAGATACTCGTCGTCGATTATGTCGGCCTCCAACTCGGCAACTTTGTCTGCTTTACGTTTCTCTAGATACTGCCGACGCGAGGCCTTCCTGAGCTCCGGTAGAAGCTTGTCGCGGGACTCAGTCTCCATTAACTTCAGCCGTTTGGCAGCTTCTGCTGTCGAGCCCGCAGGCATCGCAATTTTACGCGTCTTTGCTTCATCTTTCCGGAGAAGACGTTCTGCGAATTCATCACGTTCTTTGATGTCCCTCCGGGTTTCTTCCTCCGAGTCACTTTCGTCGGAAGACTGTTTCTCTCTTTTTCTGTACTTACTCATTTTTTTGCTGAAATTTTTATTGATTAATTAATTATTTGATTTGTAAAAATACTATAATACTAAAATAAGAAAATAATGGTAGCAAACATCTGACAGCTTTTAGAATTTTTCTTATTGAAAAATTTATAACAAAAAAATTTTTTTTAAATTCCACATGAAGAAAATTTAATAATCATGCAATTTTTTTTTGTTCTAATTTAACTAATGAAAAAAATTGTTAAATGTCTACTAATTTCACTATCATTACTGAAATTAGCAGACATCTGATAATTTTTGAAATTTTTTTTAATTTCTACACGTGGAATTTTTTTTTTAATAATTTAATTGTTACAAAAGTCTAAAAAATTTTAAATGTAAAAATTGTCAGTTGATTTCAGTGTCATAAAAAATTGTATATGTGAAACGAATAACTTACGTTTGTTTATTTTGATTATTATTAGGTTAACTCAGTAATTTTACTTTTTACTATTAAGAAAAGTATTGTTACTACTTTCAAATTTGTTTTTTTCAATACAATAAATTTATTTATTTTTTTAATCGCTTAAAAATTATTAGTTCACTCTAAACAAGTCTTTACTATTTTGAAAATAGGTTATGATTGGTAGAAGTACTTCTACCCTCCATCGATCACAGCGCTACAATCTGCCATCTATAAATATATGAAAACTAAAATTTCGCGCGCACCAAAATGATTATTCAAAATACAAGTATTTTGAATTACAACAAAATACGTATTATGATCCCGAACCGATACACGGCATCCCTATGAGAGAAGCTGTTGAGTATTTACCTAAATTCGCCTACCACCACGTCATCATCTTATGGTCTTTTGATGTCAACTTACCTCCCCGCGGGGAAGCGGGGGTTTGATTTATCACGTGATCACCTGTAAGCGCGGCAACTGCCGCGTCTCTCGTCATAGCGGCTCTCATCAGTAAGGACTCCACCGGGATGCCGTGTATCGGTTCGGGATCATAATACGTATTTTGTTGTAATTCAAAATACTTGTATTTTGAATAATCATTTTGGTGCGCGCGAAATTTTAGTTTTCATATATTTATAGATGGCAGATTGTAGCGCTGTGATCGATGGAGGGTAGAAGTACTTCTACCAATCATAACCTATTTTCAAAATAGTAAAGACTTGTTTAGAGTGAACTAATAATTTTTAAGCGATTAAAAAAATAAATAAATTTATTGTATTGAAAAAAACAAATTTGAAAGTAGTAACAATACTTTTCTTAATAGTAAAAAGTAAAATTACTGAGTTAACCTAATAATAATCAAAATAAACAAACGTAAGTTATTCGTTTCACATATACAATTTTTTATGACACTGAAATCAACTGACAATTTTTACATTTAAAATTTTTTAGACTTTTGTAACAATTAAATTATTAAAAAAAAAATTCCACGTGTAGAAATTAAAAAAAATTTCAAAAATTATCAGATGTCTGCTAATTTCAGTAATGATAGTGAAATTAGTAGACATTTAACAATTTTTTTCATTAGTTAAATTAGAACAAAAAAAAATTGCATGATTATTAAATTTTCTTCATGTGGAATTTAAAAAAAATTTTTTTGTTATAAATTTTTCAATAAGAAAAATTCTAAAAGCTGTCAGATGTTTGCTACCATTATTTTCTTATTTTAGTATTATAGTATTTTTACAAATCAAATAATTAATTAATCAATAAAAATTTCAGCAAAAAAATGAGTAAGTACAGAAAAAGAGAGAAACAGTCTTCCGACGAAAGTGACTCGGAGGAAGAAACCCGGAGGGACATCAAAGAACGTGATGAATTCGCAGAACGTCTTCTCCGGAAAGATGAAGCAAAGACGCGTAAAATTGCGATGCCTGCGGGCTCGACAGCAGAAGCTGCCAAACGGCTGAAGTTAATGGAGACTGAGTCCCGCGACAAGCTTCTACCGGAGCTCAGGAAGGCCTCGCGTCGGCAGTATCTAGAGAAACGTAAAGCAGACAAAGTTGCCGAGTTGGAGGCCGACATAATCGACGACGAGTATCTCTTCGACGAGGAAACGTTGACGGAGTCGGAGAAAAGGGCACTGGAGCACAAAAAGCAGTTACTGGTGCTGGCGAACGAGCATGAAAAAGCGCGGAATCTTGAACGTGTCCAGAGGTACCATATGCCTGAGGCCAAAGGAAAGGGTGAGAAAGATGACACGGTAGTCGATCTCACTGAGAATGAGGCTCCTATTTCTGAGCAGAGTAGGTGGGAATCCCAGCAGATGGGTTCTGCTGTTTATAAATTTGGAGCTAAGGACAAAAAGCGCACTGAGGACCATGAGCTGCTGCTGGATGATGAAATAGAGTTTATTCAAGCGCTTCAGATGCCTGGATCTGACAAGATCAAGAGGGAAGACGAGGAAGAAGCTAGTAGAACAGTCGAGAACAATAAATTGCAGTCAATTCAAGAAACTCAGAGGAGTTTGCCTATTTATCCTTTTAAGAGAGAACTTATCGAAGCCATAAAGGAGCACCAGGTGCTCATTATCGAGGGAGAAACAGGGTCTGGTAAAACTACGCAGATTCCACAGTATTTACATGAAGCTGGGTTCACAAAAGGCGATAAAAAGATTGGGTGTACACAGGTAAATTATTATTATTATTAATTTTATTATTCAAAAAATTTAAGTTAATAATAATAATAATAATAATTTTTTAAATCTAAAGTGTTATTATTATTAGGTACTTATTTACAAGTGGGGTCCGGTCCACCCTATTTTTGGCCATATCTAGGTGAAAAATTAAAATTTTTTAATTTTTTTTTATTCTGCTTGTTTTTACGGCGCATTTATAATAAAAAATGACGTGAGAGAAAAAAATAAAGATTTTGATAGCTTTTTTGCTTTCAAAAGTTGGAAAAAATTTTGGCTCTCATACTTTTGGATAAAATTTCTATTTTATCTTTTTTTTAATGTTTTTGATATATTTTTTTTAAATACATAAAAAAAAACAAACAATAAAAAAAAAAGTTAAATATCACAATTTTCTAAAAAATTTTTAAATTTGTTAAAATTGTGATAATCAACTTTTTAAAAAAATTTTTCATGTTTTTATGTATTTTTAAAAAAAAAATATGTCAATAAAATCAAATAGAAATTTCGTTAACAAAAATAAAAATTAAAATCATTAACCCCACTTGTTAATATTTACCATAATTCTATATAAGATTTCTTCTAAAAAAAAAAATCATGAATAAAATTAAATAATTTTGTTTTTTTTTTTTATTTTTTTATTAAAGCCCAGAAGAGTCGCTGCGATGTCCGTTGCTGCAAGAGTCGCTCATGAGATGGCTGTCAAACTTGGCAATGAAGTCGGGTATGCCATCAGGTTCGAGGATTGTACATCACAACGTACAAAAATAAAATACATGACTGACGGTACGATGCACCGTGAGTTTCTCAGCGATCCAACTCTTGACACTTACAGTGTCATAATAATCGACGAGGCTCACGAGCGTACGCTACACACTGACATCCTTTTTGGACTTGTCAAAGACATAGCGCGTGAACGGAAAGACCTGAAGCTTCTCATATCATCGGCAACTTTAGACGCCAAGAAGTTCAGCGAATTTTTCGACGACGCTCCAATATTCCGGATTCCTGGTCGACGCTACAAAGTCGATATTTACTACACAAAAGCACCAGAGGCTGACTACATTGATGCTTGTGTTGTTTCGATTTTACAGATCCATGCGACTCAGCCGCGTGGAGATATTCTAGTCTTTCTTACAGGTCAAGATGATATTGAGACTTGTCAGGAAATTCTTCAAGAAAGAACAATGCGGCTGAAAATGAGCGAGTTGATTATTACACCAGTTTACGCCAATCTTCCCAGTGAAATGCAGATTAAAATTTTCCAGCCGACACCACCTAATTCTCGGAAGGTTGTTCTAGCTACTAATATTGCAGAGACGTCGCTGACGATAGACAATATTGTTTATGTTATTGATGTTGGGTATGCGAAGCAAAATCACTTCAATGCACGGACGGGAATGGAGAGCTTGATTACAGTTCCTATCAGCAAAGCGTCGGCTAATCAGGTAAGATTTTATTATTATTATTATCATCTAACAAAAATTTCAAGTTAATAATAATAATAATAATAATAATAATGATAATAATGAAAACTAGCAATCTTGCAGTCACTATGTGACTGCCGTGACTTATGATCTATAAAAAATTAACATTTTACTTTATTAAATAATGACTTTTGGTAAATTGCACTGTATTTTCTTAAATATTGACAATTTTAAAGATATAAACTCATCCTGATGTTATACTTATCAAGAGCTTTCATTTGAGTACCCACATGCATTTTTGATATATTTTTCATATATACATATATATAATATATATAAATATATAAAAATATATGAAAAATTGATGTGGGTAAGATCGGAAGAGCGTCGAGTAGGGAAAGAGTGTAGATCTCGGTGGTCGCCGTATCATTAAAAAAAAAAATTGGCTCTAGAAAAGTCCTGCTTGGGCTTAAAGTTAGAGTTATTACCTGGTTGACAAGGTGTTGTGCTGCTTCTAGCTTGGAATCCCTGTCTTGAGGGAGGTTGGAGTCTTGGTGGAGGGCTTAGCCATGATTGTACCCCCTCCCCCTAGAGAAGCTATTAGTGAAGTCAGCTCCTCCTTCGCAAAAAGAATTTCAGAGCTTAGTGGGATCTTCCTTGGGGCCACCTGGACATTTTTTACTGGGATTTCTGCCAAGATTCGTTCTCTCCTGTTTTCGATGCATTCAGCTCTCTTTCTACGAATTGCCTGAAAAGCTTGTTCAAAATAATTAAAAATTGTTGAGCCTGCACCGAAAGTGTCAGTTACTACCTTGGCGAGGTCCTCTTTAGCGAAAACTGCCTGATTATCTATTATCCAGTCAATAGAATCGGCAAGAATATACTTAATATCTCTCTGATCTAGAAGGATATGTCAGTCCAGCCCTGACTCGGTCCGTGGCTAAAAAGGTGTCTTTACCTTTTTCAAGATAACCTAGTTAACTTTGAGTTCTGTGAACTCAGGGGTACGTACCAACTTTTTGAGCACCTCTGAGTATCTCACCTTCTTCCATTCGCTGGACTCGAAGTGTTGCAAAATGTGTACTTGACTCCTTCGTTCCTCCGTTGTCGCCTGAGAGATTTTCTTCTCGACAATAGTAGTCGAGCATTCACCTAACTCGAGTAGTGAGGCCAACTGGGGATCTTCGGTCTGCTTAGATGTAGCCTGCACTCCCTGGGGCAAAAAACTAGGCAAAAGATTAGTGAGAAAACTTAAGTGACTCCTCATGCTTTCTACGTCTTCCTCTAAACGTATCTTTCTTTTGCCGGGGGAGCTTCAGTCTGCTCGTCGTTTTCACTCATTTTTTTTTTTTTTTTTTGCTTCGTCTGGATTGACAAAAAAAATAATAAATTTACTTAAAAAACACTGTTTTCGTTTTAAATAATAGACACCGGAAAAAAAAAGACGTGTGTCAAGATGACGAAAACTCAACGCTATGACGAGAGTAGCGGCAGTTGCCGCGCTTACAGGTGATCACGTGATAAATCAAACCCCCGCTTCCTCGCGGGGAGGTAAGTTGACATCAAAAGACCATAAGATGACGTGGTGGTAGGCGAATTTAGGTAAATACTCAACAGCTTCTCTCATAGGGATGCCGTGTATCGGCTATAGGGGACATAATGTCATATTTAAAAGTAACCTAACCTATTTAATTATTGTTACCTAAAATAAGACATTTAACAATTTGTGTTATTATATTTGTTCAATGTTTGACTTGACAATTTCTAAAAATATCTTAATAAATTTTTCCTGTGGAATAAATTTATCATAATTTTTATTTTATATAAATTACTATAAAATTGTTTTATTATTTTTATAGATGATTTAAAAAAATAACAGGTAAAATTTTTCAATTTTATTTATGAGCACAATTGATAATACTGAAGTAAGCTGACAACTATCAATTTTTTAAATTTTTACTTATGGAATTTATGAAAATTAATTTAGCAGATATTTAATAATTTTAAAAATTTTTGTAACAAATAAATTATGGCAAAAAAAATTAGAGAAAAAAATTGACATATAGAAATTTAAAAAAATTAAAAATGCAATTTTTTAAAAATAATTTTTTGGAACAAATTTGTTTGTCAAAAAAATTTTTTAAATTGTCAAGTGACTGCTAACTTTAATGTCATATGGAATTTGTTTATTAAATTTTTTATGAAAATTAATTTAGTAAATATTTAATAATTTTTGAAAAAAATAAAATATGGCAAAAAAAAATTAGAAAACAAATTTGGTTGTTAAAAAAAATTAAAAAATGGTCAAGACTGCTCATTTAATATCATAAATTTTTTTAAAAATATTTTTATTGCTATATAATTCTGTGTCATATATCACAATTGACAAATATTTTGAACGTTATCATTATTTTTACTTTTAGAATAGAAGAATAACAATGTCGTCATTTAATTACAAGTGCAAGTGTAATGAGCCGGCAAAAAAAACAATTGTAAGAAAAGAAGGCCCAAATAAAGGTCGAGTATTTCATGCGTGTGCCAAAAAACCAGGCAGCAATTGCAAGTTTTTCAGGTGGGCTGACAAAAAATCAGCATCAAAATCGGAACATGATAATTTAGAAGAAAATTTACAAGAAAATAAAATAAATGTAAATGAAGGTAATTTAATCTGCGTTTGTGGAGAACTAGCTCGCAAGTATGTTAATTTATTAAATTTTATTAAAAGCTTTTGAGATTTATCATGCTAAAGTATACTCTAAAAGATTTGTAGTAAAAAAAGAAGGAGCCAACAAAGGCAGGTCCTTTTACGGGTGTTCGAGAGGTCAAGAAAGCGCTTGCGAATTTTTTCAATGGGCAAATATCGACGTTGCCGCCCGGAAACAACCTTCCGCCGTTCAACAACCTTCAGAAAATAATTTAGAGTGGGAATGGGATGAGGACGAGGATTGGGATAGGGACAGGGGTGACGATCAAAATAGACTCTACGATCAATACACCTCTGGAACGTTGAACTCTGTTGAGAACCAAGTCAGGTGTATTTGTGGTCAGCCAGCGCGATTGTGTGTATTGATTCACGTTAATTATTTTTTACCGATAGTTCAACAACACTTGACTTTACTTTATATTATTTATTTTTATTTTTTCTACCAGACAAACTGTGGAAAAAGACGGAGCGAACAAAGGCAGAGAGTTTTACACATGCTCCAAGGAGTCTCCTAAATCATGTGGGTTTTTTGATTGGGCGCAAGATTATTCTACTAGAAGCGCCGGCAGTATTCCAGCCAAAAAAAAACCCGCTCAACCTAAAAAAAAACTTGGTGATAAAAAATACGGTTCTCTTTTTTGATTTATTTAGATTTTATTGATACTACTTGAATATTCCATTGAAATATAAAGTTTAAATTATAATTTACAGTATTAACTGAATGTTTAATAACTAATATACAAATGAATAAAAAAATTAAAATTAGATGAGATAATTTTAAAACTCAATTCGTTTTTAAATTTATATTATAGTACACATATAGGTATTACTGAAAATATACATATGATTAAATTGCTATTTAATAAAGCAATCTCGATAGTCGTTTGGGGTTTCAATGATTAAAAAAATTTTATCTATAATGTTTACTTAATAATTAATTAAATTTAAATAATAATACATTCTTTAACAATCATCAGACCTCCACCGAACAATATTTCATATCAATACAACTCGTCACCATCATCATCTACAGCACAGCCAGACGCTTTCATCACATTCTCGTCGTAATCCTCATACCTCACATCTCAGCTCTTTTTTAATAAATTTTTTTTTTCACAAATACACAACGTTAATTAACCCGTTAAACGTGATTAATATTACGTTTACAAAAAGAGTAATTAGTTATATTGGGTTTGTTTTTTTTAAAATTTATTTTTTCGCGATTAGTAGCTGTTCAAACTTGGACAATCGCAAGTAATGTCCCCAAAACTTACACACGTATTTATATAATAAATATATATATGTGAGTATATATTATTATTATATATAGAATATACTAGTCGCAGGATCGTTAAAACGACTCGTTCAGGTACGTTTCAAGACATGTGCGACTTTCCAAATATGACGTAAGGTACTTACTACTGATACACTATTTATGTGATAGTAGACACGACGATTATCGATTTGTTTTTTTTTTTTTTTTTTTTTTTTTAATTTTCTTTTAAATTATTTATTTTGTTTCTTATCTAATGATGACATGTGGCGTATAAAACATATTTTATATTTATATATTTATAATTAATTATTATTTATATGATTAATATTATTTTAACTATTGGCCTTCATTTCAGTTAATCCATCACGTTTCCTTTTATTTAAAATTTACACTCATAGGCGAGTTTACGCTAGATTAAAAAATTACTAGCGCTTGTTTTTATTATTATTATTATTTTAGATGTTTGTATATTTTAAAACGACATTGTCGATTACAATTTTTTATTAATCATTTTGTTGATAAAACACTTCTCAGAAGTGGCCCCACAAAAATCCTGCCACAATTTTTTATCCCTTTAATTACATTATCGGTTCGCAAATACAATTATTATTATTATCATTATGTTTTTAATGAAATTTGTTATTGTTTTTCAATAAACAACTCGTGCGATTTAAATTGTCAGTAATTTTTTCAGCGGCCTAAAATTCGGTTTAAATTATCAAATTGAAATAAAAAATAATAATTCGTATTAATTATGAAATATTTAGTATCAACAACAATAACAATTATATCGATAATTATAATTATTGTTTTAATTTAAAAAACCGCGTGAATAAAAATTTGATTTATTTGTTTCTCATTTTCAGTCTGTACTCTCCTAGTTAATTAATATAACGCAGAGAACGTTAATTAATAAAAACAGTCTATCATTTTAAAAAAAAAAAAAAAAAAAAAAAAAATTAAGGAACATAATGTCTACACAAATAAAATACAGAGTAATCCGAAATACATAATATAAACATTATAATCAACATAACAATTAAATATCTGTGATATTTATTTAGTTGATTGATGACAAATTTAAACGCGGACTTTGTTATTATTTTTTTAGTTTTATGTTTTTTGTTATTAATTAACAAACCTTTCCCCAATTACTTGTTTCAGACGTAATGACATTGAATATCCTCCGAATACCATCAAAAGGGTAGCTTCCTTCCTCAGGTGGATGAATGTCATCCGTTACCAGCCAGTAAATCGATGGCGAATCAATAAACAAGTTAGTTATTATTACTCATATATTATGAGTATCAATCGATTGTTAAATCACAGGATAACGCAGCAACGACAGTAACGTTGTCGAGATGCGCCGGCGCTTGGTGGTGGTGTCATTGGTGCAAAGTACGCATGTACTTTAATATTTGGTAAATGTGACTAAAATTTTTTTTAAAACAATTAATAAAATAAAATTTAATTTTTACTTTATTAAACAAAGTTATTAATTACCCGAAGTCTACGTATGCCGGATCTAGTAATTAACTGGCAGTCGTAAAGCTCGATTCGTTCAAGATTATGGCACGCCTGCAGTAAATGATCTAGACTAGCATCCGTGATAAGAGGACAGTTGTCAAGCTCCAAAACCGCTAGATTTTCGGCAGCGCAGGGTGAAAGTGCCAGCTGCCGTATCCCCTCATCAGTTATTAACTCACAATGAGACAAACTCTGGAGAAAAATAAATAAAAGAATTTTTTTAGTACTATTTCTTTTAAATAACGAATAGCAAAAGCTATTTTTAAAATTGAAATGTACCAGTTTCTCAAGTCGTGGGCAACCCATTGCAAGATGAATGAGAGTGGCATCTGTGATGAGGGTGCACTCTTCTAGATCCATTTTCTCTAATAGCCTGCAGTTCTATAAAAAAATAAACACTAAATATAGTTTCATTCTGACTCCTATACTGCTGAATCGTTAGTAAAATTTTTTTTTATTTTAAAATTTATCTCAAGAGGAACTCTGTACTACTGAAAAGTTTATTAGCTCAAGTAGTTTGTTTAATTAATTATAAACAAATAAAATAAATAAATAAAACGTACTCGAGCGAGAGCCTGAAAACCAGCATCAGTAAAGTGAGTACATGCAACACACTCAAGAATACTGAGCAACGGACAGTGTTGTGCTAGCATCAGTAACGAAGCGTCTGTTAAATTTGAACAGTTTGATATACAAACATAGTGTAGTCGCGGGCAACGCTCGCTTAATTCTCTCACAGCGTCGTCAGTTATATTCTGAAATAAATTAATATTAAATAAAATTTAATTTAATAAAATATAAGTTTGTGTTTGTAATAAATGACAGCATAAATTACTCGGCACTCATGGAGATTGATTGCTTCGAGGTTTGGGCAGTAACGAGCGAGGCACTTTATGGCCCGATCAGTAAGCTGTCGGCAGCCCTTGCTTAGGAAACTCCTCAACTCCGGGCACCCACGTGCCAGTGCTTCGACCCCGTTATCCGTGAGCAGCTCACACCAAGACAGATTAATGTGAGTGAGCAGCCGACACCCGTCTGACAAGTCTTTTAGCGCAAGATCTGTTATCTCCGGACACGAGTCCAGGTTCAGACGCTGTAATTTTGAGCAGTGGCTGCTCAAAGCCGCGCAAGTTACGTCTGAGATTTTTTTGCACTGGCTTAAGTTAAGCTCCTCGATGTTGGGACAAGACTGGGCTAGGGTTTTCATTGAGTTGTTGCCGATACTCTGGCAACCGCGCAGGGACAGTTGACGAAGAAAACCTCCGCATCTTCTTGATATATTTTCTATCACTGGTCCCTAAAAAATTAATTTAATTAATTTAAATAATTATTTTTTTTGATAAAAAAATTTGTTTTTATTTTACCTCAACATCTCTTTGAAAATCAAATAAATCAATTCGTTGCCAATTGGATCCATCTAAAGCCAAAACGTTCCACGCTTTGCTTACTTGAGCACATCGACACAACGAGACTACATCAAGATATGATAGAATCCTTAATAGTAATTCCTTTGGCAGTTTTTTATTTATTTGCGCCTCGTCGTCATGAAATACCCATGTTAGCTATAAATAAATAATTATTGATAAATAGAAATATTAGTATTGGTATTTATTTTTGAAGGGGAACACCACTGTGAATTATTAATCAAATAATTTTATTTTTAGCATTTTATAGGGAGTTTTTTTTTTTTTTCTTCATACCCAAGTTAAAAAAATTTATATATAATTTCATACATAAAAATAGCTCTATACAATTGTATATAATTGTATAAAATTATAAATAATTCTATATAACATTATATATAACTATAAAAAAAAAATTATGATTATGTATAATTATACACACATATAAAATTTTAAATTGTTTATAATTATATATATAAATGACCCTATATAATTATAAATAATTTAATTATATATAATGTTGCAAATATCGCAAATAATAATGATACTAAAGCTTGCAGTCTTGACCGTTTTTTAATTTTTTTTTTTAAACAAAAAAATTTGTTTTAAAAAATTGTATTTTTATTTTTAATTTCTACATTTCAATTTTTTTTCCTAATTTTTTGCCATAATTTATTTGTTACAAAAATTCTAAAAATTATAAAATATCTGCTAAATTAATTTTCATCAAATAATATTGTATATAACTGTAAAAAAAAATGTATAAGATTATGTATAATTATATAGACTTATATAATTTTTTTAAATTGTATATATTTATAAATATGTATTTTTTTTTAACCGGGTATATTGATCACAGTGGCGTTTCCCTAAAAAATAATAAATAAAAAAAAACAATATCAGACATATAATATATAAATAATTACTATTATCATTATTATAATAATAAAATGATGATGTTGATGAGATAAAGATAAATAAAGCTAGCACGAGGATTGTAGGCCGATGATAAATACCAACCTGTACGCCAGAGGATTGTTTTTTCATATTACTCATCGAAATGTGAGCAATCGATGGGGACATATAGCAAGAGCTCGGAAGATATTCCTGGTTCTGGTGATGCTGGTGGTGCCGATCACAGCATTGCTGTTGACGCTGATGATGCTGATGATCATGTTGGTGATGATGGCGATGATGATGATCGTTATAATAGTAATAATAATTGTGGTAATGATGATAATAATGCTGATAGGGAAGATACTGTTGCTTCGACCACTGATTACCCGTCGTCGTCGATTGCTCCATCCTCTCAACTGTCTGGATCCCTTTATGCACTTTTATTTCATTTACTTTTTGCTACAACAACCCAAGTTTTTTTTCGTTCATTTAACCTTTTCCCGTCGGTTCCTTTAATTTGTTTTATTTTTAGCTTTTTTTTTTTATTTTGCCAAAAGTAATTGTGACGCAAACCCGTTATATTTTTTTATCATCCGTAAAAAGTAAATAAAAAAAAATAATTAATAAAAATAAACAGGCTTTTATTTCGGATGAAGATTTGCTTCGACGACTGCTTAGGGTTAATCGGTGGAAAGAAGACAATCAGTTTATATTTTATGCTAGGGTTACAAATATGATTAAAAAAATTTAATAAAAAATTTTGAGTTTAATTTTATAAATTTATTATTTGATTTTATTTTAAATATTGCAAAAAATTATTTATTTTAATTTATAATGACCTAAGTGAATTTTTAATTTTGGTGTAAATTTCATCATGTAATTTTTGGTATTTTTATTTTTTTTTAATTTTTAAAATTTGAAATAAATTTTTAATTTAATTAAAACTTTTGTATAAAAATTAAATATGATATTGTTTTTTTAAGCAGCACAATAATAAAAAAAAAATAAAAAAAGTTTTTTAAAAAATTAAAATTTTTAATGACCAAATTGAATTTTTTTTTTATAATTTTCAAAACTTTAAATAAAATTTTTAATTTAATTAAAAAATTATATTAAAATTTTTGTATAAAAATTAAATATGATTTTTTCAAGTAGCACAATAAAAAAAAAAATCTTTTAAAAATTAAATTTAAAAATGAAACAGCTGATTGTTGATTCAAATAAAAATACTTTTCACCCAAACAAACCACGTTAAAATAATAATTAAAAAAAAAAAACTCAAAATTTTTCACTGTCCAAAAACAATAACACGACTACTGAACCGTGCAAAAATATTATTGATAAAAATATCCCCATGAACAAAAAGACTCATTGAGAAGACTATTTTCGCACAGGTACAGTTGTCATGCGACCAAAATAAAAGGTCAACGGCAAAATTGATTGATTTTATCTCCAAGCAGTGCTCCCATGGCAATAGTTCATTACTAAGCGTAATTGGAATAATAATGACAATGATCATGATAATGCGTATGATTGTGATAGTGATTATGATTATGGCAATATGATAATGAGAAATGATCACAAGATAATAAAGATAAATGATGGCAGTGCGACTCGACTCTCACTCAGATGTAAGAGAATACACAGAGTCAGCTGTTCGCCTCGACGAATGACAACACAACATCGAGCGATCAACATTGAGACACAGGACTCCTTTTGAATAACATTATTCAGCACATGCAAGTGGACATAATCTTCATGTGTGCACCTACACAATTTTATAAACTTTATATGCGATTATTCCTTTCTCTAAAAGCATAACATTATCTATTTTTTATTATTATTTTTTTCTCCTTTTCAATTTTTACACTTTTCAGGGCTTTGTCTTTGTCATCCGTTGTCTCCAACTCCTACCGAATGTACATAATAAAACAATGTAACAAATCCACTAATAAAAAATAATACAACAATAATAAATAACAATTATTATTATTATTATTATTATTATTATTATTATTATTATAAAAAAAATAACACTAAAAATATTAAATAAATAAATAAAATAATAATAATACTAACAAGTCGTAGAGTATTAGAATAGTAATAATAATAATTGAAGACAATAAAAAATACTTGCCTCGAGTCTCGTACGCCCCGAATGGATCATCCTTTTCCTTCGCGTTATTTTGACTCTATTTACGGGTATAACCCGTCCAGTTAATTGTCTAAAACAAAGTTATTAAATAAAATCTTTTGTCAGACTGTATGTTTAGTGTCACTTGGTGTCACTCACGATTCAACTACAATTCGCTACTCGCTGAGGCAAATGGCCGAGCTTCTGGAGGACCTACCACGGACGTGTTACTGTGTATATTTTTCTCTCTTCTTTATCGCCTAAGTGGGGGAGTCGGCGGCCAGCTCGCTTCCTCTTGGTATCTTTTAGCTGCTTCCGAGAAGTCTCTCTCTTCAAGCACTCCCGCTGGTACCCCTCGCTGAGAGCAGCTTTTCTCTTGGAACTAGTCCAGGTGACGACACTCACCGCGCTCATTTGTTACTCCGAGGTGAGTTAGTTACTAACTGACCAATCCTACATGTTTGTTCTGTGTTTACACCGCTTCCATTGGTCTACCTTGGGGTCTATGTGCTCTCTAGTAACGATTGTCAATTGTCAACAATTGGTTCGCGCGCAGCTTTTGAATCCGTTGTTAAATTTTTTATCTTCTTGGGTATTTTATTAAAATACTATTCTTCAAGTGATTTCTTCTTAGTAAGTAATTATAAATTTACATATTTTTTTAATAAAATTAAATTTATACTTATAATTATTTTTTTTAATAACATACAAAGGATTACTTTTATCTTTATAATCATTTTTTACATATTCTTCTTTTTTAGTGGGTAAAATCTTCGAAAAATTTTTCCATTTTTTTAAAGTAATATTCTTCAAGTGATTTCTTCTTGGTAAGTAATTGAAAATTTTTATATTTTTTTAATAAAATTAAATTTACATTTTTAGTTATTTTTTTTTTTTTTAATATAAAAGTATTATTTTTATCTTTATGTGCTCATTTTTTATATATTCTTCTTTTTCAATAAATAAAATCTACGCTGAGACGATAAAAAACCAATGAAATATCAAATGGAAATCCTCCAGATCACATCTTCAATTAGTAAGACAAGACATATACTCCCCAAGACCACTGATTCCGTCAAATAGAAGAGACCAATGCATTATCACTCGACTCAGGACTGGGCACATTAATGCCTCACATATCCATCATATAACCAAAGAAGAACAAAAAAAATGCCCAATATGTGGATATAATCTAACTGTACATATAATCTATCCATCTCCAGTATCCTAGAAACATAGGATAATTATTTAAAAACTCTCAGATTCATCAAAGCTACAAAAGTAATCCAGTTCATTTAATGTAAATTTATAGTATAAATATTGTAACTATCTGTGATCCTTAATGCTTTTTTGTCTTATATTATTATAATTTTCTATACTGTAGTCGCTTAAAACCCTGTTGTTATATTAAAGCGACTTAAAATAAATAAATAAAAAAAAAAAAATCTTCAGAAACTTTGAAAAATTTTTATGAAAATTAAGTTAGCCGACATTTAAAAATTAAAAAGAATTTTTTTATTGAAAAAATGACTCCAAAAAAAAGAAAAAAAAATTGTCATTTGTTAAAAACTTTAAAAACTGTAAATGCAATTTTTTAAAAATATTTTTTTGTTCTAATTTAATTATTAAAAAAAAAAATCAAAAAATTGAAAATGTCGGTTAACTTTAGTATCATAAAATTTTTTAATCTTCTTCAATATTTTATTAAGATACTATTCAAGAAATTTCTTCTTCGTACGTAATTAAAAATTCTTATATTTTTTAGTAAAATTAAATTAACATTTTGAATTATTTTTTTTTTAATAATATAAAAGTATTATTTTTATCTTTATAATCATTTTTTATATATTCTTCTTTTTCAGTGGGTAAAATCTTCGCAAACTTGAAAAAATTTTTTATTCTTCTTGAACATTTTTTTAATAGTAATATTCTTCAGGTGATTTCTTCTTGGTAAGTAATTGAAAATTTTTATATTTTCTTAGTAAAATTAAATTTATATTTATAATTATTTTTTTTTTAATAATATAAAATTATTATTTTCATCATTTATGTGCCTATTTTTTACTACATATTCTTCTTTTGCAGTAGGTAAAATCTTCGCAAGCTTGAAAAAATTCTCTAAAATGATTTTTATGTAATTTAAATTTTCCCGCCAGAAGTTACGTCAGCGTCCGGAGTCAAATTTTTAATTTACAAATAATAAACAATTATTTTTAAGAAGAAATAAACATTTATTTGACATTAAAAAATTTAATTATTTCATTTAAGCGAAGAAATAAAAATAATAAATTTTTTTAGTAAATCAAATGGAAGCTAAATTGAAAGTTTAACCACAGGGAAACAAATATGGCGAATGTGATACTGATATGTGTTGCATCCCACGTGAATTTTATAATTAAAAGTACATATGTGAGTTAAATAAAGGTTATTATGTATTAAAAGTATCACTAAAAAGTCACAGAAGATGGTTATCGTAAGTATTAACAATAAATATTTAAAATAAAGGCGTTGGGTATTGATATAAAAGTTGGGGGAAAAAAGAATAAAACGAAATAAAATAAAAGTAAAAAAAAAGAAGGGTAGGATAAAAAAAAAAGTATAAAAAGAAAGAGGAAATAAAATTGATAAAAAAAATGTTTGACAGGCTACGGATGAAATGGAGGAGAAGGACCTGGCTCAGTCGCTGAGTCTTTTAATTGAAATGAATGCAAGTGTTATTGAAGTTAACAAATTGGTGGAATTGATGATGAGTCGTGCTAAAAATAATGAATTATCAACGTCCAAGGGTCTGAGCTTTTTAGAAACTAAGTACCACATGTTACTGTCATACCTCATAAATTTGACGTACATTATTATAAAAAAGTGCTCGGGAGAGCAGATCGAAGGAAGTCCGTCGATTGATCGTCTTGTTGAAATAAAAACAGTGTTGGAGAAGATTAAGCCGATTGACTACAAGCTCAAGTACCAGATCGAGAAGTTGGTGAGAAGTACCATGAGCGTGGGCGATGACATGGATCCGACCAAATTCAAAGCCAACCCCGAGGCTTTTGCTGCCAAAATTGACGACGATGATGAGGATGAGAGTGAGAGTGATGACCAGGATGGTGAGGCCAAAGACTCTGATAAAAAGAAATCCAAGAAAGGCGTCTATGTGCCACCTAAAATCTCAGCTCATCATTATGGTATGTACTTTGTTTATTATGACATTAAAGTTAGCAGTCGTTAAATTATTTGAAAATTTTTTTTAACAAAAAAATTTCTTCCCAAAAATTATTAAAAAAAATTTGCATTTTTTATTTTTTTAAATTTCTACATATCAATTTTTTTCCATAATTTATTTGTTAAAAAAGATTTTTAACAAATATAAAATATCTACTTAATTAATTTTCATCAAATATTATAAATAACTATAAAAAAAAAATATATATGATTATGTATAATTATGTGAAATTATCAGATATTTTCTAAATTAATTTCCATCTGTTTATTTATTTATTAATTTATATTTTTATTCGGAAATTCGGAAACTGATTGTTAATTTTTCTAGATGGAGACGACACTAAGTTGGAGAAAATACGTAAGGCTGAAGAACGATCTCGCAGACAGGCTGTATCGGGTGCTATTTTACGGGAACTGAAAGAAGAATTTCTCGAAACACCCATGGAGGACAGTCTTGACAGGGAAAAGAAAATAGACTTGAGTAATGAGCACAAGGAGAAAATCGAGTACGAGGAGACATACATGACGCGGTTACCGGTGTCTAAACAAGAAAAACATCGCAATCGTCAGATGTCGACTCTTGGTACTCTTGGGGATGAAATTACGAGCTTTGGTGGTCCTTCTGCTGGGAAAAAACGTCGTGTGGGTAAAGAAAAAACCAAGAAACGTATGTATTTTAATTATTCATTTTAATTTTTATTAATAATTAATTTCCCTTTAAAGTTATTAACGCAATTTATTAAAAATAATAGACTTTTGATGCAAAAAATTTATTTACTTAAATTTTTATTAATTGATTTAAAATTTATTTTCTTAAAAATAATTATAATAGAAAAATACAAAAATAAATTTGAGAATTAATTTTGAAGGGAATTAAAATTTTTTTTTTCAATCTTAATAATAAATTTATTGTTTATTTCTGTTTAGGTTTTAAGAAGAAGCGAAACTTCTAAATGCCAAAAACTAAAAAAAAAAAAAAAAAATTCAAGCAATTTTAAATAACTAAGAAGCCAACAAACTTCCAAATGCTAAAAATTAAAAAAAAAAATTTTAAATCATCTCCATTCTACCTTGAACCTCCTACACATATGAGCTTACGAATTTACTATAAATAAGTTAAAACAAAAAAAAATTAAAAAAAAAAAAAACTAAAAATCCATGATTATGATTTAAGGGAAAAATACTCATTTGATCATTAAGTTTGGACTCTTGATTTGGTTTTATAAATAATCATACAATTTTTAGTTGTATACAGGTTAAATAATGTAAATAATTTATTTAGTTCAATTAACTAATCTATAACTACTGTTAATTTTTGTAATAATAAAACAAAATAATAGATGTAATATCGTTTATTTTATGCAGAATAAAATTATTTTAAAGGTGTATACGTGATTGATGTTTAAATTCTTTCATTTGCCAGAATATAAAAGCTAAGCCTTTTACTATTACCACCACTGTCGCTGCTACACATTACTGATGCATGTGAAACAAATGGCATATACAAACATCTCCATATATATAGGCACTTGATGATATATATGTATATACATTCCTTGGTGTACATGTATAACAGGAAAAAGAAACGACGAAACCTCCTGTCATATTCTTTACAAAGAAAGCCATTGTTCGAAATAAATACATCAGTAAGTCGTGGATTAAATTATTAAAAGTGAGTTTTTAAATAATTACTTTGATTAATTTATTTATATCAATAAAAAATAAGCAACAAGTTTAATTAATTAACAATTAACATGGATAATTTTTTTTTTTTTTCATTGATAAAATTATTTAATTCAGGAATTTGCATTAAATATACACAAACATATTGTGAAATAATTAATTACTGATTTAGGATTAAAAAAAAATTAAATCTTTTACTTACTAAACCAGCTGTTTTTATTCTCGTCACTGGCAGAGTGACGTAAAAAGTTTGTCGTATATATTCATATTCATCTTTATATTTAAATTAATATCTATCAAATTGTAACACGAAAATAGTCAGTGAGATAAATAATACCAAGTATTATTCAATATTCATAACAACAATGTAAGCCAGTTCTTTTATCAGGCATTTATTTTTAGTATTATTTTATTTTGTTATTTTTGTGTACTAAAAGATTAATGATTGTTTATTTATCTCAAATTACATCGTAATTAAATGAATAATCGAGATTATTTATCATTAATCTCCCACACGCTAATATTTCATTAATGAATCATTTAGTTTATAGTATCTTTATTATTATAACCTCAAAAGCTTGTTTAAAAAATTTTATTTGTTAACAATAAACAGTATTAGAATAATCTTCACGAAAATTAAAGTTAGCAGTCACTTGACAATTTTTTTTAACAAACAAATTTGTTCTAATTAATTATTTTTAAAAAATTGCATTTTTTATTTTTTTAAATTTCTAAATGTCAATTTTTTTTTTGCCACTATTTATTTGTTAAAAAAAAATAAAAAAAAATTTGACATTTAGAAAGTTTAAAAAATTTTAAGCTCTATTTAAAAGAAATTTTTTTTTTTTTCTTATAATTCTTATTGATTGAAAAAAATTATCAATTGTTTGCTAATTTAAGTATCATAAAATAATCTTAAATAATAACAATGTAATTAAAATTGTTAAATTTAATCCTAAAAATTTTTTTCTATTCCAGTTAATAGTCTTCAATATCTGGGTGCTTTATTTATCAATTAACTGACTACTGAATTAAATTGTTTGCTTTCTGATTAGTGATTATGATTATAAATCTATTATTTCAGAATTTTTCACAGTGAAGTTTTTTTTTATACCATTTTAATGCAGGCTCTAATTTTTTCAGAGTCAATCACCTATACCTGGAACAACATGTGCTTTTTCAGTTCCTTTCTCTTTCTCTTTCTACTTCCCTTTCCCTTTTTTTATGTATCTTATCAAGTAACACTTATTAATTCTATTTCTTCAGGCTTCAGTTTACATCGGCTTGGCATTCAGTGACCACACTGAATTTTTCATCAGTTCTAGATCATACTTTTGTAATTAGTTTTTTAATAAGTTTGTATATTGTCAACAGTTATAACGATTCGAAATGGCAAGTACCCAGTTGACACCACGACCTAGAATGACGAAAAAACACGAAAAGCCACGGCCTTTGAAACTTAATCTTCGACACTCAAGTATTGATGAGAGAATTGCTACAGGTATTTATTTATAAATTTTATTTTTATTTATTTAACAGTAATAATTTAATAAATTAATAATTATTTTAGTTGAAGACTTGGTCTCTCTCATTGATAATGTAGCTTCGAATTTATCGAATGGTTTTCACGACCCAACACTTCAGCAGAATATTATTACTATGTGTAATACTTTAAAACAATGTGCTCATCAATTCGAACCAGTTTATAAAGGTCTTATTTAATTATCAATAATTTATATTATCTATCATTTTCAATATTGATAATTTTTATTTGAGTTTTTAGAACGTCTGTAAAGCTAGCGTTGACCGTCAGTATCTCAGTCATTATTCAAGCATAAAAATTTATGGCACTGAAATTAATAGTACTAAAGTTAGCCGATGTTTTTGATTTATTAAATTAGAATTAAAGAATACTTTTTTTTTTAAATTTCACATAAAATTTTATGAGGATAAATTTAATAATTTTTAGAATTTGTTTAACAAATAAATTATGGAAAAAAAATTGAATAAAAATTGACACGTCAAAATTTTAAAAAATTATAAATGCAAATTTTTAGAAAAGATTTATTTCTTTTTTTTTTAATAATTTTTTCAATGAAAAAAATTCTAAAAATTTTTAAATGTCGAATAACTGAATTTTCATCTGAAATTGACAGGATTATAATTTTATTTTACAATTTTATCGCAATTAAATTATTAAAGAAAAAGATTTAATAAAAAAATTCCACGTGTGAACAAAAAATTATTAGAAAACTTTTAAAAATATTTTTATTATTGTAATTGAATTTTTATAAAAATGTAAAAAATTAACAGCTAACTTCTGTATTATAAATTTATTTGTAATATTAAATTTGTTGCTAATTAATTGTTTTAATTAGAATTTTTTTGTTTAATTAAATTCCGAGCAGTCATTAATAATTTTATCAATGTCAATTTTACAGACAGTTTTTAAATAATTATCTTGACTTTTTGTCGAAAATAAAATTTTCGAACTAACTTTTAATAATTTTATTTTTTAGATCAATTGGACAGAGCTTTTGTAGCCATACGCAATGGAAGCCAAGACGAAAGACTCGATCTGACGACAAGAATTCATTTACTGGAGCTAATTGAACTGAGAGCTAAGCAATGGCGCTACAATGACTCAATGGATGCTTACTATGCATCCAAGCTTGCTGATTTAAATGAAGTAAATAATCACCTTTTAAAAATTTTATTTCTCATACAATAATTAATAAATTAATTAATTAGCAGCCGGATAATATGATCGGCGTTGATGGGATAAACAACCAAGTAGCAACCCTCAATCTGACTTCACCCCAAACGCCTCCAGTGCTCGGTGTCGGTGAAGTTATAAAAACCAGCGGAAAATTCACTAAACCCACGCGAATTCCCGGTAAAAATTACTGCAAAGATGAAGTTGTGATTCGCAACAGCGACTCTGGAAAAGGTAATTGAATTTTATTTTTATAAATATTTTTAGTTCATTATTTTAAACAGCGATTTAGAAGATTTTCTTCAAATAGTCGTTCGAAATTTTATTTTACTTTTTTAAAAAAATTTGAACATTGAAACAGTGATGGGAATAAAGGGAAGACGTGTTCACATGATAGAGGAGCTCAGCGAGACGATCATCTCCTTTCAGCGAGGTAAAAAAGACAACGAATGAATAAAAGTACAGTAAACAAACAGAATAAAAAATAAAACAAACCATAAAAAAAAAAAACTTATTAATTTTATTAATACTCGAGAATGCAGTGAGAGCATTGTGTTGTTGAACACTCATGTTAACGTGCATCCAACGCAATATTAACTTCGTTTTTTTTACTTATACTAGTTTTATTAAGCATTTATCATCCGTAATTACCATTGATTAACAATTAGTATATTAAATTTATTATTAAAAAAAAAGAACGCATGGTTCTAAATTAATATGCACTGTAACAATCTGCGTCACAATTGAATTATAAATAACTGCTATGAAATTTTTAATTAATAATTTAAAAATCTTAATTGATTATTTTTTAATTAATTATTTATATTTTACAGTCAATCCTGGAGCTAGAGAACGACTGGTCCAAATAACTGGGACTTCAGAAGAAAAAATACAGTAAGTTATTTATTATTTTTTTTCTATAACTTACTAGCAACCTTGCAGTCACTATGTGACTGCCGTGACTTGTGAACTATAAATAGATAAAATTTTGCTTTATTAAATAATGACTTTTGGTAAATTGCACTGTACTTTTTTCACTATTGACGTTTTTAAAAATATAAGCTCATCCCGATGTTACGCTCATCAAGAGCTTTCATTTGAGTACACACATGCATTTTTGATATATTTTTTATATATTCATATATATATAATATATATTTTGAAGATATAAGCTTATTCCGGTGTTACACTAATCAAGAGCTTTCATATGAGTACCCACATGCATTTTTGATATATTTTTCATATAGACATACATATAATATATATATAAATATATGAAAAATTGATGTAGGTACTCAAATGAAAGGTCTTGATGAGTGTAACATCGGAATGAGCTTATATCTTTAAAAATGTCAATATTTCACAAGATAAAAGGTAATTTTTTAATTACGTATAGAGATAGAGCATCTTCGAATGTAGCCTAAATACTTATTATAATAAATTGACTATCGGTGAGAACGATATGAAACCTTGAAAAGGCTCAACTCCAGGTCAAGACCTTTCGAAGGATACCAAATTTAACCACAAAAACCCGTTTTATCATATAAATACAGTGGCCACAAAATTTTTCTTATTCTCTTAATAATATAGACTATATTTAATTTTTTTAGTCCAAAAAATTAGTAAAAAAAAAAAAAAAGTGAAATTACCTATTATGTTAAATATTAATTTTTTAATATTTATTAAAAATATTTTTTTTATTTAAGTTACGCGAAAGATTTAATCAAGGAAACAATCCAACGAAATGCTTCACCAGTCCGAATGGGACCGGCCAGAGCTGCTGACTCGAGCGGTATCGGAGGATCAAGCTCATCTCTGAACAGCAGCGCTTCAGACGAAAGTAATCGTCTTTCTCAGCAGTTCCAGCAGCCATCGCAGATTCGTTCAACACTGCTTCACAGCCTGTCGACCAATGACGCGAGCATTGGCGACTACAAGCACACCGTAAACGTCGGCAATCATTCATTAAAAATAACTGGAAGCAACTTGAATCTTGTGAGAACAGCCAAAATCATTCTCGATGAGCACTTTTCCAAGTGGTCTGGAGACAGTGGGATCGAGAGTTTTGATTTTACTGATGACTTTCCATCTTTTCCCAACACTCCTATCAATAATCAGCAGATCAAAATCCCCGATAATAATGCTAATGTTGATGTTGATGCTGCTGTAAAAAGGGAAAATAGCTTGGAGAGTAATGCGACTTCCGAGAGCGAAGAAACTTTTAAGTCTAATAATCAAACGATTAAAGAAAAAATTAATAATCGACGAAACGGTAAATTTTATTTTAACAATTAATATATAATAATGAAATTAGCTGACGTTTAATAGTATATAACACACCTAGGGAAGTAAAGTAAGAAATGTCTCAGATTACATGTTTGTTGACCTCGGTTTCGCCTCGGACCACAATTACATGTGATCTAAGACATTTCTTACTTTACTTCCCTAGGTGTGTAATATACTATTTTATTAATTAAATTAGAACTTAAACATTTTAAAAAAATATCACTTATAGTTTTTTTAATTTTCTACATGTGAAATTTTTTAAAAATAATTTTTATAATAAGAAGAATAACAAAAATTCTACTGTCTTTTAATTCCAGTGTCACATTAATGGAAATTAAATTAGCCGACAACTGAAAATCTTTTAAATTTATTTTACTAAAAAAAATTAAAATAAAAATTTTCACATGTAGAAAATTAAAAAAATTATACGTGCAATTTTTTAAAAATATTTTTTTAGTTCTAATTGAATTAATAATTACTAGCAACCTTGTAGTCACTATGTGGCTGCCGTGACTTGTGAACTATTAATAAATAAAATTTTGCTTTATTAAATAATGACTATTCTTAAACTGCACTGTACTTTCTTAACTATTGACGTTTTTAAATATATAAGCTCATCCCGATGTTACACTCATCAAGAGCTTTCATTTGAGTACCCACATGCATTTTGATATATTTTTCATATATACATATATATATATATATATATATATATATATATATATATATATATAAATATATCAAATATATGAAAAATTGATGTGGGTACTCAAATGAGAGGTCTCGATGAGTGTATTGTATAAAAAAAACCGATTTTGTCATATGACTATCCTGGACACAAAATTTTTCTGATTCTCTTAGTAATATAAATTATTATTTATAAAAAATTTTTTTTTACAGAAAATCGAGAAATGTCATATGAATTATTGTTGCTCTGCGCAAAAGGTCCTTACGCAAAGCGACCACCAGCTAACTGGGCGCGCATAAAAGAAGAATGTCCCAATATTATTCGTAAGGTAGAAACTCGCCGGTCGACTGATACCAATTTCATACGTTCAAACCTCCACTATGGAATGTCTAATCATTGTGACCGCCATCGTCGGTCGTACTAAACCAAATACGCACTAAAACCAAAACAATGAACTGCTTAATCATTTATTAACATTCATACTCCATTGATTTGATTAATCAATAATTATTACTTTATTTTGACTGTTTTTTTTTTTTTGTGTATTGCTTGATAAACTTTGTGTTTTTAAAAATCGTACGCATAGACTAAAAAGTAGCTTACTTTAACTCAGTATTTTATAAAGTGTAAATTTGATCTTTATAATTACATTGAACGTGATAGTATTTGTATTTGACAAAAATATTATATTGTTTGTACCTGGAGTACGAGAACGAGTAAAAGACTTATAGGATATGAATAAGTATTTGTCATGTATTGAATCTCAGATTTAAATTTCGGTATTAGTGAGTTTAATTATTAGTATTAATCATAATATAAATAATTATAGTAATGTATTAATCGTAAGTATTTTGTCGAGGGTAAAAAATTATCCGTGCCATATAAAACTAATTCCAAAGATAAAAAATCAAATGCATATTTAAGATTAATATTTATTATTAATATTGAGATCAAAATTTTATTAGGAGAGCGTTACGATTTAAAAGATTAATGTGAGGAAATGTAGAAAACTTAAAATAAATACATTAATAACTAATATAATAACCATCATAATAATTATAATTAAAATTGTTAACTAACCCTTTGCTTTTTAAATTACTAATTTGTACTTACACTTTTTTTTAACAAGGTAAGCTTTTCTAATATTAATTTTTTTTTTCAATTAAAAAATTAATTGTCTGAATTATTAATACAATTTTTTTTCTTTTTTTCAGTCACCGATTCGCTGGTTCGAACCGGACACTTACAAAGCCAAAGTCGCAGCCGCAGGGATGAGAACTGTGCTGTCTTCAGCTGAAGAAATTGATTTAGAATGATGAAAAAAGATGATTAAATATTTATTACCATAAATATACCAATTACTGACTCTTAAGTATCGAATTTATTACTCGCTTTATTTTTAATTGCTTTGATGATTTTTAGACAGTAAAAGAGTCACTAACTGGCACATTTAAAAAATGTTAAACTTCTTTTTTTCTATCATCACTAGCTTACCAATGATTAGACCTGATTAATTATTTATCGACGTTTGTTATTTTTGTTAACTATACTCTTCATGTTACATTTATTCGTTTAAAATAATTTACACTTATCTATTATTTATTTATTTATTTTCTTTGCGATAGTCTAGTCTCAAACTAAAAAGACTTTATTTTAAAATTATTAATTACTAGTCCTTCAATTATTATTTTTCTTTACTAATTTTTTTTATTTTATACAATAAAACGGTGGTATTAATATTTTCATTTATTTATTAATTATTAGATATTGTGCTTTTATAATTATTTTAAAATTTATTTATACCGTTGGTGATAAAATTGTACTGGTTAATAAAATTATATCAAAGTACAACAAATTTTTTTTATTTTTAAATCTTATACTTAAGCTTCATAAAAAAAATTTTTAATAGGAAGAATTAATAAAATAACGAAATTACTTATTACTTGATTATTTATTAGTCGCATATTTATGACAATTTTTTTTTTTAATTTAAACCTTAATCACTTGAATAATTAATTAAATATGTATTTATATAATATCATTGTCTAATTATTACATTGAGAGTCGTGAAATAAATGGTAATTAAGTTAGAAAAAAAAAAATTTTAAATCACAAGCAAACAATATAAAATATGATTGACTTAAAAAGTATAAATTTTCAGTCACTGGACATAAAATGTCATCTTCCTTGATTAAAAATAATTAATTCTCCTGTTGATTGTTTATTGTTTAAATAAAATAATAAATTATCAATTATCTTAGCTTCCACGCTTCGATAATTGAATATATTAATATACGTTATTAAATATATTTATATATATATTGAGGACATGCTATAATATAAATTTGCATTAATATAGGCAGGTTATTGTATGATATAATTATAATATAAAAATTAAACAATCAAATATGAATGATCTTGTGCTTTAAATCTATCGTTGTTTCGTAATTTATCTAATTATTATTATTATTAAATGTCACTAATTAATTATTGATTATCGATAATAATTATTTATGCGTTTGACGTATTTTCATATTGGGACGATGAGTTTCCTTAATTATTATTTATATTGTAAGTGTTAACTAATAATATGTATATGTTTTTTGTTAATTATTAATTTAAATGTCTAATTTTAAAAAATTCACACCGGTTGTGCCCGAATTAATGATGTGATTAAATGTACAGCGTTGTTAAGACGTAGCATATACACCAAGTTATACATTTTGTACATTAAGAGACATTATTTACAATATCAAATTTAAATAATAACTTTTGTATTTTATTATTTCAAAATCCATAAGAAGTCTACACATTTTTAAACCGTTCATTATCACTTTAATTTAATAATTATTTTTTTTATCTTTATTACTGTTATTAATTGTAATTATTTTATTAACTAAGACATTACACACTTTATTCATTCATCACACTATATAATATTTATATAAAACGTGTTTTTTTGCTATTTTTACTACGCAGTTTTATATTTTTTTTTTTTCGTTTTTTTTTTCAACACTCACGCTTATTTTTTTTTCGTTTTTTTTTTTACTATTAAATCATAACTTGTCAGTTTAAAAAATAAAAATCATTGAATTTCTTCTTTTAGTTTATTCACCAGCACAATATGAATACGAATCTATTGACCACTTTAATTGAAATAAAAACAAATAGATAATTATTGTGGCAATTTAATTAAAAAAAATTTACTAAATACTCTATCGAATTGTCGACCATTCGAAATTATAAAAATTATATTTATATGTATATATAAATATATATATATATATGTATAAGTATGTAATTATTCGTAAGTTAATTACAATGAATGTTGTTAAAAAACATAATCGGGTCCCGCCATGTCTATCGCCCACCTGAATTTATCACGCTGAGTTTTGTTGTATATTTTTTCAATTGGCACGTCATTTTTCTTGCACCTGTAAAAAAAAAAAAATATTTTATAATTTATACTCTTTATTTATTTAATAATCCTAAATGAAATAAAATATAATAATAAATACCATGCTACAGTAATTCGCGGATCGAGATAATTGAGCTTAGACGTTCCCAAGGCGATAGCTTTGTTTTCATCACGGTCAGTTCGTTGTACCTCTAATTTAGTCAGTTGTTCTTTTAATTTTTCCAATTTCTTCTTAGCTTTATCATGTGCACTGTAAAAAGAAAAAAAAATTCCTCATTAGATAATAATAACAATCTAACAATGTTAAAATTAATTTAGCAGACATTTGATCATTTTAATGATTTTTATGACAAATAAATTATTGTAAAAAAAATTGACATGTAGAAATTTAAAAAAAATAAAAAATACAATTTTTTTTTTTTTTTTTTTGATTTTTTCGAACAAATTTGTTTGTTAAAAAAAATTAAAAAATGTTCAAGTGACTGCTAACTTTAATGTCATAACAATATTAAAATTAATTTAACAGATACTTCATAATTTTGATGACAAATTATTACAAAAAAAAAAAATTGACATTTAGAAATTTAAAAAAAGAAAAAATTGAATCTTTTTAAAATAATTTTTTCGAACAAATTTGTTTGTTAAAAAAAATAAAAAAATGGTCAAGTTACTACTAACTTAAATGTCAATATTAAAATAAGATCTCAAACATACTCTTTAGCTTTCATCGATCCATGCTTAGCTTCCCGCTTGGTATCTTTAACTTGACCTTCAGCTTCCTTGATAGCGTCTTTCTTAGCTTCAATTTTAGCGTTCAAATTTTCCATAGACTTATCGTGTCCTTTAGGAACAGACCGTTGATGGTTACAAAGAATAGCAACAGCGCGATTGGCCCGATTGTAAGCAAGAATTTTTTCAGCAACCGAATATTCAGGATCAGTCAATTCATCAAGCTGCTGTTGCAAGGTCCAAGAAGCGTTATACGTCCTGAAGACTTTGGCAGTGAGCCCGTCCATAAGTTCAGTGAGATGTTTGTTCAGCACAGCGGTGTTAAGCCGATCAAACAAGTCATCTCCATCAGATTTATTCTCTTTGAACAGCTGTAGGTTCTTGAACACGCGTTTTTCAACCGGTACCTCGTTGTAATATCTGATAGAATCTTTACCCAAGAAATCGAACACAACGACGAATTCTTTACCGTCTTTCTGCTCGTGTAAAGTAATGTGCTCAACACGTAACGAGCAGCAACCAACGGTGTCCGCTTGGTCCTCGTCTTTTTCATTACCAGCTCTCAGAGCTAGTTTGTCAATGAAGTACAGTGCCACAGCTCTCTGTCGAATCCGCATTTCTTTGCTCTTCCAGTCTTCGCGGTACTCAGCACGAATTTTATCTATAGACTTGGCTAATTTTCGCGCTATCTCATATTTCTGCCAATCTTTTTCTCCCTTTAATTTACTCGACGGGTTCAACATGACATACTTGACTTGCCCCTGGACATTTTCAGTCCAAGAAGCCAACCACGTTACCGTGGGGTCGTGTCTAACCTCTCGCCACTTGTGGCCAGGTGGTGGTTTCGGAAAAACAGAATTCTTTGAGCAATTTATCAAAACATCTTCCGGCATTACTCGTTTTTTAAGCTTGCCCATCTTGGGATGCTCACCACGACCTCGGAACAAACCTGGCGGTTCAATCTTAAAGTTTCCTATTTTTTCTTTGTGTCCATCGATGGTACAGAACCCGTACTCTTTAGTTATCTCATCGTTCTTTTCCTTCAGCGCTTTCTTCTCTTCCTTGGTCATTGCTTTGCGCTCTTCAGACTTTTGGATAAAGTAATCGTGCATTGGTCGGAAATTACACTTGCTCAAGTCCGTAATTGTTTTGCGCTCAGACTCTGACATTACTTCGCGCCAGTCTTTGAAGAAATTGTCATTGAATATTTTCTTGGTAGTGTAATCGTGCTCTAACATACGAGCGTAGAATGTTGCTACTTCTTCAGTTGGCTCAGTGAGCCTCATCTCTTTGCCGTTGTAGTAGAATTTAACTGATGGAGGCAGTGGTTCATACTCTGGAGCAAACACAGGACCTTTGTGCTCCAAAAATGTCCATTTTGTTCCATCTGACTTTTTTTCTTCTTCCCACCTAAAATAAAAAAATTTATTTAAAAAATTTATTCGAAAAAAAAAAAATATGGTAATTATTTAAAAGTGGACTCAACTCCATTTTGGGCCATAACTAGGTGAAAAATTAACATTTTCAAATTTTTTTTTATTCCGCTTGTTTTTACGGCGCATTTATGAAAAAAAAAAAAATGTCGTGAAAGAAAAAAATAAAGATTTCGATAGCTTTTTTGCCTTCAAAAGTTGGAAAAAATTTTGGCTCTCATGTTTTTGGATCAAATTTCTACACTGAGAGAAAATTTTATTTAATAGTAATAAAAAAGTTTATTTGGACTTGAAAAGAAAATTTAGTTAATAGTAATAAAATTATATTCCCTATGAATAAAATTTTATTAGTATTTAATAAAATTTTCTTAAATACTAATATGTGTTTTTAATACGAATATTAAGTCATTAAAACAAATAATTTCAAAAAAAAAAATTAATATTTATCAATTAATTATCTTTTAACAAATAAATAGTATAAAGATGTTTCAACGAAACATCCTAATCTAACCTCCTTGTTTATTTCCCCTTCCCCTTTATTAGCCAAATAAATAAACGTTTTATTACATAGTAATAAAATTTTCTCTCAGTGTATTTCATTTTTTCTTGATGTTTTTGACATATTTTTTTTTTTTTTTTTTTTGAAAAGTACACAAAAAAAACGAACTTAAAAAAAAAGTTGAATGTCACAATTTTCTAAAAAATTTATAAATTTTTTTGAAAATTTGTAAAATAGTGATTATCAACTTTTTTATTTAATTATTCATTTTTTTATACTGTTAAATGGTTGACCCCACTTGTAAATATTTACTAAAAATATTTATTATTAAAAAAAATTCTTGAACCATTGATTGATTTTTTTCCCGGGTTTTACACTTAGCGCAGGCTTTCTAGCCAACACACGCGTCCATAACCTCAACGATCTGGAGTTATTATTAAAGCTATTATACAATTTAAATTGAGCGACATTAGTACTAACAGAGCAATCAAGAAATAATCTACGTATCGATTTCTCAAAAATAAAAATGCTCGAGCGCATTTTATTTGGCTTCTTGGTAATCAAATTCTTGACATAATTAACTCCGTTTTGCGTAACCTTTAGTAGATATAAAAGACAAATAACTCATGAGTTAAAATAACAATCTCTGATTAATTAAATAAACTAATACGAAGCAAATTTTAAAGCTGAATACTACAGTAGTGTAGATAAAATAAAACAATCAATAAGTTATCGAATTTGTCTACTTCAATGAGACACTCATCAAATTACATCAACGCTAAAAGAGGTTATACTGTTTAACCACGTGATACAACCAAGCTCAAGTGATGTAAGAATTGGCCTCAATTAAATTCTCAACTCAACAATTTAATTACATATTCAAAATGTTATTTACCATTTCCAAACTTCTGTTTCTTCTTCGTCCTTCTTTTTCTTCCTCGGAGACGCATTATTTACAGGCTTGGCTGCCGTTTTCTTTTTCTTTGACTTCTGTCATAAAAATAAAATCATTATTATAATTAAAAATTAAAAAAAAAATTACTAATAAAAATCACTTACAGCTTTAACTTCTTCATAATCATTCTCCTCTTCATCATCAGAGTGTTTTCTCTTCTTTTTCTTCTTAACAACCTCCTTTTTAGTTTTCTTCCTAGCTACCAAAGGAACATCATCTTCATCATCCGAGGAGTCAACTTTTCTCTTAGAATTTTGAGACGGTTTACGTACACTCTAAAAACAAATAAATACAGATCTATCAACCGTAAAATAATCAGCCAACAATAAAACATACATTTAAAATAATGTACACGCAAATTAATGAATATAGTACTCTAAATTTATAACCAAAGCTACACTGATAGCCAGTCGGCTGTTTTGTTTTTAAAAAATCATCCAGAATGTCTCCATAATCCTCATGGCCCATAACTTCACAAAAATTTACCATAAAATAAAAACCGAGTTGTCAGAAATTTTTAATAACCCAACATAAAGTGTCAAATTAACAAAAAAAAATTAAAAGTGAATACAGCAACAAGATCATACCAGTGGTAAGTCTTCGTCAGACTCTTCTTCTGTCTTCAGAGTGGTATTGTGCAAATCAGACAGCCTGGTATCGTTAGCATCCGAAGAATTCATGCTGTTCTGTTCCTGCTTGTAATCCTCATCCTCATCCTCTTCCTCTCTTTTAACATTTCTATCCGTGGCATCATTACCATCATCTTCGTTGATACAAAGACCGTTTTCACTGTTGGAGTCATCTTCATCCTCGGCTACCTGCACCTGGCTCACAGGCTCATTTTTAATCAGAGGTTTCTCTTCATAAGCCTGAGAATCATTATAAACCTGGCTCTTTTCCTCCTCCTTCACGACGATCTCTTCTTTAACTTCACCCTTGTCGCGGTCCTCGCGACTCTTCTTGTCTTTATCCTTATCACGGCGATGCCGATCCTTGTCTTTATCATGGCGGTGCCGATCTTTGTCCGACCTGGACTTATCTTTATCATTTGACGAAGAATGAGACGTGGAATGTCGATCTTTGTCCTTAGACGAACTGTGTCTACGGTCTTTGTCTTTTGAGGATGTCTTGTCTTTTTCCTTATCCCGGGAGGATTCATGGTGATGCCGATCCTTGTCCTTGCTCCTTTCTTTATCTTTACTGTCTTTTGTTTTCGAGCTTGAATGATGCCTTAATAAAAAAAAAAAATTAAAAAATTAAATTTTAATGATAATAAAATTAGCCATTTGATAATTTTTGATTTTTTGAATCAATAAAAATTACAAGAATAAAAAAAAAATTTTTTTTAAATTGCAATTAGAATTTTAAAAATTTTTTAGATGTCAAATTTTTTTCAATAAAAAAATTATAAAAATTTTCCAATTTCGGCTAATTAAAATGAAAATTAATGTAGCATATATTTAATAATTTTAAAAATTTTATAACAAATAAATTATGGCAAAAAAAATTGACATCTAGAAATTTAAAAAAATAAAAAATGCAATTTTTTAAAAATAATTTTCTGGAATAAATCTTTTTGTTAAATAAAATCAAAATATTGTCAAGTGATTGATAACTTGAATGTTACCTAATTTAATTTTAATAAAATAATTACTAACAAAAAAAAAAAAATAATTACTTGTCTTTATCCTTAGAACTCAAACTAGATTTATGATGATCCTTTTTGTCTTTATCCCTTTCTTTGTCTTTGGTAACCGAGCTGCTGCTCCTGTGTTCCTTGTCCTTATCTTTGCCAGAGGAACTGCTCTTCCTATCCTTGTCTTTATCCTTGCTACTAGAGCTGTTAGCATGCCTGTCCTTGTCCTTGTCCTTATCCTTATCCTTATCCTTATCCTTGGAGCTCGAGCCATTGGAGGAGCTGTGCTTGTCCTTATGCCGATCTTTATCCTTCTCCTTGTCTTTGTCGCGATCCTTGCTCTTATGCTCAGACTTGTGGCTCTTCTCCTTATCCTTGCGATCCTTGTCCCGGTGCTCAGACTTATGAGATCTCTCCTTGTCTTTACGCTCGGACTTGTGCTCTTTCTTGCGATCGAACCCGTTGGACATACCATTCATATGAGTATCTAAATAAAATATAGAAACATATCGATCAGCCAACTTGAATAATTAATGGACTTCTACATCTACATAAGAACACGTTAGTCCGATACGAGCACGTGGTATACTCAAGCTATATGTATGTAACAATAAAACGAGATATCTTTTAAACTTTAATAAGCTCAATAGTTTTATACACACACCTACAGGCTATTTTATTCCTCACCAAACGCTATGGATTTATTACCATCCAATTAACCTAACTTAGAAAATTCTCGAACGTGTTCACGATTTATAAACTCAAACTTGTGATTTTATTTTACGTATTGTTCGTCATATTTCTTACCTCCATGATTCCCGGCTGCGCTACTATTTTCCTTGGCCTTTTTTTCCTAAAATAATAAAATTATCATTAAAATTCTGGATCAACACACTAAATATTATTAATAATTATTTATTAATAATTTATTTAATAATTTATAAATTAAAATAGTTAGCTATAGAAAGTAAGAAATTATATATTAACTCAGAGTTATAATTATTAAGTTATAATGCTCTCGGGACTTAGTCGCAGACGCCATTTTGGGACTTTGAAAAATTTCGCGTCTCTACAAGCGTACCGTATTTAAAGAGTAAACTGAGTTGATACGAAACTTTTATCGATATCTGAGTAGGTAAAAATTCGGGAAATAAATAAATATAATAAAATATATTAATAAACTTACGGATTCAGAGTTTGGTCTGGCGGTTTGCTCGACTTCCATTCTACCTCGGTAAGAAATTCACTCAGAGTTGAGTGAGAGTAATTTTGCGGTACACTTGTACTTAACTTGTAATGTATGAAAAAGTGGTAGCGACCGCAGGCGATGGTAGTGATGACGACAGGTAACTAAGACCTATACTGGCTCTGGCAACTGGCGGCTGCTCTGTACTCGGTGTCGGTTCTCGTACACTGTACACTGTAAATATGTAGTAGCTGTTGTCTGTTGTGTGCTTGTACACGATGTAATTGTATAATTTATGCAATGCGAGTACAAGTATTGGGGTAAAATGTTGAGGTGGATGCGAGAACAGCTTGGGCTAGGAGGCCTCCACTCCTCACCAGCACGGCAACTAGAAGCACAAGCGATGGTACAAGTCGCTAGAACACAAGTGCACAAGTGAGAGCACAGAGTTGAGGCCAGAGACTCGCTGGAAAATAGCTAAGTGCCACGAATGCAAAACTGCGCATGCGCATACATTTTTGGGTCACGTGATTTTCCGGATTTTCTTTATTGGTTTAAATTTCTTTGTGTTGATAACTTTGTGTGGGATTAATAAATAGTTGTTGGAAAAAATACCAATATTAATTATTAGATGATAAGGAAAAATTTTTTACTGAAATTCAAAAACAGCTGACAATTTTTTTTTTTTATTGAAAGTTATGAAAATAAAATTAGCCGACATTTAAAAATTTTTTATTGAAAAAAATTATTAAAATAAAAAAAATTTGACGTCAAAAATAAATAAAATATTTTTTTACTTATAATTTTTATTGATTTAAAATTGAAATTAAAATTTTTTAAATGTCTGCTAAATTTTAGCATCATAAATTATTTATAAAAAAATATTTTTTTTTCTAATTTCTAGATGTGGAATTTTTTTATTAAAAATTTTTGATAATAATAATAATGTTATAAAAATCCAAAAAATTGACAGATTTTTGAATTTTAGTATAATGAAAAAAAATACTAAAAAAATTTTTGTATAAATAAATTTTTTTTATTTATATCAACTTTAAAAAAATCCCCTGGATCAGATTATCAATTAGAGTAAGATTGAAAAAATGTTTATTTCAATAATTGTACAATTCATTTTTTTATTACGCAAGTAATTTCTTAAACCTATTTTTATTAAAAAAAAAAAATGTATAAAAGTCCTCACGCTTTTGAGTATTCAGGTTTACCCTCGCTACTCCACGATGTTTTCATTTTTTTAAATGCAACCACGGCATATAAAGCTGAAAAAATAATTAAAATTCATATAAATATCAAAGGAGAAAATAAAAAAAAATTATTTTAGTAACCTCTGAAAATACTTACATGTAGCTTCCCATTCGGAAAGAGTAAGTGTCCCGATTTTGCGATGATCGGGTTTATTTTGCGTATACTGAATCGCATGCTGATAATCTTCAGGGTTATTGCCTTTCAATTCAGGTTCATGGTACGGCGGATATGACTCCATTGCTTGCATTTTAGCCAGCAAGGATTTGCCATCGCCTTTGCACCGGGCGTAAAATTCGTTGAATCTCTCGAATGATATGAATTCAAGTCCAAATTTAGCAGCAAGTTTTTTTAATACTGTAACATTTATAAGAAATTCTGGACAGTCGACAACATCTTCTAGGTGAAAATTGTACTTGGCGCCAAACAGCGGTATTTTTTCTTTGTCACACAAAAACTCGACATTGTAAACACTGTTTCCAAATTTATTGCCCTCAGCCTGCTTCCATTGATATCTAAAATTTATGACAGCAAAATTTACTTAACAAGAATAAATCAGTAGAGTAAATAAAAAAAAAAAAATACTTACACTAGATCATTAGCATTTGGAATGGTTGCGATAAAATAACCACCTGGTTTAAGACTCTCACTAGCATTTCTCATCATACATTCAGCCTGTGGTAAACTTTCAAAACTGTAATGTAATGCAAATTGACAACTTACTAAATCAAGTTGGACACTTGCATCTTTATATTTTTCTCTTAAACGTACCTGAATAAATTCAAAATTAAATTTTACAATTATTAATTCGATCTAAATTGATTAAAAAAAAAAATAGTGTGAAATATAATACTAAAGTTCGCCGACGTTTTTAATTTTTTTTTATTAAAAAAATTAGAACAAAAAAATATTTTTTTAAAATTGCACTTACAGTTTTTCAAAGAAATTAATTTTTTTCTTTTTTTGTAATAATTTTTTCAATAAAAAAAATTTTAACAATTTTTAGATGTCGGCTCACTTAATTTTCATGCGTGAATAATACTAAGGTTAGCCAACATTTTTAATTTTGTGATTTTTTTTTATTGAAAAAATTAGAACAAAAAAATATTTTTAAAAAATTGCACTTACAGTTTTTCAATGAAACTAATTTTTTTCTTTTTTTGTAATAATTTTTTCAATAAAAAAAAATTGTAAAAATTTTTAGATGTCGGCTCACTTAATTTTCATGAGTGAAATTACCTTTGTACAATCGGCAGCAATAAATTCAGCGGTAAACATTTTTGCATATCCACGATTATTGTTAGCCTGATTAGCAACTTCGTTATACCGACTCTCGCATTGCTGAACAGAAACATCAGCAATATCAGTACATATTAAGTGCGTAATTGCTCCCTGTTTCCATTTATAAAGATCACCACCTTTACCGCAACACATGTCAAGTACTTTAATAGGTGTCCCATGGGACAATGAGTCTTTTATCTTCACCAGATACTCATCTAAAAAAATCCCATCAATTAATTAAAATTTCAAAACTTTCAATGGAAAAAAAAAAATACTTACTTATAAGCATACTTTTTATCCAGTTGTTAAAATTTCTCATGAAAAAAATTCTACTCTGATTTCTATGAGACAAACCTCGTTCCGGAATAGCATTGTAGTGTTCAGCAACAACATCTGTGTGAACTCCAGGGGTTTTGTCCGTCGTCGAGGCACTAGATACCTAAAAATTAAAAAAATTCAATCAACTTTTCTCTTTGAAGTTAAAATAAATAAACAAACAACTGAGCAAAATACTTACAGTCAAGTCCTGTCCAACATTTGAAACATTCTGTTTACTCAACTCCTCCTGTTCTTTTTTATTACTCAGACGAGTTTCAGTTACCTCTGAATTTTCCGCGGGTTTTTCAACACTCGGCTCCGGTTCACATACTGATTTTCCATCGGTTATTTTCCTCCTTTTAGATTCACTAGGACCATCCGAACCGGTGTCATCAACAACTTCCTTTGACGACATGTTTTTCAACGTAAACTCGGTAAAATTAAAAAAAAATAACTTTAAGTCTTTCAGGAACCAATCTCTCATTCATTTTCAAACATTCAATAAATATAATAGCTGCTCTACTAATCAATTAATTAAATAAATAAAATATTAATTGATAATTATTATTTATTCAAAGATTAGCTTTATGAAAATGGCGTTGGTTGTTGGTTGGACTCTTGAGTTGAGTGTCAAGCTTTAAGTAAGTCTTGTTTTCATGAGAGATTTTTTATGACACTGAAGTTGACACAGACATTAAAAACTTTTTAAGAATTTTATGGCAATTAAATTATTATAAAAAAAAATTTAATTAAAAAATTTCACAGGTGAAAATTAATAAAAATTACAAGTAAAAATTTGGAAAAGCATTTTTTTATTATAATTGATTTATAAAAATTTTAAAAATTGACAGCTGACGGCTAACTTCAGTATCATGATTTTTCAATTTTTTCCACGCGACTGCAGCGCTCAGTATAAATAATTAAATACGTAATGCACCAACAAACACACTAAAAAAAAAAAAAAAAGAAAAAAAAAACAATAACGTTTTCTAATTTTCTTTTTTATTTCGGTTGAGTAATTATTTAAAACAAAGTAGATCTGGATAAAATGACGGGTAAACAATTGTTCATCACTCGTTATACTTTTACTTTCATTGTTTTGACAGAGTGAATGTTTTTTTTATTATTATTAATGTCAAATTATTTATCTATATTCAGGTTAAATAGTTATTATGATGATGATAATTAATAAAATATGAGATATTGAAAGTTTTTAAAAATGTTTTGTCATTTTTATGAATAATTTAATTGTTTTCCGTGGGAAGTTAATCGCCCACATGTTTTTATTATTTATTTAAGTATCATTTGACATCAGTGTATTTATCAGTGACGCATTATATTTATTCTTGAAATAATATATTTAATTAATATTAATAATTATTGTTAATGCTAAATTATTTGGAAAAATTAATTATTGAGTTGATTTAAAAATGTCTACAAAACAAAAGTCATGGACCAACAACAAAAATAAATCATCATTATCAAAAGTACTTGAATTTATAAGTTTATTTTAAATTTAAATTAATAGCTTTTATCAGCCAGCTGATAAGAAGACCTGTTGCAATCTTTTGATTAAAATATTTTTTTTTTTATTTCAGGTTAGACCGTCTAGTGAAATTATAGCTGCAAAAAGAAAGGCTGCTGCTGAACAAAAGTTGAAACTTCTGCAGACAAAGGTACCAGACATTAATTTTATTTACGATATTTATCAAAGTGCAATGGATTCACGTCTGCTGACTCGGGGAGAGACGGGGTTAGTTTATGATGATTCGATGGCAGAACATCAATGCCTCTGGGACAAAAACTACCCGGAGTGTCCTCAAAGATTAACTAGAACGCTAGAGCGATGCAAAGAACTCGGGTTGATTGATAGGTGCAAGAAGATCAGCCCGAGGTTGGCGACAAATAAGGAGTTATTGCTGAAACATAGTCGCAAGCAGATAGATATTCTGAAGGCGACTGATGGGTGTACTGATCTCACTAAGCTCGAGGATTTATCTTCGAAATATGACGCTATTTATGTTCACCCAGTAAGAAAAATTTCATATAGCTAAAAGATTATTTAAGCTTGATATTAATATTCATTTTTTATTTTAGTCAACTTATAAATTGTCGAAATTGGCCGCTGGATCGACAATTAATTTATTACAAGCTATTTGTAAAGAAGAAGTTCAAAATGGAATGGCAATAATTAGGTATGTATTATTATGAAACTGAAATTAGCAGACATCTGCACTGATAAAAAAATGAATTTGATTCAATAGGAAAATTCCTGAACCAAGAAAATAATTTTGAAGAGTTTCACTGTCTCGAATTAAGACGAAAAATTCTTGAATCAAGTAAAATTTACTTAAGCTAAGAAAAATTTTTTAGTTTAAGAATTTTTCTATTCAAATCAAGATGATAAAGTTCTTCAAAATCATTTACAATACTTCATTCAAGTAAATTTTTTTTTCTGTGACAATTAAAAAAAATTTTTTTTAAAATTCATTGTAAAAAAAAATCTTTAAAGAAATTTGTACCCATACTTTTTTTAAATTTCTACATAAAGAATTTCTGATAATTTTTTTTTATAATAATTTGATTGTTATAAAAATATAAAAAAATTTTTTAGATGTCTGCTAACTTCAGTATCATTTATTATTCAATTTACACGCAATATTTTTTTTAAATCATAGAATGAAAATTTATAATAATTAACAAAAAATGACTTTTTTTAGGCCACCGGGACATCATGCAATGAAATCAGAATACTGTGGTTACTGTTTCTTTAATAATGTAGCCATTGCAGTTGAGTCAATGCTGAGTGAAGGCTTAGCCAAGAAAGTGCTAATTGTCGACTGGGACGTCCACCATGGACAAGCGACCCAGCAAATGTTTTATGACGATCCCCGCGTCGTCTATTTCTCGATCCACCGCTACGAGCAGGGTGAATTCTGGCCTAATTTAAGAGAATCTGATTACCATTACGTCGGTGAAGGCAAAGGTATCGGATATAATTTCAACATACCCCTCAACAAAACTGGTATGACGAACGCAGATTATCTAGCAATCTTCCAGCAAGTTCTACTGCCTATGGCATACGAGGTATTTTTTTAATTTCCACTCTACATCCCAGTATAATTACAACAATTAAATTTTTCATATTTTTAATTCAGTTTCAACCAGATCTCATAGTAATTTCAGCAGGTTACGACGCCGCTCTCGGCTGTCCCGAGGTAATAAAATTACATCACCAATTATTGATATATTTTTTTATTTTATTTTATTTAGTTTCACCCCGACGTAATTGTCGTATCAGCTGGCTTTGACTCTGCTCTTGGAGACGAGAAGGTGGTGAAATAAATAAAATAATCTAAACTACACAGAAAAAAGGTTCACTTAAGTCAAGAAAATCTTCTTGTTTTGAGAAAATTCAGCCTCTTGCTCCAAAAAATTTAGTTCTTGACAGAAGTAAATTTTCTTGTCTTGAGAAAATTCCTCTCTTGCTCCAAAAAATTAAATATCTCGATAGAAGTAAACTTTCATTAATATTTTTATTGATTAACATGTCAAATGGAAAGATAAAATAATATTGAATAATTTTTTTTCATTCAATATGTATAATTGCACGGTAAAATAATATAAAATTAAATGGGTATCAAATATTCAAGAGAAAAATTTTCTCAAGGTGAGAAAATTTTTTTCTCAGCTGAAGTAGGTAGCGCTGCTTCCCTAAAGTATTTAAAAATCTTGATCAAGTATAAAAATTTATTGTTTCAAGTATTTATGATAATTTGAATTAAGAAAAAATTACTTCCACCAAGAATAAAATTTCAAGAAAAATTTTTATTTCGGCCAACACAACTTCGGTCTTTCTTCAGGCACCCGACAAATTTTTGTTGAGCCAAGAATTTTGTTCTCCAGTTAAGAAATTTTTCTTTCTGTGTACAATTTTAAATAAAAAAAAAAATTAATTCAATAATTAAATTATTCCAGGGAGAAATGAAAATAACTCCAGCATTTTACGCGCATTTACTTTCACAATTACTGAGCCTAGCCAGCGGAAAAGTAGCTGTGATTCTAGAAGGCGGATATTGCTTAGAGTCTCTTTCAGAATCAGCGGCTCTAACTTTAAGGGCTCTTTTAGGCGACCCGTGTCCAATGATATCAACAACCCTCGATCTACCTTCAGCAAGTATCCGAGAGACAATTTTGAATGTTATTTACGCACAAAAGCCTTACTGGAGCTGCTACGAGTTCCAAGACATTTACAGTATCCACTCAGAAGATACCAAAGAATGCGACCGTCACCTTCCAGAGATAGTTTTCAAAGGGAATGAAACTAAACTGACTGTCTACGAAACGCGAAATTGTTACCCAATACAAAGTGAAATTTTTCTGAATGACATTCGCAACCAATTACTTTCCCTTCAATTGACTACCAAGTTAAACAAAGCTCCTCACCGAGTGTCCTTGGTCTACGACGAGCGTATGCTGAAGCACTGTCACCCTACTGACATGAGGCATCCCGAAATTCCTCAAAGAATCTCTGGAATATTTTCCAAGCACGAAGAGTACGACTTGCTCAAGCGGTGTCACAGAATTCCCGGTCGGATTGCCACAGAGGAAGAGCTTCTGCTAGTGCACACTGAAAGCTACGTAGAAAGTATGAAGACGACTGAAAAAAAGAAAATGTCTGAAGTTCACAAAGAGTCACGGAACTTTGAGTCCGTTTACCTCCATACCGAGACATGGTCCAGCGCTAGCGTGGCAGCAGGTTCGGTTCTCCAGGTGGTTGACAGTGTTCTCAACGGAGAAAGCCAGTCAGGAGTCGCGATAGTTCGTCCTCCAGGACATCATGCCGAGCGAGACGCAGCTTGTGGCTTCTGTATCTTCAACAACGTCTCCATTGCTGCGCGTTACGCTACTGAGTTTCACGGATGCAAGCGCGTGTTAATCCTTGACTGGGATATCCATCACGGCAACGGGACTCAAGCGATATTTGAAGAAGATCCTCAAGTTCTCTACATCTCAATTCACAGGTACGACAATGGCTCTTTTTTTCCTTCCTCAGAACAAGCTAACTACAACATCGTCGGGAGCGGAAAAGGCGAAGGCTTCAACGTAAACATTCCCTGGAACCGCAAGAAAATGGGTGACACTGAGTACATTGCTGCCTTTCAACAGATAATTATGCCAATTGCTTATCAGTTCAACCCGGAATTAATTTTAGTCTCTGCTGGGTTTGACGCGTGTGTTGGAGATCCTCTTGGTGGCTACAGCGTTTCTCCAGTAGCTTATGGACATTTCACTCACTGGTTGTCATCGCTGGCTAATGGGCGGCTGATTTTGGTCCTAGAAGGCGGGTACAATGTCAACTCAATCTCTTACGCTATGACCATGTGTACTAAAGCTCTTCTTGGAGATCCTCTGGCTCCTATCACTCGCAGCACTGCTGCTTTGTCTACTTCTGCTATTACTAGTATTAAAAATGTTTTAAAAACTCATAAACCATACTGGTCAAATTTAGTTTATCAAGCTGCGTTGCCGAAAGAAAATGTCATTCCTCAACCAGTGAGTCTTAAGTTTGACATGAGTCCAGGAGTAGAGTCCAAAATTCTGCAAGAAGAATGGCAAACTGAGAAAAATGGAATCCATCAGCTGTCTAAAGAAATGGGTGGGTTGAATGTCAACCAAAGTGAACAGGGCAAGCAGTGTTCTGATTCTCAAGAACAAAAATCGGGAAAGGTTGAGGAACAACCTGGATGTAGCTCTAGCCAAAGCAAGCCTGGATCTTCGAGAGTCAATCCAACTGATTCGGGGAATCCCCATGAAGATAAACCGCTGATGGACAGTATGATGTTTGCAATAATTCCTTTAAGTTATTGTCCTCACTTGGAATTGATAGCTGAGGTTCCTGCAGAAGGTATTGATGTAAAAGCTCCCTGCAAAGAGTGCAATAGTACAGCCGAAAATTGGATCTGTCTTCACTGCTACGGGGTTAATTGCGCGAGAGCTGTTAATCAACATGCTATTCTTCACGGGCAGGATGAAGGACACCCTTTGACTCTCAGCTTCACTGATCTTTCTGTCTGGTGTTATGGATGCGAAGCCTACGTTGATAATCCGCGACTTCACGCTGCTAAAAGCGCCGCTTACCTCAGTAAATTTAACGAAGAACTTCCTTGGACTTACGATGAGCCTCGTATTGAAATGTGAAATATAATATATTGATTAAATTTATTAAATATTTTAATGCTCGTTTAAAATTAATCTCATTATAATTTTACTTTATATTTTTATAGTAAATAAAATTTAACTTGTCACTTAATTAAATCTTTAATTTAAAATTTTATTTATATTAATTAAAATATATAAAATTTACAAGATTAATTAATATCCTAAATACTATCAATATTTTTAGAATATTGTATCCGAATGACTAATAGGCCAAAATTTTTGAAAAATTGTACAAAACGATTTAATAAATTCGAAATAAATTTTTCAAAACAAACTTCTAATTTATCAACCAAAAAACACTCAAAATTGCTTGTGAAATTTAACAGAGGTAACTTTTCGGTTGTTAAATGCGGATAAAAAATACTAACAGTACTAAAAGTTAAATTATTTGTACCATTAACAGCGAGATTGTGCTCATTAATAAAATTACTTAATGAATTAAAAGGCAATGCGTAATAAACTCTGTAAGGAATTTTATCACTCTTCAATTTAGTTTCACATTCAACAATTTTGGAATTAATTATACCAAGTACGTCGCTCATTGCTTTGCTACCTTGCTCGTAGAGAAAGAAATCTTGCTTAAGCTTGTAGCGATGCTGATCCGAGCTCGTGTAAGTCCTCTTTGTGTTTCTCAGTTGCAAAAGAGCTGTGGGCAGTGAGTAGGTGTAGGAAGTAAAGAGATGAATGTGTGTAAGCTCGGGTTTGGCTTTAAGTTCTCTTGCTACATGCCTAGTAAGAGGTAGCACTCCTCCTTGGTGGAGAAATCCGTAGAAAATTATCAGTAAAATATTGCTTATGCCCCAGAGATACTGAAGCCTTCTTACTCCAATATTTTTTTGTACTAGTCCCACTATTTCTCGGGTATTTTTACAAACTAATAATCTATTGCTGCGTTCAATTATTGGAGAGTAGAGAAATACGACAGGAAAAATTACTGGAATGATAAATCTTGGCTCTTGGTGAGGAAATAGTGATAAAAGTCCAATTGGTAATATGAAACAAGCTGTCATCAGGCTTTCGATACTTTGGATCCGTGGTAGCTCCAACCAGTGTCTTTTTGTGATGCTGAAAATTAAATTTTTAATTATAAATTTATACTTTTTTATTAATAGTAATTTTTGGTAAATATTTACAAGTGGGGTCAACCATTTTAATTTTTATTTTTTTAAACGAAATTTCTATGTGATTTTATTGATATATTTTTTTTTTTTTGAAAAATACGTAAAAAAAAAAAGTTGATTATCATAATTTTAAAAAATTTATAAATTTTTTAGAAAATTGTGATATTCAAATTTTTTATTTTAATTATTCGTTTTTTTATGTACTTTTCAAAAAAAAAATATATCAAAAACTTCGAAAAAAGATAATATAGAAATTTTATCCAAAAACGTGAGCCAAAATTTTTTCCAACTTTTGAAGACAAAAAATCTATCGAAATCTTTTTTTTTTTCTTTCATATTTTTTATCATAAATGCACCGTAAAAACAAGCAGAATCAAAAAAAAAATTTGAAAATGTTAATATTTCACCTATTTATGGCCCAAAATGGGGTTGACTCCACTTGTAAATAATTACGTAATTTAAAAAAAAATTTATACCTGTGACACATTTTTAAGCCGACGACAAGAGCAATAATGCCTATAATATTGAATAAAAGTGGTACATTAACTAAAAAATGCAAGTATCTTGGATGTAATCCATGGTCAGCGAGATTATCTGTCACAGAATTATACCTCAAAAAATTCAATGGTGTTACAATAATATTTTTAAATCCTACATCTAAATTAATTATTTCTCCAAGTGTCAAGTATCCAAAATAAAAACTGTCAACTATTATTAAAAATAAAGTTACTGGAATACCACAGAGAATAAACATAATAATCCGTACGTGAAAATCCCAGAGATTTACACTATCAGAGCCTAGTCCTCGCTGAAGCCAGAAGAAAATTGGTGGAAATGCATAAGCAATAAATGTGGGACGGTTAAAAATACCAAGTACTGTAAGAGTCGCAAGGATTAGGCAATGATTGAGCGAGTGCGAAGGAAGCGATGCTCGCAATTTGTAGTACTTTACTCGTTCTACAATATTTTGAGCCTTGTCATAGGCATCTTTGAAGTGGTCACTCTGGATGACCACTTGCTCAGAGTAGACGATGCATCGTGAGACATAGTAAATTAATAAAGTATTTAAAATTAATTCTATGGAATTTGAGAGAGTACGCGTGGCGTAAATCATCATGACGTAGGAACTTGCATAAATTATTAATCGCGATCGATAGTTCAGCTTGCAGATCTGGCACAGTTTGAAGAGACAGTAATCTGATAAGAATGACAGAATACATATTGCTAGTCGTGGAACTGTCACCAGGAAGTAAGGTGTCCTGATTTTTACTTGCAAATAATACCATAGATATGGAGATAGCACGTTTATTATAGAGTATGGAACTCCTATTATCACTTCAGATACAAATGCCGATCTTATTGGAAATGTTGTGTTGTATTCCCATGGCTTGTACACGTCTATGTCGAAGCGATCCCCTGTAAAAAAATATTTATTTTTAGATTGTCATCAATCATTAATTATAAAATATAGAAATAGCAGAAAGTTGACAGATATTAAAAATTTTTTTTATAATTTTAGAGCAATGAAAAAAATTTAATTAAAAAATTCCACATATGAAAATGAAAAGAAATTTTTGGAAGCTTTTTTTTATTGTAATTGATTTATTAAAAAAAAAAAAAAATTACAGTCAGCTGACTTCTGTATCATAAAATAATACTAAAATTAACTGACGTTCAACAATTTTCGAATTTTTTTTAAACAATTAAATTACAAGTAAAATAACACTTTAAAAAAAGTGCATGTATAATTTTTCAAATTTTCTACATGTGAAATTTTTTCTTTTAATTTTTTTTCAATAAAAAAAATTATTAAAATTTTCAGATGTCGGCTAATTTAATTTTCATTATCAAACTTCAATATTTGGTGATTAAAAAAATTTGATCTATTATTAAAAAAATGACAGCTGTCCACTACTTCCGGTACTTAAAAATATCAATAAAAATGACCTGCGATTACTTCTATTGATTGAAAATATTCATCAGGATGAATGTACCCAGTTTGCGGTAGCAAAGTGAGCAGAATTCTAATTCCAGCAAGAATCCAATACACAATAAGAGATGGTTTATTTTCAACTTTCTTTGTTTTTTCCTGACTAGATTTACTTGTTGTTGTCCTAGTGAATCGTCTTATCAAATCCCTCAACGTCATCATTCATGTATTTTTTAATAATTTCAACCATAAACACATCAACGTCACATTTTTTGGCAGCTAAAAAAAAAATGAAATCAGCTGATTTGAAAAAAAAAAAAAAAAATATTTTTAAACTTACCGATTAAAAATAATAATATCAAAATGAACATCCATTATTTACATAGCGTTAAGTAATAACAATAACCTATTTATTTACTTTTATTTATTTTTTCAGGTATTTCAAGTGGCGCGCGCACTTGTTTCTGCACATGCGCACGATTAAACAGAACAGAGGTCTCTGCACTCTGCAGCTTGTCTTCTCTTCCGTCTCCTTGGCATCGGCCGCCATTTTAGTTCGTTAAAGTTTGTCGTCCATTCGTGTAGTGTCCAGTTTACTGTCCGAATTTCACAAATAAAAAAAAGCAAACAAATATAAATATTTATTTTGTCGATTTGAATAATCAGCGGTACTACGACTGTTTCGCGTTTTACAAGTGTTTAATAATAATTACATTCGGTGCGTTGATCGCTCGTGATAAAATATAATTAAAAGGATATTATTTTTTTTTTTTTATATAAAATAATAACAATAATAATAATATTAAAAATTGAGACGAAATATATGTGAAGCCTATTTAATCATAACGTGATTAAATATACAATAATATAGAAGAAAGTTTATGCAATTCTATATTAAGGCACGCGCTTGTGCGCACACATAATTATTTCTATTAAAAATTAAAAAAACAAAGCCACACAATATGGCGGAATTTGACGCGAAAATAAATATGTCTCTTGGTAAGTGGCCAAAGCACAAAAATCTTTTAAGTATCTACGATGTAATACCTCCGTGAGCGTACGGTTCAATATAATTTCACAGTTGTTAAATTAACATGTCTACAGATAATTAATCCAATGAAATTTTTTAAAATTTTACATTCACATAAGGATGACCTGACCATACATAATATATACAACCATTAGACAGGTTAAATAAAAAATGTCTAGTTTTTATTTTTCGAAATACCCTCTGAAATACTTTCAGGGAGATGAAAAAAGATGCCTGGTAAAAGTGAAGCCCTTAATATTAATATAATGTGTGGGACTCTTCAATAATTAATTTTATAATTTTCCGATTCTTCATCAGGACCGTATGCTTACGACTCCGTATGCGTACGACTCCGTTTGTACACGAGTCGTATGTATACGGAGCCGTATCGTCTAGTTGCCGTACCTTTAGCCACATCCTTCATATAAATATATAATACTCTACTATATGTCTATTATAAACAATACCATCCAGAACCATACCATAGATAATAATCATAACAATGATTTGAGTGTATACAGATATATATATATTATGTAAATAATATATATTTATAACAGCACATACATACCAAGATCAGAAGATGGTGGTGTTTCCTTAAAAGGAATTTTTCAAGTAACAACGAGAATAATTATTATCTCTCGAGAAGATCATTACCATTACGACGGATGATATTTATAAGACGTTAAATCACCAGGGAGTTATTTTAAATCAAGATATATATATAGATAAAATGGAGTACACGTAATGCATGATGTTAAAATTGTCAGAAATTTAAAAATGTATTTTAAGGAAGCTACATGAGTCATGTCGGTTGTCTTCAGCGATTTAGTTTACGCGAGTGATTTATTATGGAATAAATTTGTTTATCAATATGAAGAATAGTTTAAAATTTCCCAATGATTTTTTTTAAGATATAAATCCTGTTACTTTGCGTGAAAAAAAATTCATATGAATTTTAAAATAATTAAACGCGCTGTTTTATTATCCTTCAACATCTTTTATTAAAAAAATAAATTTTATTTATTAAATTTCATTGAGACCGTACGCTCACATTAAAGCTAAAATATTGAGAGTTAAAAATATGAACGGCAACAAGAAAACGATCAACCAATTTTACCTTTATTTAAGATGAAATCATAAAACTGGACCGCAGGGAAAAAAAGAAAAATGTCAATGGAAAACCAGCTATCAAGAGGAACTTGAGAAGAAATAATACAAGAGCTACAGGACGTCCACGTAATGCTGCCGGTGTTGGAACTAAAACTTTTAACGCCAATTTTAAAAAGAACTTTAATAAAAATGGAGTTACTCCTAACGCGAAAAAACGCAACCAGAGTCAGGCTTGGCGGCTACAGAGAGGCCGAAATGCTAATCAGCCCAACAGTGGGTTTATTACTAAGAGATACAAGCAGCAGCAGCAGCAGAATGGAGTTGTTAAGAGAGCCAAGCCTGGATTTGTGCTGAAAAATAAGCAACAGCAACAGCAGATTAACAAGAAAGCGCTCGCTGTTCGTCGCACAAAGAACCCGAGATTCGGGTTGACTAGATCGAGGAGTCGTAACAACCTTTCTACGATCCCCGTTAAAAATTTTTCGTCCAACTCTCGAGTACTCAAGAAAACAAACAGCCTTCCGGATTTGCGTAACCCCAATTCGGTTCACAATCGTCTGGGATATCAGAGTCTAAATCAAGTTGCGTACAGAAATCGCGTTAAGAGAGCTAAGAAATTGTTACTTCAGCTTCAGAACAAACAGAAACGCGCCGACGATCAGCTGGTAATTTATTTGCTTATTTATTTAAGTTGTAATTAATTAATACAAATTTATAATTATAATTTATTTTTCCAGGTGTATCGCCCGGCAAAAGCACTGACAGCATTACAACGACGCGCACTCGAGCGTCGCCAGCAACAACAACTCTTATCAACGCAACAAAGGATGTACAACGCCGGTGGACTTCGTTCTGATCAAATATTACGCACTCAGCGGCGTGCTCAATACGCCCAGAAACTTATGAGACAAAAGTAAACTATTGAATTATTTTATTGTATTTTTTTTTTTTTTTTTTATTAATTATCAGCTTGTAAAGTCGTGATATTTTGCAATTTTTTTTTATCAGTTAATGCGTTGTTACTAGGAATTCGAGTAATTATCTTTTAATAGCCTAGATAAAATACGTCTAAAACTATTGATTAACCCTAGACTGGTCACCCTATGAGCGTGACGCCGCGCTCAATTATATTTTGTTTGTTACATCTTCAATATTTACTAAAATTATTCAAAAAAATTTGAATTTGTTCCTTGAACATTTTAAAATATATTAATAATTTTTTTAAACATCTTCGAAAATTTTAAATTGCTGAAAAAAAATTTCTTAAAAAAATTTGCGGGGCTTTCCTCATCGCTTGACCAGAGTCGTAAGTAGTTTTTTGTCCGCGGCGTTGTCGAAAACACCTCTAGTCTCTGCCTGTCAAACGTGTATGAACTGGCAACACTGTACGCTCTAAAAGCATTGCGGCAAATCCCTCATCACTCGACCAAAGTCGTTAGGTCGCATTTGGTGACCAGTCTAGGGTTAAAGTCTTGTAAAATTAAATGTATTAAATTTTATTGCAAAAAATGAAACCCGAATATTTTAAAAACCTTATTTTGAATTTTTTTTACTCTATCTAATTGGTAGTTAATACCATAATTCAAGAAAGTTGTTATTAATTAAGGTCTGACTTTCTCGTAAGATTCGGAAAAATACTAACATTTTTAGAAATTTTTTTTTTTTTTTCAAAATTTGCACGGTGAAAAATAAATTAAACTTCACTAGTAGATTAATAAGGACTTTAACTATTAGATAAAAATTAAATTTATGCATAATCTAATATTTTTTATTTAACATTGATGGCGAAAGGACCTTCTTAATTTTTGTTTTTATTTTTATTTTTTAGCGCTACTAGAATGAATCCAAACGTCAATTTTATGTGTACTCTTGGAGATGAGTACAGCATGAACCGCCAGATGACTTTTAACCCAGCTCCGCCTCGTAATTTGGCAAATATGCGTCATATGTCTCGAGAACGATCACCTTTCAGACCCACTATGCAGAACTCCGTAATTTTTTTTATTTTTATAAACTTATGAGTGATAAAAAATAATAGCTTACATCATTGTAAGCTAAAAAATTTGGAAAACTTGTGTGAAAATTTTATAAAAAATTTCTTATCGCTCATAGGTGTTTAATTTTGTAATTATTTATATTAATAGATAATAATTATCTCTATTTTTATTTATATACAGCTTCCAAGACCACAATTCATAAGATCACGAAGTCGTTCACGGTCTCGCTCACGCAGCCGTGCCCAAAATGTGGCGTCAATACCAGCAAATCCTGATGACCGTACCTTCAGCCAAGTTATGTACAGTGTTTCCAACAATCTTGGAGTTACTGGCAGAACTCTCAACGACAGATTTAGCTTCTAATTAATTAATTAATTAACTAACTTAATTATAATGATATTAATATTAAAATATATTTATCAAAGACTGCGTCAGGCGTTTAAATCATGGTTAGCAGCAATTAAATATGCGTAATCGTACTAAGTGTATGATCTATTGTGCTGATGCACTGGTGTATAAAATATTCTATAAAAGAATCGATTGATTACATTTAAATTTAAAAAATTAATATTAAGTTTATTCAATTTTTTGTTAATTTAATTTAGTATGGACTAAATTTTTTCGTTGATTCAATAATTAACTCATTTTTTTTAATTTATATTGTGTAATTTTAATTTTAATTTTATTTCAATTGAGTGAAAATAAATGAAAAAAATAACTAATTTTTTTCTATCCAATATATTTATCTTTAATAAACATTTTAATAGCTTATTTACTTGAATAAAAAAAATTACCTCTTTTTATCAACTCAACTTTTTTTTTTTTTTTTTTTTTTTTTTTTTTTATCAGCTGATGAAATAATATTTTTATCGATGATAAGTCATGACTAATAGACTCTCCAAGGCATTTAAACTTAAGAATGCATATCTTGCTCGGTGAAAGTTTCACTCGGGTATTTCCGGTGTAGCCACGGTAGAAACCAAAAAACGAGCGTGCGCATGCGTAATTGATTGGCGCATGCGCATAGAGCGCGGCGGAGGAGGGTAATTTCGCCGAAAGGAAGAAGAAGCCCAGAGGGATCCACTGATCAGTCACATGGTTTTTAATTTTCATCCCAGCAGCACACGGACTTGCTTCGATTACACTAGTACAGAGATAAATTACGAGTTAGTGTAGTAGTACTGGTGATAAAAATATAAGAGCAAAAAGAGTGAAGTTGGTGGTAGACAAGAAAGATAAAACCCAAGCACCAGCTGACAGTCCATTGCCACCGTCTTAGATTCAAGTAACATGGCCACCATGTTGTCCCGGGCGATTGTCCGTTTAAACTCTAAAGTAAGTTTTATTAAATATTTTCAATTGATAAATTACTTTTTTTTTTATAAATTATTAATTTATTTTTCTTCTGAACAAAGTGAAGAAGTAATTGAATTAATTTTTAAATATTTAGATCATGGTTACTGATCAACATTGAACGATCTCCATATTAGATTGTGTCAAGTCGCTAAATTAGGCGCCAGGGTCAGACAATTTAAAGCCAATTTATCGCAAAACGTTGCATTGCGCCAATGACCTTGTTTATTCGATTATTTTTTTAGGATTAATAATTATGCAATGACTATTAGTGTTATCTCTAGTGTACTTTTTTTTTTTTTACTTTTCGTCAGTCAAGGTTAACTCTTATGACGTTACGTTTGTTGTTTATTATTAGAAGTTTAAAATATCCCGAGTTATGTTCTTGTAATACAATATAAATATGATCTGTGAAAATAGTGTTAATGATATTGTTTAGTATGTATTAACTTAGCGTGTATTTTTGCTCTTTTAGATTCTTTCAAAGTCTAATGGATTAGTGAAACAACCGGTGAGATGTCTGAATGTACATGAACACATCTCATACAGCTTGCTCAATGAAGCCGGTATTCCGACTCCCAAATTTGGAGTTGCCAAGACTCCAGATGAAGCTGCTACTCTTGCTGCTGATCTCAAGACCAAGGACATTGTCCTGAAGGCCCAGGTTTTGGCTGGTGGCCGTGGAAAGGGTCACTTCAAGGACAGCGCTGTCAGTGGTGTTAAAATGTGTGAAACGTATGTATTTATGTTTTATATCAAAATTAAATTAGCTATCTAAAAAGTTTTTTATTTTAAAAAATTATTAGAAGAAAAAATTTTAAGTGCAATTTTTTTTAAATATTTTTGATTCTTATAATTTTTATTGATTAAAAAAATAGTAATGATTTACAAGTGGGGTCACACCCATTTCTGGCCATAATTAGGTGAAAAATTAACATTTTTTTTTATTCTGCTTATTTTTACGGCGCATTTATGAGAAAAAAATGTCGTGAAAAAAAAAAAAATAAAGATTTTGATAGCTTTTTTGCCTCCAAAAGTTGGAAAAAATTTTGACTCTTATGTTTTTGGATAACATTTCTATTTTATCTTTTTTTGATATTATTATATATATATTTTTTTTTTTTGAAAATTTGTTAAAATTGTGTGATACTCAACTTTTTTTTTTTTTTTTTTTTTTTTTTTTTTTAAATTGTTCAGTTATTTATTTATTTCTCAAAAAAAATATGTCAATAAAATCAAATAGAAATTACGTTCACAAAAATTAAAATTAATATGGTTGACCCCACTCGTAAATATTTATAAAAAAAATCAAAAATTATTAAATGTCTGCTAATTTTAGTATAAAATTTATTATTTCTATAATTATAATTTAATTATTGATGATAATTATTAATTATGTTTCTTTATTTTGTTTTATAGACCAGAAGAAGCTAAATCTCTAGCAGCGCAGATGTTAGGAAAATTATTAATCACCAAGCAAACTGGTGAGGGTGGTAGAATATGTAATGCTGTAATGGTAACACAGCGGATGTTTCCTCGAAAAGAATACTACTTAGCAGTTATGATGGAGCGAGCCTTTGGAGTAAATATTAAACCTAAATAATTTTTTACCTAATTAAAAAATTAAATTAAAAAAATTTTTTAATTCATAAATTAATACACTTCAGGGTCCAGTAATAATTGCCTCAAGTCAAGGAGGTGTAAACATTGAGGAAGTAGCCGCTACCAACCCAGACGCCATTATGTACGAACCAATCGACATCAACAAAGGCATTACTAAAGAACAAGCGAGCCGCATCGCTGAAAAACTTGGTCTGGGCAACGTTAAGGATTACATCTCAAACATCATCTTGAACCTTTACGCCATGTTCCTGAAGAAAGACGCACTTTTGCTTGAGGTCAACCCTCTTGCCGAAGACATCCAAGGCAACTGTAAGTTATCAAAAGATTAGAATGAGTAATAAGTAGATTAAAAATACTTATCGCTATTTTTTATCAACATATATTTATGTTTATATTTATATTATTCTAGACTTTGCACTTGATTGCAAGTGCCGATTTGACGACAATGCCGAGTTCCGGCAAAAAGACCTCTTTGCCCTCCGGGATTGGACTCAAGAAGACCCCAAGGAGGTCGAGGCCGCTAAGTTCGAGCTGAATTACATCGCGCTTGATGGAAATATTGGATGCATGGTCAACGGTGCAGGTTTAGCCATGGCTACCATGGATATTATCAAGCTTCATGGTGGAGAACCCGCTAACTTTTTGGATGTCGGTGGTGGTGCTACTGCTTCTGCTGTCAAAGAAGCCTTCAAAATTATTACATCCGATCCCAAGGTAAAATTTATTTTTAAATAAATAACTGGGAGTAAATTTATTTAATTAAAATAATTTATTATTGTTATTAGGTTTATGCCTTGTTGGTCAACATCTTCGGAGGTATCATGAGATGTGATGTAATCGCAGAAGGTATTATTGCAGCCACGAAAGAATTAGATCTCAAGATTCCAGTTGTTGTACGACTTCAGGTAATTTTTTTTTTTTATTTTTGATAAACTTATTTTTAAATAAATAATGGCATCAAATTTAGCTGTCACTTGACAATTTTTTAATTTTCTTTAACAAGCAAATTTGTTCCAAAAAATTGCATTCTTAATGTTAATTTTTATTGTAATAATTTATTTGTGATCATAATTCTTAAAATTATTAAATTTCTGCTAAATTAATTTAAATATTGTTATGACATTAAAAGTAGCAGTCACTTGATCATTTTTTGATTTTTTTAACAAACAAATTTTTTCAAAAAAATTGCATTTTATATTTTTTTTAAATTTCTACTTGTCAATTTTTTTTTTGCAATAATTTATTTGTCATCAAAATTCCTAAAATTATTAAAAGTCTGATAAGTTAATTTTAATATTGTTATGATATTAAAGTTAGCTGTCACTTGACAATTTTTTAATTTTCTTTAACGAACAGTTTTGTTCCAAAAAATTATTTTAAAAAAATAGAATTTTTAAGTTTTTAAAATTTCTACATGCCAATTTTTTTTTGTCATAATTTATTTGTTACAAAAATTTTTAAAATGATCAAATATCGGCTAAATTAATTTTCATTAATTAATAATTTTTTTATCAATGAATTTTAAATTACAGGGAACAAACGTCGATGAAGCCAAAGCTTTGATTGCTAACGCTGGATTGAAAATCGTACCAGTAGATGATCTTGATGAAGCAGCTCGCATTGCTGTAAAATTGTCGACAATTGTAAAATTAGCTCACTCAGCAAACCTCAGCGTTAACTTTGAAATTCCTCAAATTTCATAAATTTAGCGCTGATTTAATTGAATAAACGTATTGACATTATAATTAAAAAAAATCGCCATAATCTTAATGCGACAAAATCAATAGTAAAATTAAAAGTTAATATTTATAATATTTTTATCAATTTAGCATAATTATTTTTTTATTTATGTTAAAATCACTCAACTGAAAAAAGCACGTGGAAATTACCTCTCTCATTAATACTGCAACACTTGTAAATTAATATACATATATATATATATCGCTTCGCGGTACTGACAGACATATAAATATTATCTGTTTAATTGAAATATTTATCATATTGATATAGAAAAAATTCTTGAGAAAATTAAACTTAACAAATATCGATATAAAATTGCAATTTAATAAAAGTAGCCACAATGAGAAAAATTTTTGGCAGGCACTTGTATTTTATTATGTCTTGGTTTTATTATGATGCTCAGATCGGTCGTAGGTCTGCGATTCAGTATTAAACATTTTATTTTAATGCCTGCGTTATTTGAAAGTTTTAAAATTTTTCAGTCATACTTTTAATTGTTATACTGAAGGTATTGATTGAATTATAAATAATAATTAATAATATATTAATGTATATAGTTATTTTTTATTAATTATTATTATTGCTATTAATTTTAATGAAAACTGGCTGATGAAATTTTAATTCACCGTTTTGATTTAATATTTATTACCAATAAAACCGATTAATTAAACTAAAAAAATATATTTATTTCTTCTTTTCTAAAAATCCTTTTAATTATTAGTTAAATTTTATTATTATCATTATTATTATTATTATTATTTTTTACAAATTAAATATTCAAATAAAATTGACAAAAATTTTAATTATTCATCGGTCAAAAATCTAAAATTGAAGTACATATTTTTATTTACATAAAATAATAATAATAATAATAATAATAATGGTTGAATCCTAATATAAAATTGAGATGAAATATATGTGGCATCAAACTATTCGTAACGTGATTGGTCGAATATATCATAAGCATGAAAATATATGCAAACTCTATAGTCAAGGCGCGCGCTTGCGCGCGTAAATTCAATTCTAGTCCCATAATAAAATTGAGATGAAATGTATGTGGCATCAAACTTTTCGTAATGTGATTGGTTGAATATATCATAAGCATGAAAATATGTGCAAACTCTATAGTCAAGGCGCGCGCTTGCGCGCGTAAATTCAAATTTTAGTAAATTTAAAAAAATCATTTAAAAAATTTTTATCTTATTACCAAAAGTTTGATGATTTTTTTTTTTTTTGGTATTCAAAAATAATTGTTTTCTTCTTTATCAACCCAACTAGGAAAAAAAAATATATCAACCAATAGAATTTCCCCACGCGATATTGCTGACAGTTCCATTTAAAATGGCCACGCGGTGTGTGATGCAGCGGGTAGTTTTTCCTATTTTTATAATAATTATATCCTTAACAAATATACTTGGAGGTAAATATACATTTAACATACAATTATCCTTAAATAATAAAAAAAAAATAACTATTTATACTTGTGATAACACAAAAAAAAAAAACATCAAATTAACCTACAACTTATTGTTTTAGTAACTGGTACTCCCTACGTCACTTACAGCTCCGTTTTAAAATTATTAAATGTTGACTATAAAGTAAGGTTGCACTCTCACGATGTCAAGTATGGCAGTGGAAGTGGACAACAATCCGTAACAGCAACAGAAGTTGAGACTGATGCTAATTCATATTGGTTTGTCAAGGGTCCCACTAAAAAACCATTCACCAGAGGGTAATTTAATTTTTTCTCCTATCTAAAATTTATGAAAATTAATTTAATAATTTTTTTTAACAAACAAATTATGACAGGAAAAATTGAGATGTAAAAATTTTTAAAAATGAAAAATGCAATTTAAAAAAAAAATTTGTTTGATAAAAAAATTACAAAAATGTTCAAGACTACTTTAGTGTCATCAAAAATTTGTTTTAAGTAATTTATTAATTAAAATTTTTTTTTATTTATAGAGAACCTATAAAATGTGGAGATACGGTAAGATTCGAGCATGTAAATACCAAAAAAAATCTTCATTCCCATTTAATGCGCTCACCATTGAGCGGCAAGCAAGAAGTATCAGCTTATGGTGACCAAAAAGGCGAGGGTGATTCGGGTGATCACTGGATGGTTGTTTGTAATTCAGAATATTGGGATAGACGTGAACCAGTTACTCTCCAGCATATCGATACTCAAGTGTAAGTCTTTATTTTTATATTAATTTTAAAATTTATTAACTGAAATTTTGTTCAATTATTGAAATAAAAAATTTTTTAGATTTTTATCTGTAAGCGGAAGATCGTACGGATCTCCAATTGCGGGGCAAATGGAAGTAGTCGGAGAACACTCGGTACATAGTGGGTACACGCAATGGCAAGCGATGGAAGGACTTTTCATCAACCCGACAAGCTTACACGGCAGTAGGCACGATGAACTTTAGATGAATCACTCGAGATAATTAATGATTAAATAAATTAAAAGATTAAGACTAAAATACAATAAAAGTTAAGGCATAATAATTAATTTAAATTAATTGTCTTTAAGACTCTGACATCACTCCATCGATAATTGAGTTGTAAATATATTCCACTTGATATGTCAATGCATAAATGTTAGTTTTTGTTTGTCAGTGTGAATGAACCAAAGCACGAGGATTATCAATAAATAATTAAATTAAATAGTTTATATTGTATTTTAATATTTATAGTACATACATAATTTACAATAATTACAAGATTTTTAGGTGAAACTGAAGACAGAAATTTTTTTATAATTTTTTAGCAATTTTTATGAAAAAAAAAATTTAGTAAAAAAATTCCTCATGTGAAAATTAAAAAAAAATTTTTAGAAGCATTCTATTGTAATTCATTGACTATAAAAATTGCCAGCTAACTTCAGTATCATGATTTAATGAAGATTAATTTTTTCATTTATAAAAAAATTGAAAAACTATTAGTGCAATTTTTTTAATACATTTTTAAGTTCTAATTTGATAAATAAAACAAAATTAGAAAATCAAATATGTCGGCTAACTTTGTGGTTATAAATTAAATTAGCCGACATTTAAAAATTTTTATAATTTTTTTTTTTCTTTCTTGAAAAATTATGAGAAAAAATTCCACATGTAGAAAATTAAAAAAATTTTTTCAAGTATTTTTTTACTAGTAATTTAATTGATGAAAAAAAAAAATAATTGTAGAACGTCGGCTAATTTTATAATTATCATGATTTTTTAATTAAGCAAAAATATCGAGCCTTTTAATTAAATTAAATATCTTTCAGCAGATATCTTCCTCTCAAATCTCTAGAACTAATTAATCCGTTGTACGGAAAGAATAAATTCAATAGACCGTAGCTGCCGAATATCTGCATTAAATCAAATTTTCTTCTAACATGGGGATAGTATCGTTGTCTTCCGGTGTAGCAATTGAACAACTTCCAAGCTCCGTAGACCAAGCAAACGATCCACACCGAAAATAAAGTATCAAATAATGTTATCAATAGTAAATAAGAAGTTTTTCCGAAGATAAAGAGTCTTGCTATTGCTATTGGAAAGCAAAAATTGATGATTACGTTGACAACACTCGGATCTTGCTCCAATATATCTCTCAAATTCTCATACAGATAAGGCCCGATTACCACCAGAGAGTAGAGACAAGCCAGAGAGGTGTGAAAGCAGATCAGGATAAAGTTTCCCATGTTTTGCTGGATGATACAGCCGCCGATGAAGAAGCAATGATGATCCCGGTAGTGAAAACACTTGTTGCATACTACGCAATGCTGAGTAGGCTTGTACGTATAATTCTGGCACTTGTCGCAGTACCAGTACTTCACATTTGCAGGAGATTCCTGTGCAATGGTTATTGCCACGCTGTCAGAGTCAGACTCGTCGCGTGTTTGACGTCTAGCAGTCGTTTCTCCCTGGCTTATCGTGTAAATTGCAAACCAGTTCAGGTAAACTTGGATCGAAATGAAGATAAACAGCGGTGACAATCCTTCGTTGATGTACAGAGTTGTTATTGTCACCAGGATGCTGAATATCAATGCAATTGGTGGACATATTTTGAAGGCTAATTTATAAAGCTTGCTTTTTTCCATTTAATTTTATTTATTTTTCTGAAACATTAAGGATATTTTTATTTTAATTATTATTTAGTTTTTTGGACTCACCAGTTTGATTGAAATTTATGTCCGCTGCAAACGTCAACTAACTTCCATTGGCCAGTTGTTTATCTTCTGCCACGTTATTTATTTTTGTAATTATTAGTAAGGCTTATAATGTATTGGAATTTTTTTTTTTGTGTAATTTATGACAATTAAATCAGCAGAGACTTGAAAGTTTTTTGATTTTTTTTTTAAAAATAAAATAGTTTTAGAAAATTATTTTTAAAAAATGAAATTTTTATGAAAATTAATTTAGCAGATACTTATTTGACAATTTCTGTAACAAATAAATTATGGCAAAAAAAATCATAAAAAAATTGATATTTAGAAGTTGTAAAAAATAAAAAAAATTAAATTTTTATCAAAATAATTTTTTGGAATAAATTTGTTTGTTAAAAAAAATTTAAAAGTGGTCAACTTTAATGTCATATAATTTTTTTCAAGCTTATAAAGATGGACTTCTATAAATAAATTTTTTTAAGAAAATTAATTTAGCATATATTTGATAATTTTAAGAATTTTATAACAAAAAAATTATAAAAAAAAAAATTGACACGTAGAAATTTTAAAAAGTAAAAAATGCAATTTTTTAAAAATAATTTTTTGGGACAAATTTTTTTGTTAAAAAAAATTTTTTTTTAAATTGTCAAGTGACAGCTAATTTTGATGTCATTTTTTATGCTATAATCGTAAAAAAAAAAATTCTAAAATTATCAGCTGTCACTCAATTTCAGTATCATTATAATTTAATCTTTAAAATTATTTTTTCTTTAAGAATATTTAAATTTAAGTAATTTTTTTTAAAACTTACCATTTTTTATTGTTAATAAAAAAGTAATTTTGCATTGTTACAGGTATTTAAAAAAAAATAAACAATTGTTGGAAGAAAGCATCGATGGCATAATGTAAACAAAAGTGAATTGAGTTGTAAGCAGTACTGAAAAATATAATATTTCAAACATTCACTTGTTTTTCGGAGTGACAACCCTGTCAGCACCCGCGGTGAGATTTTATCTTTTATCTCACTCAAAAATATTTTATCTATAAGATGTCTCTGCAGTGCAAGTGAGACACTAAACGCGCGACTGCAAAAATAATAATCATAAAAAAAATTACTAGAAAATCACCAAATTTAAATTTATAGTTATTTGTTCTACATGTGTGCAATTATTGCTTAGTTCAATTCGAACTTAACCTAATTTCGCAAACAAAAACACTGATCATGTGTTTCAGTTTCAATCTTCCTATTTTACTTATTTTATCATTGCATAAAAAAATTTTTTAATAAAATTTATAAATTTAATCTTGATGACTTATCAATGACAGAAAAAATGGAAGACAACTTGCTTAATTGCAACGTTGATAATAATACTAAAATAGACTTTTCAGGTAAATCATCAGATTAAATTAATTATTTTCAAATTAAATTTATCATTATTGATTACATAAATCTATTATTTTTATTTTCAGGATGTAATATCTGTGGTGACCTTCACAAAACACATGAGTGTTATTTTTTAATCAACTTTCAATATGTAAATATTTATTTTAAACAATTATGAAAAATTATTTTTTTTTTTTTCAAATAATATTTTTCAAAATGAAAATAAATATTTTTTATTACAATTTCTATTTTTAATTGCAGAAAGATACTGAAGTTAACATTAAGTTAGCCGACATCGAAAAGTAAACATTTTTTATTTTATTGAAAAAATTACAAAAAAATAAAAAATTGTCATTTATAAAAAAACTTGAAAAACTATAAGTGCAATTTTAAAAAAATATTTTTTAGTTCTAAATTAAAAACGTCGGCTAATATAATATCATGAATTTAACTAATATACATTTTTTTATTATTCTATAGCAATAAAATTATTATAAAAAAAAAAAATTAATTAAAAAATTCTACATATGAAAATGAAAAAAATTCCAATACAAATTTTTATTCTAATTAACTTTTTATAAAAATTAAATAAATTTACAGTTGTCAATTAACTTCAACATTATAATTACAAGCCATAAAATTTATTTATTTTTTTCATTAAAGTAACTAATTTAATTTATTTATCCAGATACGCGACTCTAAAACAACTACCCGAGCTCGTCAGACCCTACCAACGGACTTGGAGATAACCCGGATGGCCGATGGCACAACAAGTGTCATAGCCAAGCGCAATTACCAGCGAGGAATGACCTTCGGCCCGTTTGAAGCAAAACGAAACTGGGCAATGAACCCCGCAATTAATTTCACAATAAAAATCTTCGGAGAGTCTATCAACAACACTTATTATCTAGACTACTCCGACGAAGACACCAGCAACTGGATGTGCTTCATCCCACCGGCAACCAACGCCAAGGAGCAGAATTTAATTTGCTATCAGTCTAACCAAGAAATTTATTACACTGTCATGAGAGAAATTCCCGTTGGAGAAGAGCTGAGGGTCTGGTACGCGCCCTACTACGCCCAGAAGATGAAGATGCCCTTGCACGTCAATAATAGAGCTCTCCCTCCTCTTCAGCCGATAACAGCTGATGAAAAAGATTCCGTAGAGATTTTAGACGTAGCCCTGGCTCAAGACTTAGCAGATAGACTTCCTCCGACGAAGCTCGGCGCAAAAGACGAAAAGAAAATTTGGACTTGCCGAATTTGCGCGGTGACTATTAACTCAGTGGTTGCTTACGCCAAGCACCAGATGAATCATCACTACAAGCCTCTAATAGGAACTATTTGTATCATTTGTAATAAAAAATTTTCAAATTTTGCAACTCTAGAAAGGCACAGAGTTGATTGTCACAGCTTAGAAAGTAATGAAGAAAATATTGTCGGAATTCCAACAACTGCTAACCAGCAGCAACAAAATGCCGCGACTATTTTGAACATGAGCGAGCAATTTATGACCGAAAAAGAAAATCATGATTTGTCATTACTGGACAGTTCGATTAACACCAATGATTTACTTCATCATCCTGGAAGTCTTATAGAAAATTCCTCCCTAAAATCCATTCTTGAAAATCAATGCTTAAATATGAACGTAAGTTCCATGGCTGACTCTATTTTATCCGAGCACATTTCAAGCGTGGATTCTGTCAAGTTCAATGTTGAAGAATTGTCTTCAGAGCTGCTAGACATAACTCCGGATGACGAGGAAAAAATTTCTGATAATTCAACTGAGAATTTTGATTGCGATATTTGTGGAAAAAAATTCCTACGGGTACATTATCTGTACCGTCATTTGCGCAAACATACTGGAGAATTTATATGCTCAACTTGTCTCTGTGTATTTGCTAGGAAAGAAAATTTAGTATCACACGTTTGTGCAGCAACTAAGAGCCAGAGCAAAGGCTTTACTCGGTACCAGTGTTCATATTGTCCGAAAAATTTTGCAAGAGAAAAATATTTAAAAAATCACATTAAGCGGCACTTTGAGCTTCACCGATGCAGAAGATGTTGGCAAAAATTCTCGAACAAGTCCGAGTTGGACTCTCACAAGTGTGGGTCACCCAAGCAACCTTGTGGCCAGTGTGGGAAGAAATTTTTCAACGCGATTTATCTGAAGCGTCATATCAAGAGGCACAATGAGGCGCCGAAAGCTCAGAAGAAAAAAAAGCCTGGGGAAGAAATATCTTCGATCTGCGAAATTTGTGGAGATATTTTTAAAAATCTTTGGAGTCTTCAACAGCATCAAAAGTCGCACGGAGAAAAAGCTTATGAGTGTGAAATTTGCAATCGACGTTTTCACAGAATTGGTGTTTTGAAGGAACACAAATTTACGCATCAGAGCGCCGAGCTGCCTTGCAATGTCTGTGGTAAGAAATTCAAGAGCAAGAGAGCTCTTGATGTTCATGTTCTGCTGCATGGGAACAAAAAGTACCAGTGCGATAAGTGTGACAAGAGCTTTTTCCAAAAGTACAATTATTTGAAGCACTACAAACAAATTCATACTGAAAAAGTCTTGCATAGTTGTCCTCACTGTTCTCTAACGTTCATGAGTGAAAGCGCTTTTAATAAACACGTTGCTGGTCATGATAAAAATCTAGAAGGATTTCCTTGTGATGTTTGCAAAAAGTTTTTTCACTCTCAAGCTAAGGTTGCCAGGCATATGCAAATTTGCCACAGTGGAATTATTTACAGGTGTCCGTTTTGCAAGTCCACTGTTAAGCACAGGCATAGTTTGAGAAGACATTTTGAAAGGCAGCACAAGGATCTTACTGATGAATGGAGTAAGCCGGGATTTTACAAACAACTTGAAGAAAAGTCAATTGTTGAAAATAGTGGGGAGAGTCCTGGTGAAGCAGGTACTTCTGATCAAATTTTGGTAAAACAGCAAGTTGCTGAAGATGTTACGGAGCATGTAGAAGCTATTGATGAAGTTGCTAAATTAATTGCAGAACCTGTAGCTGCAGAATTTTCAAAGAACTTAAATACAGTTCAAGAAATTCAAGGGACTGAGAATATTCAAGATTTGATCCAAGATGTTAAAAGTGTTGACCCGGAAGTTAACAGTCAGTTACTTAATGATGTTCCTCAACTAAGAATTGATTCAGATTCACAATTAGCTGAAACGGTCTTGAATAATACTTACATTTTTGGCGAAGATGGCGATTTTGTCTTTTATGTTCTAGATAATGATACTATTCTAGAATCGTAAAGAAATATTTTAAAGATTCAGAAGACTGAATAAGTATTTATTAGATGTAGTTGTTAAGTATTTGAGGGCTTATAAAAAAATCTGTTGGAAAAAAATTATTTTATTTTTATGAGCTTGATATATTTGAGAAATATTGCAGAAATATGACAGATTTTTTTTTATGGGTCCTTTAATATCTTTAAAAGTCTATCAGTGCTATACGTATTAATAAAGTATTAAAACTCCAGTCAAAATTAATAAAAATAGCAGATTAAAAGTTTTAAAAAAATTCTATCGATATTTGTTGATATTTATAAAATTTTTAATACATCTGCTATTTTTATTATCATAAATATTATTGTAAGTTAAAGTTACCAATGAAAACTTTGAGACTGATGTAACTGTGATGTAAAATATTTGCAATCTTAAGCAATATTACTTTAAAAAAAATACTATTATTCTCAAGTTACATTTCTCACTTGTCACTATTTTATCTAGATTTACTATCAATAATTTTTCAGTTACCATTTTTTGCATACAGACTTTTGTTTAACTCTAATAAATTTTTTATGTAATAATAGTGATATAAATAAATGATTTTCTCAGGTTTTAGAAATAAATAGCATTTGAAATATTTTCATTTTTATTACTAATCAGCTGTTAATTTATTTGATTTAATTTACCACTTCTATTATTGTTAAATTATAAATATATTACTTATAAAATAAAATAATATGACATTAAATATAGCTGTCGCTTGACAATTTTTTAATTTTATTTAACAAAAAAATCTGTTCTAAAAAATTATTTAAAAAAAATTGTATTTTTATTTTTTTTAAATTTCTACATGTCAATTATTTTTTCTAATTTTTTTTGCTGTAATAATTTGTTATAAAATTCTTAAAAATATTCAATATATGCTAAATTAATTTACATAAAAATTATAAATGAAAAAATCGTCAAGTGTCTGCTAATTTGAGTATCAAAAAACTTAAACAAAGAACATTTATTATTATTCTTTATACTAAACACTCGAGTCAGTGACATTCTCAAAAAAATTCAAACACTAAAATAACATTTGACTAAAGTCCCGTCAAAAGATGAATAAAATAGCGCGTGCGCGCAACGACATCGTATGTAATTTTTTTTTTTATTTTACAAAAGGCTGATCGTAAAATTTTGTCCGCGGTACTGCGCGATCGTTCTTGATGATTTTTATACTATTAAAACACTAGTGGACCAATTAGTAGTTAATTTGTGTAGTTAACCGAAAACAAATAAACAATTACCAAAACAATAATAATCACAAGTAAATAATCCAAAAACAGTAAGACAAAAACTAATAATAATACCAATTTAAATATTCACATAAATAGATAATAAAAGCATCTACAGGAAAGTGTCAGCTAGCTACAGCAAAAAAAAAAAAAATTCAAATCCAACATCTTGAGAAATTATTATCCATTTCTTTGTATAAAAACAGGGCCCACGGCCGGGTGATGCTTGCATATGTCTAGGCTCGGGAGGACCCAGCCTCTGGCAATAGGACAGGTGAAGAGGCCCGCTGTCGAGCATCATCACCACAATCATCACAACCACAGTCACTACGGTCCTAGCACTAGTGGTAGTAATAATAGCACCAGTAGCAGCAGCAGCAGCAGCGGTCCCAGCACTAGTACCAGTGCCAATAATTTGATTCAGTATCAACGTCAGCCTGTACCACCTGTGCTGATTGACTACGGCGGTGGCCCGTCAAAGCGCTTCAGACACAATAACCACCCCGGTAACTCAGCTTCGACCTCCAAGGCCGCGGCATCAACCTCTAACAACGTCGACGACGACGACGACGACGACGACGAGGAATTTGATAACAGTATGACTGACACGGCGACAGCTACCACCGAGAAAAGAGCTAATTTTTCGGCACTAAATGTTTCTAATCCAAATGGAGTTAATAAGTTGTCCAATGTTGCTAATTCCAAGCCAGGATCTGCTAAAAAACTTATTATTAAAAATTTTAAAAGTAAGAATTTATATTTAGTTTTTTTTTTTTTTTTTTTTTTTTTAATTTATTAGATTTTTTTTAATGGCGATTCATTTTTAGTGTGACATAACCTACAATCAGCTGACTGTAATTGGCAGACTGCCTTTAATTGCGAAATTTGTCATTGAAAATTATTGTTTTTTTTTTTTTTTTTTTTTTTTTTTATTCACCAGCCTTAAATTCAGACCTATTTTTTTTAATTGTTTTCTGGTTGTAATTGTCGTTTGGTTTTTGTCAACGCGACATAACCTGTATGTTAATAATAGTAGAAATTATTTTTGATAATCATAATTCTATAAGAGGATAAAAAATGGAATAAATGAAAAAAAAAAAAAGATTGAGAAACAATAAAATAGCATATGATGCTCGAGAATGTTCGTCAATGTGTACATTTATAGAATTTTTCGTCACTTTTTATTTTTATTTATATTTAGTTTTGTTACTCATTGTTGGTAGTTTTTTTTACTTGAATAAAATTTGTTATTTTATTTTCAGACAAGCCAAAACTCCCGGAAAACTATCAGGAGGAAACATGGGAGAAACTGAGAGAAGCTGTAGTTGCGATACAGACTAGCAAAAGCATACGTTACTCGCTGGAAGACTTGTATCAGGCTGTTGAGAACATGTGCAACCACAAGATGGCTTCGACGTTGTACGCGAACTTGACAGTGCTGACGGAGTCTCACGTCAAGGCGAACATTGAACAATTTTTAGCCGAGTCCATGGATCGGCATATATTTTTAAAAAAGATGAACGAGTGTTGGCAGAGTCATTGTCGCCAGATGATTATGATTCGCAGTATCTTTTTGTACCTGGATAGAACTTATGTTTTACAGAATCCTACTATCTCGTCTATTTGGTATTCATTTTTATTTATTTATTTATTTATTGTATGAACCTTGAAAATTTTTTTTATCTAGTTATTAATTTTTATTTTTATTTTAAACACCGGGATCAAGGTCTAGAATTTATTAGAGATAAATTTAAGAAAAATTAATTTAGCAGATATTTGATAATTTTTGTAACAAATTACCCTGATTAGAAAAAAAGATTTGAAACGTTTTAAATCTTTTTTTTTTTAATAAGGGTATGACAAAAAAAAAAAATTAAAAATTCAATTTTTTAAAATAATTTTTCGGAACAAATTTTTTTGTTAACTTTAATGTCATAAAAAATTATTCAAATTAAAAATTATTAAGAATTGGAATAAAAACAAAAAAAAAGGTAAATATTTACGAGTGGGGTCAACCATTTTAATTTTCATTTTTTTGAACGAAATTTCTATTTGATTTTATTGATAGTTTTAAATACATAAAAAAAGAACAATTAAAAAATGAAATAAAAAATAATCACCAATAATTATTTTAGGGACATGGGCTTACACCTCTTCAGGATGCACATAGTGTTAAATAACCTGGTGCAAACCCGAACAGTGGAAGGTCTGTTGATGTTAATAGAAAAAGAGCGTCAAGGAGACACAGTCGATCGAACACTCTTAAAATCATTATTAAGAATGCTCTCAGATCTCCAAATCTACCAGGAAGCCTTCGAGACAAAGTTCCTGATGGCGACCGAGCGGCTTTACGCGGCGGAGGGTCAGCGACTGATGAACGAGCACGACGTCCCGGAGTACTTGGCCCACGTGGACAAGCGACTACAGGAGGAGAATGAGCGACTCCTCCACTACCTGGACATGTCCACCAAATGGTCGCTGATCCACACAGTAGAGAAGCAGCTTCTGTCTGAACACGTGACTAGTATCTTGCAGAAGGGTCTCAGCGGGTTGCTCGAGGAGAACCGCATTAGCGACCTAACGTTACTCTACAACTTGTACAGCCGTGTGAAGAACGGGCTGGTGGAATTGTGCGTTAACTTCAACGCTTATATCAAAAAGAAAGGCAAGACGATAGTGATCGACCCGGAGAAGGACAAGACCATGGTCCAGGAGCTGCTGGACTTCAAAGATAAAATGGATAATATTGTTAACACCTGTTTTTACAGGAATGAAAAATTTGGTAACAGTTTGAAGGAAGCCTTTGAGGCGTTCATCAACCAGCGCGCAAACAAACCCGCGGAATTGATAGCCAAGTTTGTAGACATGAAGCTAAGGGCAGGCAACAAGGAGGCGACTGAGGAAGAATTGGAGAGACTGCTGGATAAAATAATGGTTCTCTTCCGTTTCATCCACGGCAAAGATGTCTTCGAAGCTTTCTATAAGAAAGACTTGGCCAAGAGATTGCTCGTAGGGAAATCAGCTTCTGTTGACGCGGAGAAGTCGATGCTTTCTAAGTTGAAGCAAGAATGCGGAGGTGGATTTACTAGCAAGCTAGAGGGCATGTTCAAGGACATGGAACTCAGCAAGGACATTAATATCGCCTTCAAACAGTACTCTGGTAATCTCCAGCACGAGATAGTAGCTAATAATTTGGATTTGACGGTATCTATCTTGACAATGGGCTACTGGCCGACCTACCCGGTTATGGAAGTCACGCTGCCCTCGGAAATGGTCCAGTACCAGGAGGTGTTTAATAAATTTTATTTAGGCAAGCACAGTGGACGCAAACTTCAATGGCAGCCGACTTTGGGGCACTGTGTTCTCAAAGCTTGGTTCCAGGCGGGGAATAAGGAACTTCAGGTATCACTCTTTCAAGGCCTTGTGCTTATTTTGTTCAACGATGCTGATGATTTGTCGCTAGAGGAAATTAAAGCGGCTACGAATATTGAAGACGGTGAATTACGCAGGACTTTACAGTCGCTAGCTTGTGGAAAAGCTAGAGTGTTGCAGAAAAATCCACGCGGGCGTGATGTTGCTGATAATGACCGTTTTGTCTTCCACGCTGATTTTACTAATAAACTTTTTAGAATAAAGATTAATCAGATTCAAATGAAAGAGACGGTAAGGATTTTTTTTTTTTTTTTTTTTTTTTTTTAGTTGTTTTGATGTTTATTTTTTTATGGATTAATTTTTTTTTCTTTGATGTAGAATGAAGAACAAAAGGCCACTGAAGAAAGAGTTTATCAAGATAGACAATATCAAATAGATGCAGCTATTGTGAGGATTATGAAAATGAGGAAAACCCTGACTCATAATCTTCTTATCAGTGAACTTTATAATCAACTAAAATTCCCTGTCAAGGTAATTTTATTTATATATTTATTAATATTAATTAGAATATTTCTTTGTCGCTGTTATCTTCAACTGTACGCTGAGATTAGTTATTTTTTTTTAAATTGGCATTGTGAGAAGATAATTAATTTGTTGAAAATTAAAAAAAAAAAATTCATTTCTTCAGCTAAAAAATGAAAAAAATTTAATGAATTGATTTATATTAAATTAATTATATACGTTATTAAGAGAATAAGCAAAATTTTGTGGCCAGTGTATTTATATGATAAAATGGGTTTTTATGATTAAATTTAGTATCGTTTGAAAACTCTTGACTTGGAGTTGTGCCTTTTCATGGTTTCAATCTTACCAATAGTCAATTTATGATGATACGTATTTAGGCTGCATTCAAAAATACTATATCTCTAGATACAGAATTAAGAAATGACCTTGTATCTCGTGAACTATTGACATTTTTAATGATATAAGTTCATCCCAATGTTACACTCATCGAGACCTTTCATTTAAGTACCCACATCAATTTTTCATATATTTATATGTATTATATATATATATATATATATGAAAAATATATCAAAATGCATGTGGGTACTCAAATGAAAGCTCTTGATGAGTGTAACATCGGGATGAGCTTATATCTTAAAAATGTCAATAGTTAAAAAAGCAAAATTTTATTTATTTATAGTTTACAAGTCACGGCAGTCACATAATGACTGCAAGATTACTAGTTATTAATTATTAAATTAATTTTTTGAAAAAAAATTTTTTATCTTAGTTTATATTTTAAAATGCATTCTGAATGATGATTAATGTTTTTTATATTTTAAAAATTTAGCCGGCTGATTTGAAGAAAAGGATCGAATCCCTGATAGATCGTGACTATATGGAACGGGACAAAGACAATGCAAATCAGTACAATTACGTTGCGTAACCACAACCACTTACCAAAGTAACGTTGAACCTACGGGAATTGTGTTTAGAATTAAAATAATCAGCATAACATAAATGGAAATGGAATAAAATAAAATAAGTAAATAAAAATAAGTCAAGGTAACAGAAGATAAACGACTGGCTTAGCTCGCAGTTTAAAATAAATCTAACAAGCAATAAAATTTATTACTCAATGTCGTCAGTGACAAATGGAGGATCTGGAATTTTATTTTATCAATCAGTGAACAAGTGACTACTTTAATGCAGCTTCTAAAATTATCCAACAGTGAAATGAATTTTTTTAATAATTACATAGCTCGATATTTTTTCTTTTTTTATTTTTTCACTTGATTCAGGTTCTTTTTTTGTTTTTATTAAAAAGAATGTAATTATAAAAAAAAAAAAAAAAAAAAAAAAAAAAATAAGTACAGCTCAATAATATTTGCTTGCAATAAATTGAGCTTGCAATGATACGATACAACTAAACTTTGTAACGATTAATAATAAATAATAATTACATTTTAAGAGACTGTTTGTACGAGTGAAAAAGTGTTGAGTGTTTCCAGTGCGTAGACGTCGACTTAAATAATAATTATTTACAAAACATAAAAACTAAACAATTGATAAATAAACTCCAAAAGATCAAAGGATTAAAATGATAACAATAGCATACAATAAATATTATTAAATTTTTTCATTGAAATAATCAACAAAGTGTGAACTATTATAGAATATAATTGTATAAAAAATTATAACTTACATTTAATATCATCATTTATAAATAACAAATCATTATGATTATTAATTGATATTAATATTAATTATTATTATCATCATTATGATTATAAAAAAACAATTTGTTGAGAGGTCATGAGACTTTTTTGTGATCATCTCATTATTTATCAACGTAGCTTATTCATTTACTGCAACAACTAATTAAAAAAACCATGGCCAGATTTTTTATGTTTTAATTTTATATCACAGTAGGGCAAGTTAATTTAAAAGTATCTGGCCGGCATTAAATAATTATATTTTGATACAAACACAGTAACTAGTCGTAAATCATAGATATGATTTTCAAAATATTTTTTACCATCAATAAAAAAAAATGCTACAAAATTATTTTTTTAGTTCTGATAAGAGTGTTATACATTATGTTTATAATTTATATTATTAAATAATGAATTTACCAATAAAAAAAAAAAAAAAAACTAAAAAAAAATTAAAAAAAATTAAACTATGTGCTGTGTTTGTGTCCACTTTTTGGACTTATGGTAAAACTTATTGATTAATTATCATTATTTTAATAATGTAATATTTCGTAGGATTTGTCAAAGGAATGTAAATAGGGTAAGATTAAAAAAAATCACTAAATAATAAATATTCTTACTTGTAATAGAAATACAACGAAACTGATATTATAAATATCAATATTAACTTTTTTTGCACTAATTGTATAAGTCAAAAAATTAATTTTATCTTATATTGTAACTAAAATAATTATATAGATTGCGTTACATATGTCGCGTTCCAGATGCCATAAGGGCGTATACCGGCAAAAGGTCCCGGTGAAAATCCGTAACCTTTTTTGCCAGAAATACAAAAAAAAATTTTATGACTCCCGGGACCTACCTCGGATGCCATAAGGGCGTATAATAAAAATTCTATTTTTTTTTCTAAGTCCAAAAAAATTTTTTAGTTTGGAGAAAAAATTTTTTTTTTTTAAATGTGCAGAAATGCAAAAAACCATTTTTCTTCAAATTAAAAATTTTTTTGGACTTAGAAAAAATAATAGAATTTTTATTATACGCCCTTATGGCATCCGAGGTAGGTCCCGGGAGTCATAAAATTTTTTTTTGTATTTCTGGCAAAAAAGGTTACGGATTTTCACCGGGACCTTTTGCCGGTATACGCCCTTATGGCATCTGGAACGCGACATATTTATTTATTTATTTATTCAGAGCCATGATCGATTGAACATGCTGATCTTTTTCGTCGATCTCGTTAACAAGAGCGTTCGCAAAATTACCAGCACTAGCTTCTTTATTTAAAAAGTCAGAGACGACTTTAGAAGCCGGCTTGCCGCCTCCGTGAGCGAGACACTCTCTGCGATACTTTTCACCGGCTGATCTGCTGAGTGGGTCTTTCTGGAAGTAAGTCTGCCAGATCCAGGAAGCGACTGCACGAGAAATAAGGTACGAGTAGTACTTTGCGCCGTAACCGACCAAGTGGGAGAACCTCAGCTGCCAAGCAGTGTTCTCTACATAGGGAAGTCCATAGTATTTGTTTTGGATTTCCTCCAGAATTTTTGTTGTAGAGCCTTGGATCTTGTTGGAGTGATACGTTTGATCCAGCATGCTGTAGAAAACCTGGACTTGTAATTCCGAGGCTGGAAATACGTTTTTAGAGGCGCAGAGCTTCTCTATCATGTCGTCGGGCAAAGGTTCTTGGGTTTGATAGTGCTTGGCGAAAAGCTTTATTATTCTTTTGTCGCTTGCAAAGTATTCCATTAATACACTTGGTACTTCTGCGAAATCTGAACTACAGCGAGTTCCTAGAATTAGAAATTTATTAATTAATTATTTGCATTAATATGTTCACTATTTTTCAGTCATAGAAAAATTTTTAATTGAGTTTCAGTCAATTTTTCATTATAATTTGATAATAAAAAAAAAAAAAAAAAAAAACTAATTTTTCATTGTTATTTTTGAAAAATTAAGTTTTAGAATATCATACTATTTTTTTTTTTAAGTATTTAAAATTAAACAATAAAAAAAATGCATCATATGATATGAAAAATTTTTAATGAAATTTTTAATGAAATTTTGACATTCAATCAATAATTTAAAGGCGATAAAATTATTTTTCAATAGTATAGCACTCTAAAAATTGATATCTAAAAAATTTCAATGAAAAAAAAAGACAATTGTGTATTTTTCAATTTTAAAGTAAAAAAAAATTTTATTGTCTAATATTTCATATATATTTTTCAAAAATTAGTTAATAGAATATCATGCAGATTTTTTTTTTTATGTATTAAAAACTGATAAAATTTCATCATATGATGATAACAAAATTTTTAATGAAATTATAGAAGTTAAAAAAATAAATTTTCACTAGCATGAAAAATTCATTTCTAAATATTTTATAAAAAACAAGACAATTATAAATTTTTCAACTTTAAAGTAAAAAAAAAAATAAATTTAAATATAAGAAGATAAAGTCTCAGATCTAAACAAATATTTAATAAAAAAAAAATATTTTTCACCTGTAACATGTTGATACTGTGTTCTCCCGAGCATAGAATGCAGCGCGTGTCCCATTTCATGAAACAAATTATCAACAGCGGAGGGTGAGAGCAAGCAAGGATTGTTCCACCTAGGTGAAGGCAGTGACAGCATCAGAACAACCACCGGATTCTGATAGGAGCCATCCGCGAGCATTCTTCCTCCCCTGATCGTGAAATGACAATCCTGATTGGCCTTTCCAGCGCGTTCGAAAAAGTCGCAGTATATGTGTCCCAGAGTTCCTTCAGATTCATGAACCACCGCGAGTTTTTGCACACTGGGCGCCCAGACTTCTCCAGCGTCCGCAGGTTCTGGTTCAAGTCTTACTCCGTACAAGCTCTGAGTCAAGATATTCAGACCATCCATGCATGCTCCTAAGGAAAAATACGGCGTGAATTCATTGTTGGAGGTTCCGAGCCAGGTTTTCTTGACTTTCGTCGTGAAATAAGTCGTGTCCCAGGGCATCAAAGGCAGCTGGGTTCCAGTTTCTTTAATTTTCATATCCCGCATTGTGTCAAAGTCGTTTGCAGCTCTAGTTTTGAGCTCTAGGTTTAAAATATCCAAAAATTCTCTGACTACTTCTGGAGTCTCGACGGTGCTTCCTTTGATAGCACGATGTGCGTACGTAGGAAACCCGCAAATTTCGGCCAGCTGGTGCCTGGAGTTCAGGAGCTCCTGCAGAAGACTCTCCTGTCGCTCGTCCGGGTACAAAAATATCTTATAAGCAGCTTCACGTGCCAAAGCGTTCGCAGAATCAGTAAAAAGACCGTAGACTAAAATATTGTCTCCTTCTTTCATGAAGTACTGCCTGATGTGCTCAGGAAGCAGCTCGCAGTCGACAGACCTTGGGGTGACGGCTCCTGCCATGAATTTCTGGCCTACTTGGAGGATCTTGTCGTTGATACGCACCACCTGGCGACGGAGATTCTCCGGAAGGTGGATCCCACACTGCTCAAAGTCAAACAGAAATAATTTAGACACGTGGTTATCTATTTCAGAGGTCGGAACTATGTCACCAGAAGCAACGACTTTGCTCAAAGAGGTGTAGAGCTCTCGGTGGGTGTTCAGTTTCTCGACGATCCCGCTCACTGCCAGACAGGTGTCTTCTGCTGCTAAAGCGTACTTTTGATCCGGGTGCGCCATCCGGATGAACTCTGCCAGGTCTGCCACTCTGCAGAGAGAGTCTGACAGGTCGTCGAAGATCTGGACCATTTTACGGGTCCTTCCATGGCCTACTGCTTCTTCTATTAGGCGGTCCGAGTCATTGATTGCTTGGGATTTTAATTCTGTGAATCCTTCTGCGGTTGTTAGCTCTGGTACTCCAAATAATCCCTGCGAAAGTGATTATTTTATTAAAGTTTACTTTTATATTTTATTTATTTAATTTAAATATTGGCCCAATGACAAATGGTACAAAAAAAAAAAAAAAAAAAATAAAAAAGTACATATAAGAATATATACAGATCTACATAGATAAATTGACAAAATTAGGATTATAACTAATCGAACAAAGCATACGATTTAAAATTTGAATAATGAAATCAACTAATTTCAATCAATAAGAATGAGGTGAGTAAAAATAAATAATAATTTGTAGTTTGAATAATAAAATGTCAGACTTTAGTTTGAATTTAAATTTAAAATTTAGAGCACTGCCGATAGCACTAATTTTAATGGCTTCGATCATCGTCAGTGATTTATAAATATATTATAAATGAATTAATTTTATTTATAAGTTATAGTTTTATTTATAAATAAATAAATTAATTAACTTTTAGAATTTTTTTTAACCAATAAATTATAGCAATAAAATTTTTTTGAAAAATTCAATCTTTAGAAGTTATAAAAAATTATAAATGCAATTTTTTTAAAATAATTTTTTAGACCTAGTTTTTGATTATTCAAGAAAAATAACAAAATTGGCATGTCTGCTAATTTTAGTGTCAAGTAAATAAATTTACAAAAAAAAAATTGCTGTCATAGTTTTTTACAAATTTTACATGGAATTTTTTTCATTAATTAAATTAGAACTAAAAAAAATTGCACTTATAGTTTTTAAAATCTTCTAAATCTGCAATTTTTCTTTTTTATTAGTTAATAATAATTTTTTTAATAAGAAAAATCCTAACTATCATCAAATATACGGTGATGGTGATTAGGGTATTAAAATCACTGTCATAAATTTTTTTATACTTATAAAAATAAAAATTACAAAAATATATATTATATAAAATAAAATAAAAAATATGAAATTTTTAACTTACACTTGTTTTCCGAGATAAATTATTAACTGACAAAGCTTCTGTCAATCCAGAAGTATTAAAAGCTTTTGCTAAGGGTGACCAAGTGCTAACACTCCGACTTCCTTTTGGTTTCTTCACATACTCACGTAATATTCGCAACATTTTTAAATAAATTTGTCATCAGTCATCAACTTAAATAATTAATTAAGAGTTTTTTTTATTTTCAGTCATTACCAGCTGTTTCTTCTTTTTTAATTTTTAGAGTAGATTTTAAAATGTTTAAAATGTAAACATTGGTCGAGGTTATAAGTCACACATGTTCAGTATTTAGAAAGTATTTAGAAAGGTAGGAATCTGTAAAATTATAACAGTGAAAAATTGTACAGTAAAAGAAACACATGTTACTCACATCGCTCTTGCTGTTAACTTTTTTTTATATTAATTTAAGTAGAGTAAAATTAACAAACAGCTGATTTTTTTGTAAAATGTCAAATTCTCTTGTTCGCGCGAGTTTGGAGATTATAAATATCGGTGATAATGTTAAACTAGGTTAGTATTGTTTTTTTATCTTAACAATTTGTTTTTTTTGGGGTTAGGTATTATAATTTAAATGTTTATTTTTTTATTTTTTAGATAAAAAAAAGAAAAAGAAGACAAACGATATACTAGGTTTGATTCCTGCTAACCACAGGGTTAACAAAAAAAATAAAAAAGGTATTTTTTTTTAATATTTACTGCAATTTTTTTTATTTTTGTTACAAGTCCATAAAAAAATATTTTTAAAAAATTTGCACTTGTAATTTTTTTTTTAAATTCTAATGTAGAATTTTTTATAATTATTTACTTTTTATAAAAATTCAAAAAATTTACAGATGTCATAAAAAATTCAATTAGCTAACATCAAAAAATTTTTATAATTTTTTTAATTGCAAAAAATTAAAAGAAAAAAATTTGACATGTAAAAAATTTTAAAAATTTTAAATGCAATTTTTTAAAAATATTTTTTTACTTATAATTTTTATTAATTCAAAATATCAAAAAATTTCAGATGTCTCTTAATTTCATTATCATTTAAAATCACATTGTTGATTACAGATTCATCTGTCTTTACGCACAACCGCAAAGTAACCATCAACGAGGCAAGAAAAAAACTAGCTGACAAAAAAGACCTGACTGAAGAAAACATTGAAAAATTATTACACCTCAGTAGTTTTTCTGTCAAAACAGAAGTTGCAACCAAGGTATTTATTTTCCATTAATCTTTTTCCTAATCTAGTAAAAATAAAAATAAATTTAATAATTTTCCAGTTGATCGAACGCGCAGTGTCAAAACGCGCTGTAGTAGAAAAAGAAAAACCCAAAGAAGAAGAAGCTACAGCGTTCACCGAGGAAGACTTTGCTAAATTCGAAGAGGAATTTATGTTATAAATGTCATGTTGAGCAGCGACAGCGAAAGAGGAAAGTTTATACTCATCACAACATCAATATTATTCCTTTATTACACTGTGTGGGTCCTAGGCCTACCATTTATCGACGACAGCCGATTGCAGTTGCTCTTTTATTCCCACGACGTCGCTTTGATGGTCCCAGCAGTTATCAGTTTATGTTTCATTGGAGGTCTTGTTGCGTTCACTTGCCATCATCTCAGTCCTCTAATGTTCGCGTCGAAGAAAGATAACTAAATAAAAATATTTTAAAGTAAACAATCATTCAGATCGACAATTCTATTTTTTATTATTGCTCAATTGATACAAACAACTTGAGGAATTTTATTATATAACCATAGATAATTATAATTATTATGATTGCATTGTAATTTATCACTCCAACTTCAGTTCATAGTGAGTAAATTATAGTTTAAGTAATAAATCTAAATCGCAATATTATTATAACTAAAAAACATTTTTAGTTTGATAAAAATCATGGCCAGGTGGTTAATTGTCGGCATCGGTGGTGCAACTTGTAGTGGCAAGACGACCTTATCAAAAAAACTCCACGAATTTTTTAAAAACAGCCGATTAATTAATCAAGACTCTTATTTTCTTCCTGAAGATGATCCGAGACACGTTCATATTCCTAAATTGAACCATCACAACTGGGATATTCTTACCAGCTTGGATACGAGTCGGATGTACGCAGATGTGTTGAAAATCCTGTCTGGATCCAACAGATCATTAAGTGGAGCTAATACTAATAGCTTGAATATTAATAAAAAAATTGAAGATACACGTGTGCTAATACTCGACGGGTTTTTGATATTTAACGATAAGCCTATCGCCGAGTTATGTAATCTCAAATATTTTTTAACACTAACTAAACAGCAGTGTTGGGAACGGAGGCAGCAAAGAGTTTACGATCCACCAGACGTCCCTGGATACTTTGATAAAGTTATTTGGCCGGAGTATGAAAAACATCTTGAAGAGATTAAGCGTGAGAAGAAAATTAATTTCATTGACGGTACCATAAAACAGGAGGAAATTTTTCAGCAAGTTTTAGCAGATATTTTAAAAGCAATGTGATGAAAATTTTTTATCTCCAGGTGTAGATGAAATATGCCACTGAAGTTAGCAGACGTCTAAAAATTTTTGATTTTTTTTTTATTAATAAAATTACAACTAAAAAGATATTTCTAAAAAATTGCACTTATAGTTTTTCAAGTTTTTTACATGTGAAATTTTTTTTTAATTGCTTAATTAAATTTTTTCAATGAAAAAATTTGAAACGTCGGCTAACTTCATTTTCAGATAAAATATTTAATTCTTAATTGAAAAAAAAAAAAAAAAAAAAAAAATTACTTTTCAGTCATTTATTTTATCTTAGATAAATTATCGGGGTTGTAAACAATTACGCGTAGTAAATTCACATACAAACTTACAAACTACCAACTCTTAGCTAGTAATCGAGTTATTCGAAATTAATGAAGTTTACCTTTCGTTGAGCATTTATTAATCCACATAAGAATAAAACAGTAATTAATAATAAATAAAAAAGACCGATTTTTTTAATGAAAAATTTTATAAAGTGTAATGTAAGAGAAAATGTATTAATAAATTATGCGGATTTTAGAGACGTTTCTCTCGTCAATTTTTTTGCTTCAGATGTATTAATTAATTAATAATAATAAAGTAAAGATAGCACGACGTATGTTACATAGAGTAAGTGTTGAGTTTAGGTTGAACTTGGGCATTTGTGACGTTAGTAGCCGGGGCACCAGCGGTATCATCTGAGTCGTTCTGTCCACACGCTTTGCGAACGTATTGCGGTGTTACGATAACTTCTTCTTCCATGGCAAGTACTCGTTTGTCTAACTCGGCACATGCTGCCATTTCTTGCTCTAGTTTTGCAAGCATACGAGGTGAATTGTATTTTTCTGGGTCGTCGTGGAACACTACCATTCCATCTTTTTGATTGATCGTTGCATATATCTCTCCATCTTCAATCTAAAATAATTAATTTAAAGTAATATATTGATTAAAATAAAATTTTTAAGGAAATTTTTTTTTTTTTTTTGCAAAAAATGGACATTTTTGTGACAAGAAATTAATTTTAAGAAATTTTGAACAATTTAATTTCTTGAGTAAAGAAATAAAAATTTTTTTCACAGAAAATTTCTTGTTAAAAAAAAATTTAAATAGACAACTTGTGAATTTTTGTCCAAAATTGTTTTTTTCAAATCTAGAAAATTTTTTTTAATTAAAAAAGTTACTGTGAGAAAAATTATTATTTTTTAAGCTAATAAAGTAAATTGTTCAAAGTTTCAAACAAATTATTTTTTTGTCATCAAAATGTTCATTTTTTCCAAAAGAAATTTTTCTCTAGTGTATAACTTAAAATTTCCAATTGAATAATTATTTTGAATTATTAAACAAATAAAAAAATTAATAAAAATAAATTTACCATATTCAAAATATATTTTTCAGCATCAGCTGGCCCAGGAAGCTGTACGCGACTTGCAACATCACTAAGACTGAGTGTCAAAAAAGTTTTAGTCAATCTTTGAATATTTTTCTTGTACAAATAACTAAGTACTTGTTTAACAAGACCAAGATTATGATCTCTAACAAATACTTCTCGATATTTATTAATAACTCCTTGAACTTCCTCGCAGCTGTTGGTTGAATACGCAGTAGCAAGTTCGCAGTACGGCTGACTAAGGGGCCTGATAAAACGGACCAGCACTTGGCTCGCGTACTTCGGTATGTTGACTATCTTTCCATGAAGAATTAGCGAGACAAGAATGAACTTTTTGTACGCCTCCAACATTATGTGGCTCACAGCCATCGCTGGTACCGTCACACACACCTCGAAGAAGTACAAAGCCCTGTCGTAGTTCTTTAGCGCCGTGTAAATCATCCCGCCGTAGTAGTAGTACAGAAGGAAGTATTTAGATTCAAACTGTCCGCCTTCTTGGCTCACACCGGTGATATCCGTGTTCAGGAACTCCAGGGCGGGCTTGAAACACTTGGCTAGCAGGCACAGCTGACAGAGATCCGCGTGGATTGACGTCAACTGGCTGTCGTATAATTGGATTTTCCGGATCGCGCGTTGGAGGAGCTCTATGCCGCGCATTGGGGTGTTGATCTCGATTAAAGATTGGGTGAGTGAATGACACAGCTCAGCATCTAAATTATAAATACTTGATATTAATTATTCTTCAATTATGGAAGATTTTTATCACACTAAAATCAATAAATTTTATAATTAAATTGAAAAAATTGGTTATTTTTTTTTTTTTTTTACAAATAAATTGATAAAAAAACTGTAAATGTAATTTTTAGATAAAAATTAAAAAATGAACACATTAAATTTTAATAATGATAAAATTAGCAGACATTTAATAATTTCCGATTTTTTCAATCAATAAAAATTACCAGAATAAAAAAAAAAATTTTTTTTTTAAATTGCAATTAGAAATTTAAAAATTTTTTCTTTCAATTTTTTACATGCAAAATTTTTTAATTTTTTTCAATAAAAAAATTTTCTGATATCGGTTAATTTAAATGAAAAATAATGTAGCATATATTTGATCATTTTAAAAATTTTTTAACAAATAAATTATGGCAAAAAAAAATTGACATGTAGAAATTAAATAAAAATAAAAAATGCTGTTTTTTAAAAATAATATTTTAAAACAAATTTATTTGTCAAAAAAAATTTTTTTAATTTTCAAGTGACAACTTTAACATCATATCATATACAGAAAAATTTATTTAAAAAATTTAATCTTTAGAAGATCTAAAAAATTATAAATACAACTTTCTAGAAATAGAAAACTAAATTAAAATGTCTGCTAATTTTAGGGTCATACTTTATTAGCTAAATAAAATCAGCTGATTGTAAAGTCATTAATTTTTTAGTAGAATAATAAAAATAAATGGAAATACTTACAACTATCAGGCGCGAATCTAACTTGTTCGCCATTGCATCCTAGAATAAATTCTTGAACTTGGGTAAAAAGCAATTTATTCGCCTCTGAATTAGGGTGTCCAGAAGATATATTAAGCTTGATGCATAGTACAGCTAGTATCCCCAGAGAATGCTGCTGCAGATCAAGCGTCTCAAGGACGTTATCTAGAAGCGAGGCATTTTTCGTCAACGTATCGTGTGATTTTCCAAGTACGTCGCATAGTTCCCGGTAATTACCTAAAAAAATAAATTATTAAATTAAAAATGAAAAATGACTCATGAAAAAAATTGCAAGTTTAAAGAAAAATTTTTGGGATAAAAAAAAATATGTAAAAAACAAAGGACAGAAAATTTGTAGGTTATAATAAATGTGGTTGAGAAAAAATAACTAACCTTGAGTAGAAAGTGTCTGGACGTTATTTACAAACACTTCCAGTGCCGAAGCCATTGTCAGTGTTGTCTATTGCTCATCACCACGACTGATAAAAATTATTATTTCAAACTATTTATTTACAAAAAATAAACTAATGTACATCAGCAGTGAGGACACGAAACACTTTAACCAATTTGCCGGACCTATAAAAATGACGTTCTTTTTTTTCGTGTTACAGTTTCCATTTTGTTCTCAACCAGATGGCGCTTGCTAGTAGTGTGAAGTTGTTCGGTTTGATACTGTCACTTTTTCACTTTTTGCGTAAGTACAAGTCGAAACTCGAACGCGAATTCAAAATGTTTTATTACTATGGCAACAATGAAGTTTATTTATCATTATTAGAGATATTAGAGTAATCAAACAATCACTTAACTTGAGTGTTGAGAATAATTACAAAAGCTATTTATTTTTAATTTATTTACAGATGTCAAATGTTACTTACAATGAACTGTGGAGAGATACAGAATCTTGTCTTGAAGAAATTTTACAAACTGATTCTAATTTGCAAAATGCTAAACCGCAAAAAGATAGGAAGAAAATTCATAAAAATGTTTCTGAGTTATATGTTAGGTAATTATTTTTATTTTTTATTTTTTTTTAGGTCAAAATATAATAAAAATAATCATAATAATAAATTAAATTAAAGTTAGCTATCTTGACCATTTTTTAAAATTTTTTTTGAAAAATTATTTTTAAAAAAATTGCATTATTTATTTTTTTTGTGAAAATTAAGTTAGCCAACATTTAAAAATTTTTGGAATTTTTTTTTATTGAAAAAATTATTACAAAAAAATTTCATTTGTAAAAAACTTGAAAAACTGTAAGTGCAATTTTTAAAAAAATTTTTTGGTCCTAGTTTAATTAATGAAAAAAAATAAAAAAATTAAAAACGTCGGCTAACTTAAGTTTTATTATTTTTTTAAATTGCTAAATGTCAATTTTTTTTGTAACCATTTGTTTGTTAAAAAAAATCATAATTTTCATTTAATTATGACTTTAAAATTAACAGTCACAATTTTTTAATTTTTTTTTTTGACAAAAATTTGTTCCAAAAAATTGTCTTCAGAAAAATTGCATTTTTAATTTTTAAAAATTTCTCCATGTCTGTTTTTTTTTCCCATAATTTATTTGTTACAAAAATTATCAAATATCTAGTAAATTAATTGTCACTTAATTATAAGGTACATTGTATGCTGTAATAAACTCGAGCAATGTTACGATCAAATGATCCAGCCACAAAAGCGCATATTGCTGCGTAAACTTCTAGACTCAACACTAGGAAGAATATTAGAAGTAAAACACGAGCTGGTGGAAGTAGACCTCTCTGAGTACAATTACTACGACGATGTACTACTAAAGTATGGAATTTTACCCCAAGAAGTAGAACTAAAAATACCTAATTACTTCAGGCGAGAAAGAGAATCTGAAATCTTGCAGCGTCGAGAGTTCATCAGCGAAGTTTTAAGAAATGCAGGTGTCCTGGATGAAGTCGTGCAGCCGCGTAAAATGACTGAGTCTGAAGCTATAAGATTGATACAGACTCACGAAAGAGCCCGTCAGGGACGTGTCAGGTAATTTCTCGCTTTCTTAGGCACCAATAGATGTGTAATTAATTTTCAATTGATCGACAGATTTCAGTTCATGAAAGAAATCCGAGAAATGAAAGAAAGGTCGACTATAAAGCCAGAAGTAGCTCAGGTCGACGTTCTCAGAGAGATAATGGCTACGATGAGAATCCAGAAAGTCTGGCGTGGTTACATAACGCGAAGACGAATGAGAAAGAGAAGGATTGCAGAGATGCTGTTGATTGGAATGGTACAACCAGGTCAAGTTATTACGGATAATTACAGGAATGCTGAGAAAATAAAACTTCACAGGTACGCAAAGCAGGTTGAGTACCAAGAAATCTTCGAGAAGAAACTTGCTGAGATCAAGGATTACGTTAGGAGCGAGAAGAGCGTTATCATGGAAGAAAACATAAGAAGTGACATCAGGCAGTGGATTAATGAGTACTTTCAGCAAACTGGCAAGATACCCGAGCTCCCGTCGGCAGAAAGCGGTGGCTCCAGGATGATTTTGAGCCGACAAGGCACCGAGAGCTCAATGAGCAAGTCAAAAGAGTCATCTTCGTCGAAAGAGTCCAAAAAATCTAAAAAATCCAAGTCCAAAAAAGAGAGCGATACCGAAAAATCCGAAGATGAATCTGACCCGGGGATCAAAGTGGTTCCTTCGAATTTTCTTCCTGAATTGATCCAAGCGCATACTGAGTATCAGGACATCTGGAGGGACAAAGATGAGTCCGAGAACCCTTGGCAGCTGCCTTACGACGACATGATTCTGTCTGAAAAGACCCGAGAGATCGAGGATGAGGTAAGAGTCGGGGTTGATCAAGCGCTCAGAGGTTAGTGTTGGACTTATCACTCAATAGCCTTGACCTTTATGGTCTCTATTTGATAGAGCGTAATGTTTGAATTACTGAGTGATTTTGTTACAGACGATATCGAGGCGCTTCAGGCAGCGCTGGACCGAGACAAAGGACACAAAGGTAAACGGGCTAAAAAGCCGCAAAAGCGAATGCGTCGGAGTGGAAAACGTAATAAACGCAAGAAAGAAAAAGATTTGACGCCTGATCGAACTACGGAATCACTCTTTGAGGAACTATTGACCCAGGGTATTATTAAACTCGTTCCAGAAGTTTATTTAAATTGTTTTAGAGGTGAAAAATCTTACGCGAATTTTGATCTTTGGGACAAAGGGAAAGATCCTCTTCCTACGATAGGTGAATCCATTGTTCTAAAAAATATATTGCAATATTTTTTTAAGTGCTAAAAAATAATTGCATAGAAAAAAAAATTTACTTGAATCAAGTAAATAATTTTGAAGAATTTCATCTTTTTGATTTGAGTAGAAAAATTCTTGAACTAAGAAATTTTTTTTGGTTTAAGTAAACTTTATTTAATTCAAGAATTTTTCGTTTTGATTCAAGATAATGAAACTTTTCAAAATTATTTTCTTGGTTCAAGAATTTGGTAATTATTTACAAGTGGGGTCAACCCCATTTTCGACCATAACTAGGTGAGAAATTAACATTTTCAAATTTATTTTTTGATTCTGCTTGTTTTTACGGCGCATTTATGATAAAAAATGTCGTGAAAGAAAAAAATAAAGATTTCGATAGCTTTTTTGCCTTCAAAAGTTGGAAAAAATTTTGGCTCTTATGTTTTTGGATAAAATTTCTATTTTATCTTTTCTTGATATATTTTTTTTTAAAGTACATAAAAAAACGATCAACTAAAAAAAAAGTTGAATATCACAATTTTCTAAAAAGTTTATAAATTTTTTTGAAAATTTGTAAAATTTGTTAAAATTGTGATAATCAACTTTTTTTTTTAATTGTTCATTTTTTTATGTATTTTTCAAAAAAAAAAAAAAAATATATATCAATAAAATCAAACAAAAATTTCGTTCAAAAAAATGAAAATTAAAATGGTTGATCTCACTTGTAAATATTTATCAAGAATTTTTCTCTTGATTCAAGTTAATTTTTTCTCAATGTATATTTAATTAAATAAAATTTTTTATTTAACAATTATTGATTTTTAGGCGATATTAGACAATTAGTAGCCGAGTACTGCATCTTGCCTCAAGGAAATGAAGATGTGAAGTTATTGTCACCGCTAGTGCGATCAGTTCTGATAGCGGGACCGCATGGTAGTGGTAAAAAAATGCTAGTTCACGCAATTTGCACTGAACTGGGCGCAACTCTATTCGATATAACTCCAGCTAACATAGCTGGCAAGTATCCAGGAAAATCTGGACTGATAATGTTGCTCCATTTAATTTCAAAGGTATCGCGTCTGCTCCAGCCTTCGATAATTTTTATGGATGGCGCCGAGAAACCTTTTGTCAAAAAAGTCCCCAAGACCGACAAAACTGACCCCAAGCGCCTGAAAAAAGACTTGCCGAAGCTCGTTAAAAGTTTCACCAATGAAGATCGGGTCATTCTGGTCGGTACGTCCAATGCTCCCTGGGACGGCGATCAGAAGTTGTTGTATCAGACGTATGATAAAGTTATTTACATCCCCAGGCCGGACTATGGATCGATGTCGATGCTGTGGAAAGATTTGTTGTACAAAGTACTCTTTTTTTCCTAATATATAACAGCAATGACGTTATATTAATTTGTCGTTAATACCGGCTTAATTTTTTTGTTTATCAGTACTCTGGAATCAGTCGACAGTTCGATACATCTGCAATGTCAAAGATTTGCGACGGATTTACCGTCGGCACTGTTATTGCCGCGATTAATGAAGTAATTATTATTTTATTGCTTAGTGATGTTTTTTTCTAGGAACAATTGCCTGCTGATATTGTAGACTCTGTGAGCTCGGAGATTTTTAAAAATAAGATGTATGACCACTTAACTTATTTAATCTGGACATCTAACAACGCTTATTTTTTTAAACTTTATTACTACTTACAGAATTTTGTTAAACTTGTTGAGCAATTTGGTTAAATTGAAATGATGTTTTTTATGTTATTCATTTTTAAATCTAGAATAGATTATAATTATTTATTTATTTGGCAGGATAATATACATACATACATACATACATACATAAAATACTTATATACACATAAATAGTATGCACCTATAGAGATGAAAATTAATCATCTGTGCATAGGCCTGGTTATAATTTTAATTTAACCCTCGGAGTACACTGGCGGTCATTTGGAACCCAGAATTTTCCTTATCCCAAAATATTTTTCGAAAATAGGTTCGTTTTTAATTAATTTTTTCAACATTAAAAACTATTTAATTCAAAATAATAATGATTGTATTTAAAAGAGCATTGTTTTACCTACCAAAAATGTGATAAACTGAATTACGATAAAATGGATAATTTCTGAGATATTTTTCGAAAGTCAAGTGGGGTCAATTTGACCCCGTGTGTACTCCAAAGTTATGTTCGGAGGTGTCTACTCCGAGGGTTAAGTACATTACATTTATAATTATTTCCTGTGACCCCGAAAGGACAGGTAAAAAATTATTTAAGGATAAAAACTGCTGGAGAAAAGAAAAGATAATAGGATATAAGAGTTGTAACTTATTATATAAAAGATAGAAATAGCAAAAATCATGTTTAGGTACATAATGTAAATTCACACAAAAGGTTACTACATTCTATATTGCACTCATTCTATATTAACGTAAATCATTATATTTACCCATCTTCCAATTCATAATTTTTTTTCTTATTAAATTTTTATTAAGATTATAATCATATAGTTACTATAGCAAATACTATTAATATTAATAATAATGATACTAGTCAATATTGTTAATCATCACTCTAATTGTGTACTTTTAATTATTTTTGTATGTACATATGATGTACCCTTAATTATATCTGTATTTTTTATAAGTTTGCTATTAGGTCTTGACATAATAAAGCAAATCTATCTATATTATAGGTAATGACTACAAAGAGAATGGTCCAATTAAGAGTTCAGCCGCTAACCCACGTTGAATTAATAAATGCTTTAAGTACCCGTGATCCTGTTTATAAAGAAGAGGAGGAAGCTTTTCTAGGTATATAATGAATATCTGTTATATAATAATTTTTAGGGGGCTTAAAAAAAAAAAGTATCATAAATAGGATAGAAATTCTTTTGATAATTTCTTCTATTAAAAAAAAAAAAATTATTTATTATTTTTTATGTTAGCCTGGTACTCAAAAACACCAACGTGTCGCAAGAAGCAGCGAGCTGTAGAGCAAGAGCTCCAAAAGCTAGAAGAGGCTAACGAAAAGCAGAAGAAAAAAGGAAAAAAATAATGAAACATTGATAATTTATTTAGAATTATTTTTTAAATGATAAAACTATCTTCTAGAGTTATTTTTTATTAAAAAACAGTTTCATTATCTGACCTCTGCTAGTTTATCAGTAACTGGTGTCTTAGCTCACTAAAAATTTATATAAAAAGTTAAAAATAAAATTGATACATTGATCGGACAATTAATTTCACGTGTGCCATGAGTGGCAATAGTATATTACATACATAGTTTGTGATATGATATCATAACATCTCGGACATTTTGTACTCTTAAAATAAAATAATTCATATTTGTCACTACTATCATTATTACATTATATTCTTTGGACAAAAGTCCTATTAAGAGATAAAGAAATGATTTGTTTAATTTTATTTAATCTTTTCATCTAGAATTACTCACTTCAATTTTTTTATTTACTCACTTAATAATAAATTAATTATAATTATTAAAAATAGAAATAATTTTATCATATTGTCCTATTAAATTTTATTTATAATTTATGAGGGATGAATATTTTACTTTTAGCACAGGTGAGCCGAAAAAAATCATTCATTTCAAGGTGTTGTCCCACGTGGTATAAAGAAGCTCTGTTTGACATTAAAGTTAACAGCTGATCATTTTTTAATTTTATTTAAAAAAATTTATTCCGAAAATTTTTTTTTTTTTTTAAATTGCATTTTTAAAATTTTATGTAAATTTTTTTTTGCAATTTATTTATTATAAAAATTATCAAATATCTGCTAATTAATTTTCATCTTACACTTGACAGGTTCAGAGTGTCATGGCTCCAAAGTAGCTTCGTCCAAGATAATACATAAATATAAGCTAAAATATAATCCAACAATAAGTTGAATAATGTCGCTAACTTTTTATGTGTAACAAGGGCTAGACTTAGATCCCGGTACGATGTAAGTGCGACGAAAAATGTTGAGATGTAACATAAAACATAAGGGACGTAGTTGCGTGGTCGGTACTTGGTCTTTGATGCGCGGGAGCACTAAGTTATAAAGACGCGCGCACGCGCGTCGGAAAATCTAAACTCCTATTGGTCAGAACCACATGGTCTGATGTCAGACCACGGGGCCGGTCCAATTCAATAATAACGAGATGCCCGCACAACCAAACGCCAGCCAGTCTTTTGAGACAAGCCAGTGAAGTTCTTTCGTAGGAACTTTTCGGCACAATACTGACTAATAAATATTCATTAAACTATATTCAAAACTATTCAACGACTTTAAATACAATCGATTTTAATTTTTAAAATAATTTATTTTATTGAATTTGTTTACTTTTATCAGAGACTCAGGTGCTCTTTCAATTACCGGTGTTATCATTATTACTTAAGCAATTCGTAAATATAATAATTGATAAAAACGGATTTTGTTGTCCATTTGTGAATTCTACTGGATTATCCACGTCTTAGGTGAGTTTTTTTACTCCAATTAAAAATAATAATTAATTAATCCTATTTTTATTATCATAAAAATTTATTTATTATTTATCTTAATTTAATTATTTTTTTTTTTAATACTTAATTTATTTTTTAGAAAAAAATATTTTCCCCTGAAGAAAGTTAATTAATAAAATATTAAAAATCAATTATTAATTGATTATCAAAATGATATTAAAAGAAGCATTGTGTACTTGATGTATATTTGATTGGTGAAAAATGAAATATAATATAAGTTGGAGTACTTGGAGCGTCACAAACCAAACGGTAATGCCGTGTGTAATGTGACGCATCAGTTTACGTTAGAAATATAGACGCCACTAGAAACTTCCGGTTTTTGGTTGTATTTTATATTATCTCTAAGATTTTTATGCAAATATTATTATATTATTTTATTGCCTGGCAGTAACAGCGGCGATACATTATTTCCAGCGCACTAGCAGAGTCTAAGATTTTGTAATTTTAACAATTGAAATTAATGATAGAAAAAGTCTAGGCCACGTGAGTACTTCTATATACGCATAGTATAACCTATTTACATTGTTCATATTCAAAATTACTGAACACCTGAACCTGAAAATAAGTTTTAAACGAACACGCGGAGATCACGTGTTCTTAAGCTTGACCGATTATTCATTAATTATTGCTACTAGACTTTCAATACTTACTTCGATTCATTGTTAATACTTACTGTACGTCATTTTACATTTTTCAACGGTTTCATTTGTCAAGGTCATGGTTGTACATCCTCGCAGGAAGTTAAGGGCGGGTGATGCATTGTATTACTTTCTTTGGAATTTTTCGTTACCATACCGAGTATTTGCAAATAATATTTATCTTTCCTCTAAGTAACTAATTACATTTCACTTGAAGATTCTTCTAGCCATTTTTAAAAATGCTTAAATTAACAAAATATTTATGAGATAATTACGCAAGTGTCACCTTTTTGACGACCCACAATCAACTATTGCAAGTCAAATTTTTCTTTTAAATTCATATTTAAGTTTTTTTTTTTTTTTTTTTTTTTTTAATTTCAATTATTCATATTAATTACATTAATATTCTGGCTAAAAATAAAAATTACTCAAAGTTGTTTTTTATTCTCTATTAAAACTAACAGAATAATTTATTTTTGTACAAATAGTCAATATTTAATTTTTAACAAATTTATTTATTTACAAATTTATTTAAATTTGCGATTCAATTTACTAATTAAATATCTTATTGATAAAATTACTCTAAAGTTATTTTTAAATATTTACAATAGTAATTTTTTTTTTTTTTTTTATTAATAATTTATTTCTATTGAATTTTGTTAATTTATCATTTTTAAAATAAACATACAATTTAGTTTAATCACTTTTTTTTCAATATTTGCAAGATAGAATTTTTTTAAATGAAAAAAAAAAATTTCCTTAACAAATAGATAATTTTATTTAAAAATTTATTATTCTGATGAACGCGTGATTGATAAAATAATTGAGTTATCAAGAGTGATTCATTAATTGCTTAGTAATTACAATTACATTGATTTTATTATTTTAATCTTTAGGATTTACATAATTTCATTGAACTCTAAGTAATTATTTAAAATTAATATCTAATCACCAAATTTAAGTAATTAATTATCATAAAATAAATTTTAACATATATAAAAATTTTTTTTAAACTATCCACTATTAAAAAAAAAACTTTGAAAGTAATACAAGCTCCAATGCCTGAAATCACGTGTCCCAATACTTATCAAAAGTAAAATTAAAATAAACACGTGAGTAAAAAATAAAAAAATCATAAAGTCAAGTGAGGAATTAATTTCCAACACTCAACACAACCAAAGTAACCCGATACATTTAATCCTAATGCAAGAAGTTATTGTCGTAGGTACTCATACGATTTGTGTTGGTGACCTGTCGGATTGGAGTTAACACTAAGTGCGACAGCAAGTGCGATATTAAAGTAAAATGATAATTAAGAAGGAAGTAAATCCGCATGCGTTATCGAACCACTCTCAGCTGTTGTCAATTGAACTTGACCTTGTTTCACTCGCATTTTATTTAACACATCAATACATCATCTACTTTTAATATACCCTTCTATTCGCTATTACTCATTCTATTTACTTATTTATTTATTTTCCCTCTTAATGTTATTCATTACTCTACTCTATATTCCCTCATAAATTACCATTTTAATTATTAATTATCAAGCAATAAAATTCGCTTTGATTAAACACGACAGATCCACGACATTAGCACACTATTTAATCAGCTTTTTATTAAGACGGGTGTATCCAATTTCGTCATGATAAAACCTTCAAAATTGATAAATTTTTTTACATATTTTTCAGCTCGCTATCAATATTTGTTTTTTTATTTTTTATTTTATTACAAAGCTTTCATACACGTGGCTCACTACTTCCCTCACTCTTAGCCGGTATATTCTTCGCGATAATCCTGATTATCTTTTAATATTTTTAAAGTAAAAATATCAAAAATACTTGCATAAAAATTCGTAATTAAATTTTAAGCATATATATTTGAATTTTACTCATATTTTGTCAAAAAAAATTAATTTGTTTCTAAAAAAGAAATTTTAAACTAAAAAAATTTCTTAAATAAATTTTTTGTAATTATTTACAAATGGGATCCACGATTTTAATTTTCATTTTTTTTAACGAAATTTCTATTTGATTTTATTGATATATTTTTTTTTAAAAAAGACAAAAAATGAACTATTTAAAAAAAAAAAAGTTCATTATCACAATTTTAACAAATTTTATAAATTTTTTAGATTCAATTTTTTTTTTTTTTTTCAATTGTTCGTTTTTTTTTATGTACTTTTCAAAAAAAACTATCTATCAAAAATATTAAAAAAAGATAAAATAGAAATTTTATCCAAAAACATGAGAGCCAAAGTTTTTTCCAACTTTTGAAGGCAAAAAAGCTACCGAAATCTTTATTTTTTTCTTTCACGACATTTTTATCATAAATGCGCCATAAAAAGAAGCAGAATAAAAAAAAATGTCAATTTTTCACCTAGATATGGTTAAAAATAAGGTGGACCCCACTTGTGAATAATTACCAAATTTTTTTGGATTAGAAATTTTTCTGCTCGAAACAATAAACTTTTTCAAATTTTCTCAGTTGAAAATTTCTCAAAAAAAAATAAATCTTTATCAGTGTAAAATTTAGAACTTACACAAAATTATTACCTGACTACAAAAAGTTTCTTCTCGCCTTAAAACCCGGAATTTCCTCATGAAAGATAAGCGCTACGATAAAAACGATGAGGGTCTTTTTTTAAGATAATTAAATTTCCTACAAAAAAGATCTCTCACACTTTTTCATATTTCCAACATTTATCTCACAATTAAAATTTAAATAAAATCTAATCTAAAATTTGAATTTATTAACTTGAAAAACTTATATAAAAAATCTAATCTTTAGATTAATTAATCGCTTATTAATAAGCTAATCAAACTCGGTAGTAAAAATTTAATCTCGGAATTTTACCGAGTATCAACATTAATGTCAGCTAAAATAACTGCTTACGACTTAATTCTTTTAGCGCAGCACTAAGACATTATTTGAATTTTTTGTTATTTAAGTAATTGTCGATTAAAATAATCTAACCGGTCACAGGTGACGATTACCCGCAAAATGATGCAATCATTATATTTTTTGTAAAATATCATTATAAAATAATACTTTTGTATACTTCCTCCGGATTGTTATATTATTATATGATCCGGGTATTTTTTGTGATAACGGTTGTATCAATTGGAATCGTGATTATGCGATCGTGTGTTTTTGCATCGTATTAATGTCACTGAACATTAAGTAACTATTTCATGAAACAAATCAACGTTAGGAAAAATTATTGTTATCTTTATTTATTCAAAAGGTCGATGTGATTGACACAAGCGTGAGCGTAATTTGAATTTTCATCACTAGTCATTTTGACATTGTTTATCTTCTATGGAAATTTTTAATTTTTTATTATTTAAATATTTATTTTTTAATCTTCTATTCAATTGCGCATTTTTTATTTTATTTAAAAATTTTTTTTTACTTATATTTTACATTTATATGATCCAATTACGGGCCGGTTAATCGGATCAATGAAAACGCTGGCCCTTTGAACTATTAAATAATATTTAAAACCCAAAGTGTCAACGGCAGCTCAATTACTTGCTCCCAGCTCGAGGTCACGGCGCTATTACGATGTGCAGTTTAATTGAGTAATCGCAATTGGATTTTATTTTAACAATAAGTTAAACCTATTTTATGCAATTACTTCGAGAAAAGACAAACAAGTTTTGTTTACCAGTTGTTACTTTTTTTTTTTATTTTTTAATAATTCTATTTGTCAGTTACTTTTAACAGCCGGCTGTTTTGTTACTCTAAAATATTTTTATTAAATATTAGATAAGAATTTTATAATGAGTGGGTAAATATTTAATTAGTTGTTTGTAATTTAATTATAAAAAAATACTTTTGAAGTAAAATAAGAATTATTATAAATTTTGTGAGAGTTAAATTTATTTTTTAAGATAATTTTTCCAGTAGAAAAATTTTTAATTTATTATTGACTCGCTCTTAATTTATTAACCAATTACGAAATTTTTCTTTTTTTAAATAAAATTAATTAATTTCATTAAAATTTTTTACAACTTAAAATATCGTCCAAGACTGTGATTTTATAAATTATTAAATTCTATATCAAATTTTGAAATTTTTTATAAGTTTTATTTACTTAGTATTTTGCAAATAAATAAATTGATTAAAAAAAATAATTTTTGGATTTTTTGCAAAATATTTAACTATAAATAAAAAAATAAATTAAGCTTACATTCGCTTTATTTTTTAATTAATAAAAAGTATCAAAATAAACTCTATAAAATTAACAAATTAATTATTTTAATAATTTATACTTGAATATTTAATTTAATCAAGTTAAAAAAAAAGTAGTTAATTTTTTTATTATTTTTAAAATTTTTCAGTTATTAAAAAAATTAAATTAACTTTCTTTTTAAATATTAAATATTCTTCCAAACTGTTTTCTAATTATAAATAATAATTTTTTTCCCTCAAATTAATTATAAAAAAACTAAAAATTTCTTTCTTTTCCAGCCTGCTGTCCACGAGGTTAAAACGTCAGATAAATCACCCAGAAGCTCACTGTTGACGAAAAATTTCTAAAATGCCAGCAAGATTTGAAGGAGTAAACAATCCAATGATGCGCGACCAAACGATTCCAAACGGGGTATCCCACTCAGCAGACAACGAGATAGTAATTACCGGGTTTTCCGGTCGTCTGCCAGAATCAGAGAACATCGAGGAGTTCAAGCGAAACCTCTTCGATGGCATAGACATGGTAACAGATGACGAGCGGCGATGGCCGCGAGGCTTGCACGGGTTGCCCGCCCGCACAGGGAAGCTGAAAGACCTAGCATCATTCGACGCGACCTTCTTCGGAGTGCACGCGAAGCAAGCAACCGTAATGGACCCGCAGCTGCGAATGCTCCTGGAGCTGACCCACGAAGCCATCGTCGACGCAGGAATCAACCCAGCGGAGATCCGCGGCTCCAAAACTGGAGTCTTCGTCGGAGTATCAGACTCAGAGTCCGACGAGTTCTGGACTGCAGACCCAGACATGGTCAACGGGTACGGCTTGACCGGGTGCTGCCGCGCCATGTTCCCCAACAGAATCTCCTACACCTTCGACTTGACCGGTCCGTCTTTCGCAGTGGACACTGCATGTTCCTCATCTCTGTACGCGATGCACCAAGCCGTGATGTCCATGGAGACCGGGCTCTGCGACGCAGCCATCGTCGCCGGAGTCAACCTAGTCCTGAAGCCCACCAGCTCCCTGCAGTTCCACCGCTTGAGCATGTTGTCGCCCGACGGCAAGTGCAAGGCCTTCGACGCCTCAGGAAACGGCTACGTCCGAGCAGAAGCCGCCGTTGTAATTTATTTACAAAAAGCCAAAGACGCAAGGAGAGTTTACGCGACAGTCGTCGGCTCCAGGATCAACGTCGACGGTAATAAATCCGAGGGAATCACCTACCCTTCAGGAAATATGCAAAACAAATTGATGAAGGAGCTCTACGAGGAGTCTAAAATTGATCCCAGAGACGTCATCTACGTAGAAGCTCACGGAACTGGTACTAAAGTTGGAGATCCCCAGGAGGTAAACTCAATTGCGAACTTGTTTTGCAAGAACCGAAGCTCTCCGCTGCTCATGGGGTCAGTAAAATCCAACATGGGTCACTCTGAGCCAGCTAGTGGACTCTGTTCAATTGCTAAGATGCTGATTGCTATGGAGGCTGGAATAATTCCAGCTAATTTACACTTTAGTTCTCCCAATCCTGACATCGCGGCTCTAAATGACGGGAGGATCCAAGTTGTTGATAAACCTACGCTCTGGAATGGAGGATTAGTAGGAGTTAATTCCTTTGGTTTTGGAGGAGCTAACGCTCATATTATCTTAAGAAGCAATCCAAAGCCCAAAATTCCTCCGGTATTGAATGTAGAAGTGCCCAAGATTGTTGGAGTATCTGGTAGGTCAGCAGAAGCTTGCGATCTTTTCTTAGAAAAGGTCAAAGAGCAGCAGAAAGACGATGAGTTTGTAGCTTTAGTACACAGTGTTCATAATAAAAATATTGTTGGACATAATTACCGAGGGTTCCAAATTTTGGGAAGTGAAGTTAAGGAGATTGATGAGTATCATTCTACGCAGGAAAAGCGACCTATTTGGTACGTCTTTTCAGGAATGGGAACTCAGTGGACTGGAATGGGAAAACAGTTGATGGGAATAGAAGTTTTCCAGCGCAGTTTGCGTCGGTGCGCAGAAGCACTCAAGCCGGAAGGTGTTGACCTGTTGAATTTAATTTTGAACGGGACTGACGAGACTTTTGAGAGTGTTTTAAACAGCTTTGTCTCTATCGCTGCGATCCAGGTGGCTTTGGTGGATGTTTTGACACTAATGGGCATCCAGCCGGACGGAATTGTCGGACACTCTGTAGGAGAGTTAGGTTGCGCGTATGCTGATGGAACTTTCACGCCCGAGCAAACTGTTCTTGCGGCTTACTGGAGAGGAAAGAGCATTCAGGATTCTCAATTACCACCTGGAGGAATGGCTGCTGTTGGTCTGAGCTGGGTAGACGCTGCTAAAAAGTGTCCTGCTGATATTTCACCAGCTTGTCACAACTCTGCTGACTCTGTCACTGTTTCAGGACCCGTTGAGTCTATCAAGAAGTTCGTTGAAGACCTCAAGGCTGAAGGAGTCTTCGCGAAGATCGTCAACAGCTCCGGAGTCGCCTTCCACTCAAAATACATCGCCTCAGCAGGTCCTAAATTGAGGACAGTCTTGGAGAAAATAATCACCAGTCCCAAGCAGAGAACTTCAAGGTGGATCTCTTCTTCAATCCCCGAGTCCGCCTGGGGAACTCCTTTGGCGCAACTCAGCTCGCCAGCGTACCACGTCAACAACCTTCTCTCTCCAGTGCTCTTCCAAGAAGCATTGAAGCACGTGCCTGAAAATGCAATCACTGTTGAAATAGCGCCGCACTGCTTGCTCCAAGCGATTCTCAGACGCTCCTTGGCTCCAACAGTGACCAACGTTGGCTTGCACAAAAAGGATCACTCTAACAACCTCGAATTCTTCTTGACCAACGTCGGCAAGCTTTACATCTCCGGTGCTCAGCCGGATTTCAGCAAACTCTACCCACCTGTAAGCTTCCCAGTTGGTCGAGGAACACCCATGATGAACTCCATCATCGGCTGGGACCACTCTGTTCAATGGGAGGTCGCTGACTTCTCTGGAAAAACTGCAGGCTCTGGAGAAACTGTCGTAGAGATTGACTTATCAAAAGAAGAACACGCTCACATTGCTGGACACACCATCGACGGAAGAGTTTTGTTCCCCGCTACCGGGTACTTGACAATTGTCTGGAAAACATTCGCAAAACTCCATGGTAAAGATTTTGAAAAAACTCCAGTGATTTTGGAAGACGTCCAGTTCCACCGCGCGACAATTATGCCCAAAGAAGGTCCAGTGAGATTTTTGATCAACATATTTGAGGGAACAGGTGCTTTTGAAATTTGCGAGGGCGGATCTCCAGCAGTGACTGGTAAAATCCGCGAGTCAGAAAACATCCAGAAGGACCAGCTTAATTTGCCAGTACCTACAGTCAAGAGCGAGTCTGATTTACTGAACCTGACCACCGGAGACGTCTACAAGGACCTGAGACTCCGTGGGTATGATTACAACGGAATCTTCCAGGGAATAAAATCGTCAGACAATCGTGGAACTGTTGGAGAACTTGCTTGGGTTAAAAACTGGATTTCATTCATGGACTGCATGCTGCAGTTCAGTATCTTGGGAAAAGACACCAAGGATTTATACCTCCCAACGCGACTCCAGTACGCTGCAATTAATCCAGTAGCTCATCTAGAGGCCGCTGAAGCTCTGGAAGAAGAATCAGGTTTCCCGGTGTACTCCTACCCCGACATCAGTATTATCAAGGCAGGAGGTGTTGAGTTAAGAGGCATGAAAGCTTCTCTCGCTCCAAGAAGACAGCAAACTCAATCAGCTCCCAAGCACGAGCGATATGTCTTTATTCCGTATGAAAATGCTCAGACACTCGTTGAAGATCCTACTAAAGCTCGCACTCACGCTTTGACTGTCTTATTGCAGACCATTGTTGAGAACCTGGGAGTCATGAAGGTCAAGGGAGTCGAAGCCGCGGGAGAACGAAGCGCAGAAGCTCTTCTGGCTCCATCTGTGGTAGACATCTTGCTCAGCGAACCAGCGTTAAGTGTTGATATGCAAGTCGCTGCTACTTCTCCAGAAAACTACACTGCTAATTTAGAGCAGTGGGATATTAAAACAGTCGCCAAGGATTTGACTAAGACTCCGGTGGGTCAGGACCTTCACTTTGTTATCGGCGCGGATGTACTCAGCAATGGAAACGCTTCAGGTCTTGCTAATTTGGTAGCTTCTATCAAACCAGGCGGTTTTGTCATTTTGGAAGAAACTGGAACGCCTCAAAAGTCCTACCTGAAAAACTCTGGACTTGTTTTAGCAGCAAGTCAATCTTCTCCAGGAAAATCTTACCTTCTGTTGAAGAAAATTGAAGACACTTCTGAGCCGATAATCATCCAGATAACCGAAAAGAACTTCTCGTGGTTGGAAGGCGTGAAGGCTGCGTTGAAAAAATCCGAGACTGAGAACCAGAAAATTTTGCTAGTGTCTCAAGGCGAGGAACTTTTGGGTCTTATTGGACTGATGACTTGCATCCGTCGCGAAGCAGGAGGCCAAAACGCGCGCTACGTCTTCATTCAAGACAAAAACGCTCCGAAATTCGCTTTGTCGAATTCCTTCTACTCGTCACAATTGAACAAACAGCTGACTTCAAACGTCCTGAAGGGAAACCAGTGGGGAAGCTACCGTCATCTGCGCATGGACTCTCAAACAGATGTGTCTTCACTCCAAGTAGAGCATGCTTACATCAACGCACTCACCAGAGGTGACTTAAACAGTCTCAGGTGGATAGAAGGCCCCCTGAGTTTCTACCAACCAGAAAAATACCCCGACAGCGAGCTCTGCCACGTCTATTACGCGCCTCTGAACTTCCGAGACATTATGCTGGCCACAGGAAAGCTTCCACCCGACGCACTTCCAGGTGATTTAGCCGGCCAGGACTGTATTTTAGGTCTTGAGTTCGCGGGTCGCGACAGCAAAGGCACCAGAGTCATGGGAATGGTCGCTGCCCGAGGATTGGCCACTACTGTGCTAGCTGACCCAGGTTTCATGTGGGAAATTCCTGAAAAATGGAGCCTTGAAGAAGCTGCTACAATTCCTGTCTGCTACGCGACCAGTTACTACGCTTTGTTCGTCCGAGGAAGACTCCAGCCTGGAGAAAGTGTCCTGATCCACGCTGGATCTGGTGGAGTTGGTCAAGCAAGTATTGCAATTGCCCTCCACGCTGGCTGCAATGTATTCACCACGGTAGGTTCTCAGGACAAGAGAGACTTCCTGAAGAAGACCTTCCCCCAGCTGACTGACCGCAACATCGGGAACTCCCGAGACACCAGCTTCGAGCAGTTGATTCTTACTGAGACCAAGGGCAGAGGAGTCGACGTGGTCCTGAACTCTCTTGCTGAAGAAAAACTCCAGGCATCTGTCAGGTGTCTCGCCAAGGACGGGCGCTTCCTTGAGATCGGCAAGTTCGATCTGAGCAACAACACTGGCCTAGGAATGGCCTTTTTCCTTAAGAACACCAGCTTCCACGGAATCCTCCTGGACGCGCTCTTCGGAACCGACTCTATCGAGAAGAAAGAAGTCGTCAGGCTGGTCTCCGAGGGAATCGCCAACGGAGCAGTCAGACCTTTACCTGCTACAGTCTTCTCCGAGCAGCAGATCGAGCAAGGGTTCAGGTACATGGCTTCAGGAAAGCACATAGGAAAAGTTTTATTGAAGATCAGAGACGAGGAGACCCGCGGAGTCGCTCAGCCTGGACCTAAGACAGTTGCTGCTATTCCAAGGACCTACATGAACCCAGACAAGAGCTACGTTCTTGTTGGAGGTCTAGGAGGCTTCGGACTGGAGCTTGCTAACTGGTTGATCACTCGCGGTGCCAAGTATATTGTCTTGACCTCCAGGTCTGGAATCAGAACCGGGTACCAGTCTGTCTGCGTGCGTCGCTGGAGAGAAATGGGCATCAATGTTTTTATATCCACTGCTGATGTCACCACGCTCCAGGGTGCTGAGAAACTAATGAAGGAGTCCAGCAAGCACGTTCCTGTTGGAGGAATATTTAATTTAGCAGCTGTGCTGAAAGACGCGTTGATTGAGAACCAGGAAGAGGCGCATTTCAAAGCAGTAGCGCTTCCTAAAGTCGATGGTACTAAAAACTTAGACACTGCCTCGAGGAAAATGTGTTCTGCGCTGGATTACTTTGTTGTATTCTCTTCTGTTTCTTGTGGAAGAGGTAACGCTGGTCAGACTAACTATGGGTTGGCTAACTCTGCTATGGAGAGGATCTGCGAGCAGCGGCAGGCTATTGGACTCCCTGGACTTGCCATTCAGTGGGGAGCTATTGGAGATGTGGGTCTTATTCTTGAGACCATGGGTAATAATGAAACTGAAGTTGGAGGAACTTTACCCCAGAGGATGTCAAGTTGTCTGGCTACTATGGACACGTTCTTGCAGCAGCCACACCCGGTGCTTGCTTCCATGGTGCTTGCTGACAAACACAAGCATGGAGACACTGGCAGCCAGGTCAGTATCCTGGAAGCAGTTGGGCATATTTTGGGAATCAAGGACGTCAAGACTGTCAACAAGTCCAGTAGTCTGGCTGACCTGGGTATGGACTCGCTGATGGGCACGGAGATTAAGCAGACGCTGGAGAGAAACTACGATTTAGTTTTGTCTGCTCAGGAAATTAGAGGACTTACTTTTGCTAAGCTCGCTGCTCTTGCTAACGGTGGAGAGGAAGTTACTTCCAGAAGCAACTCTCCAGGAAAACTTGGCTCGCCTAAGAGTCCAGATCAGGAAGAAGACTCCCTGCTGTTCCAGTGCTCAGGATCTGAGATTGTCCCGCATGAAGCGGTCTTGAGACTGAACAGCGATGACATCACCGGGCAGCCGATCTTCTTCGTTCATGCTATTGAAGGAACTATCTCCAACATGAAAGGCCTGGCTGTCATGTTCAAGAGACCTGTCTATGGACTCCAGTGCATCAAGGACGCGCCTCTGGACTCCATAGAGAACTTGTCACAGTTTTATGTCTCCCAGATTAAAAAGATCCAAAAGAAAGGTCCTTACACTCTGATTGGATACTCATACGGTGCTTGTGTTGCTTTTGAAATGGCCTTGCAACTGGAGAGTCAGGGAGAAACTGTCACGCTTAATTTGATTGATGGATCTCCGGAGTTTGTTAACAAACACAGCGAAAGCATTGGAAAAAATGCTACGCAATCTGGGTCTACTTTGCAGAGTGATGGAGAACGTAAAGCACTTGCTTTCTTTGTAAGACAATTGAATGCTGATGTTAACTTTATCAAGGTAATTTTTTGTTCTTTTTTGTTTATTGTTTGAGGTCTTTATTCATTTTGATTGATTTTTTTATTTTTTATTTTGTTTTTTAGGCGTATGCTACACTCAGAGGAATTGACAGCCATGAAGAAATGATGGAAAAAATGCTGGAACTTATTGGACCAACGCCTTTTGAAGGCGAGGACATCAAAGATGCTAGTTTATTATTTTATAAAAAATTATATGCTGTTAATAAGTACAGACCATCGGGTAAATTCAATGGTGATGTTACTCTTATTAAATCAACGGACAGTTTTATGTCACTCAGTCGTGATTATGGACTTACTGAGGTAAATTTTTTTTATTTTATTTTATTATAATTAATAAATTAAAAAAATTTTTTTTTTATATTCAATGTTAGTAATAATAACAATTATTATTATTAACTTGAAAATTTTAACAATAATAAAAGTTTCGAAAATGATGTATCTTTAGATACATAATTAAGAAATGACCTTGTATCTTGTAAACTATTGAGATTTTTAAAGATATAAGTTCATCCCGATGTTACACTCATCGAGACCTTTCATTTGAGTACCCACATCAATATTTTATATATTTATATATATTACATATATGTATATATAAAAAATATATCAAAATGCATGTGGGTACTCAAATGAAAGCTCTTGATGAGTGAAACATCGGGATGAGCTTATATCTTTAAAAACGTCAATATTTAAGAAAGTACAGTGCAATTTAACAAAATTCATAATTTAATAAAGCAAAATTTTATTTATTTATAGTTCACAATTCGTAGCAGTCACATAGTGACTGCAAGGTTGCTACTTATTATTATTAATAAAAATAATTTTTTTTTTTTTTTACAGTACTGCAGTCAAAGTGTAAAAGTAGAAGAAGTATATGGTAACCACAGAACAATAATGACGGGTGATAGTCTAAAAAAAATGGCTGAGATATTGAACGCATAAATGAGAATGTCAATAAGTAACAAACGTACATCATTCCTAAACAAAAAAAAATGAAACTAAAGAAAAAATTTCTCACTAATAATAGATATATATATATTATATATATTTATTTAATTAAATTTAATTATATAAATAATGATTGAAAACTGTCAGCTACAATCCTCGTGTATAAAATCTATTTCTGGGAGAGTCTCCTCATGAAGAAAAAAGCCATTTTATAGATTAAGCTCATTGATTATTTTTATTATTGTAATAATTTTTTTTAAATCATCTACACAAAAAAAATTAGCATTTAAATGTACTAATTGAAGCTGGTGCAATGTACGATCAAAGCGTGTCTATACGGCGTTTGGATGTCACTCAGTGGACAGAATGGCATTCTCAAGCTGTATGGAACGCCATATTTATTACTATTAACGCCATATCTCATGAGAGTATCGAGGATCACACAATAATTGTAGGAAATAAAGTAAATGAATCATTAAATATTAATTAATAATAATTAATAACTCTAGATATTATTTATTATTAAAAATATTTAAATTGATAATCGTTTTTTAAAATATATTGAATTGTTCAATTGTAAGTTAACGTTAAAGTTTGTAATATACTTCTGTAAAATGTAAAAAATATTTCTTTATATTTTTTTAAAAGCATTTCTTGATCTTTATATATATTATGATGTATTCGCCTTCATTATGTTGTGATTTAGCTTAATTATCATCTTTTTAAATGTCTGTTGTTATTAGCAGGTGTTCTTAAACATATGTGACTAATTTTTCATTACATACTATTATCACTACTACATAATATTACTCTAAATAAAGATTAATTAATACTGTAATTGTAAGACACGATTGGGACACATGCCACAATTTTATGGTCGTAATTTTAAGTTTTAATTATTAAATAAAACAATGTTCCAATTTTCCATCAATTTTTTTTATTTTTTTATCCTATTTTTTCTTAACTACTAAAGTAACAATTTAATTAAGATTTTATTACTATTAATCTCGTATTTAATTAGCAATTGAAAAAAAAAAAAATAAAAAAAAAAAAAAAAAAAATAGTACATACAATTTTTTTAAAATTACTTTTTTTATTTTTAACTTATAAATATCAAGGTAACAAATGTTATCAATACTGAAAGGTTGGATTATTTTTAAAATTCACGTACGTTTTTTGGAAGTTTTTAAAGTTGGATCTGCTATCGCGGCCGCGGGATTACACGTGAATGAAACCGTAAGTGCAAATCGTGTTCCCGAGGTCACGGGTTCTACTGCGTGAAGGTTCTCGCCTCCAGACGTAAACATTGACACTCTGCCTGTTTAATTATTCACTCGTAAGTATTTAATTCAATTAAATAAATGAATATTTTAAAGAATCTAAATATATTACCTTTACGAGGTTCGACTGTAGAGTTGACATTATTGTCATCAATGAATACAAACCTCCCACCATCGAAATCTCGGCCAAAGTCATTTAGATACAATAGAGACGTGTAATGAAAGTGTTCGTATGTTTCCTAGGAAAATTTTTCTAATTAAAAATCAATCATTATTCATTAACAATCATTAATTATTTTAAAATCAGCACATTAGTATTTTTTTATTTTATTAAAAAAAAAATGTTTACTTTAAAAATATTTTGTTAAAATTTTATTAATAGTTTGTTTACTTTAAATTTCACTAAATTTAATTTTTTTTTCTAAATTTATTCACAATAATTAATTGATTAAAAATCAATCATTGTTTATGAACAATTATTAATGATATTAAAGTCAGCAGGTTAATTTTTTTTTATTTTATTGAAAAAAAGAATTTTTAACTTTAAAAATATTTTTTTTTCAATTCCTTTTATAGTTTGTTTATTTTAAATTTCTCCAAATTTTTTTGTTTTTTCATATTTTCGTAATAATTAATTTATTAAAAATCAATCATTGCTTATTAATAATTATTGATTTTAAAGTCAGCAGGTTAATTTTTTTTTATTTTATTGAAAAAAAAAAAATTATTTGCTTTGAAAATATTTGTAAAAAATTTTGTTTACAGTTTGTTCATTTTTAATTTACCTAAACTTAATTTTTTTTGTAAATTTTTTTATAATATTTAATTTATTAAAAAAAAATTTGATTATTATCAGAAGTCTGTTAACTTTATTGAACTATTTTTTTTTATTTTATTAAATAAAATTTTCTATTTAAAAAAAATTGCATTCAAATTTTTGTTTAAATTTATCTGAATAAGTTTTTTTTAAATTATTTGTTCAGCAATTAATCTATTTAAAAAAATTCTAAATATTTTTAGATGTTTGTTAATTTTATTTAATTTTTTTTTTATATTTAACTAATTAAAATTTTGTATTTGAAAAAATTTTTCTCAAAAATTGCATTAATACTTTTTTTTTAATTTATCTAAATATGTATTTTTTAAATTATTTTTTCAATAATTAATTTATTAAAAAAAATTCTAAAAATCATCAAATGTCTGCTGATTTCAGTATCATAATCATAATCATAAAAAAAAGTAAACCTTATCAATATGAGGGTGCCAGTACTCATCATGAACAGTTTTGGCAGAGACGTTGGTCATCCGTGAGAAAAAAGTGGGTTTTGTTAAATAAATTTTATCTGCATCAACTCCAAAGTGATGAGCAACAGCATGCTGGATCTTAGTCTTCACAACCCTGTAATTAAATTCCTCAATTAATTTCCCCTACATGTTAATATACATATTAACCTAAAGATCATCAATCATCATATCATAAAAAGTAGACTTTCTTATAAATAGCAAAGTCAGCAGGATTAAATATTTTAGCAGCTTGCTCGAGCGAGTAAACATCAATAAACTTTTTCCCCTTGCTCAGCGCTCCGCTGTGAAGGTCCAGTATGCTAGCTCCGCCGTCAGATCCGCCTAGATTCATGCCATTCAAGGCTATTTTGTATAGCACTTCAGTCTCGGTGTTAGAAACTAGCTTATCAGTGACGACACGGCCGCATTTTTCTGGTACGCAGCCTGGATACGTGGCTAGCTCAGTTTTGTAGTCATTAGCACAATCTAGATTCTGAGTTCTGCTCAATAGAATGTCTTTCTGCCGCGCAAATGACACCTCTTTGCCACGTTTGCTGTTGTACCAGACAATCAGCAGGACTCCCAGGATCAGGACACAGCGAGACCAGACTTTCTGATAAGGGAATGACACTCTTGGTCCAAATTTCCTTAAAAATTAATTTTTAATTAAAAAAAAATTAATTTAAATATTTTTTTTAACTAATTTTCTACTCACGGTTCTACTGGAACATCCTGATCCTGTTGTTGATCCTGACTGTCTTTTTTCGCCTCGGTTTTATTTCCTTTACCTTCTCTCTGTCGCACTTTTTTTTCTTCCTGCGTCATTTTTTGTTTTTTATTTTTTTTATTTTCGAGGACGGATTTCGGTAAGTGACGTTTCGTTTGACAGTTCGTTGACACTTATTTATAAATCATCACATAACCTCCCGGTCTTATTTATCGGCTTTTTTGAGAGTTTCTCGAGTTACAGCGCCTCTAGCGGCGAATGAAATTTTACGCCGCTAGAGGCGCTGAAACTCGCCTTTCTGTCAAATAATAATAATAAATTTGAATCTGCATTATCAACAAGGTATTTTTTCAATCCGAGATTTTAATGTTGTCTAAAAATATATATATATATCACGTTTTCTTTTTTCATACAGTCATTACAGTGGAACACGTGTGTTAATTTACCGCATGAAACGCAATAAATATTAAAAGTTATAACGTATAATTACGTTAAATAATTATAGTTGTTAATTAATTTTAATCCAATTAACTGAAAATAATTTTATCTCAATTATTTTATTAAAGTAAACAATTATTACTTTTTTAAAGGTAAGTTTTTGGTTATGTTCACTGGTGGTGATTATTAATTTTTAAATTTAAATACAAGTAAATAATAATTTAAAATGAAATAAAATAAAAATAGCAGACATTTGACAATTTTTTTAAATTTCTTAAAAAATAAAGTAGTTTTAATAAATTATTTTTAAAAAATTGCATTTATAATTTTTTGGAGCTATCCAAAGATGGAATTTGTTCAATAATTTTTTTTTGTATAAATTAATTGTTGAAAAACTTCTAAATATTATCAGATGGCTCAATTTCAGTACTCTTAAATAAATTTTAATTTTCTTTTAATTAATTGATTTCATGACAATGAATTTGAGAGACATCTGATAATTTTTAGAATTTTTTTAACAATTAAATTATAATGAAAAAAATTTAACAAAAAAATTTCACGTGCAGAAGTTGAAAATAATCTTGCGTAAAAATTTTTTTATAATCTGTATTATTAAAAGAATAAGCGAAATTTTGTGACCAGGATAGTCATATGATAAAATTGGTTTTTTTTTTAGTGATATTTGATGTCATTGCAAAGGTCTTAACTTGAATTTGTGCCTTTTCAAGGTTTCATATCATTCTCATCAATAGTAAATTTATCATGATAAGTATTTAGGCTGCATTAAAAAATGCTTTATCTCTAGATACATAATTAAGAAATGACCTTTTATCTTGTGAAATATTGACATTTTTAAAGATATTAGCTCATCCCGACATTACATTCATCGAGACCTTTCATTTGAGTACCCACATCAATTTTTCATATATTTATATATATTATATATATGTATATATGAAAAATGTATCAAAATGCATATGGGTACTTAAATGAAAGCTCTTGATGAGCGTAACATCAGGATGAGCTTATATCTTTAAAAACGTCAATAGTTAAAAAAGTACAGGGCATTTCAACAAATATCTTGTGAATTATTGAAATTTTTAAAGATATAAGCTCACCCCGACAACACACTCATCGAGACCTTTCATTTGAGTACTCACATAAATTTTTCATATATTTATATATATATATGTATATATGAAAAATATATCAAAATGCATGTGGGTACTCAAATGAAAACTCTTGATGAGTGTAACATCGGGATGAGCTTATATCTTTAAAAACGTCATTATTTAAAAAAGTACAGTGCAATTTAAAAAAAGTCATTATTTAATAAAGCAAAATTTTATTTATTTATATTTTACATGTCACGGCAGTCATATAGTAACTGCAAGGTTGCTAGTTAATTTATTATAAAAATTTGAAGAGTTTTAGATGCCTACTAATTTGAGTATCATTTAATTTCTAGCTAAAAAATGGCGACATCACTAGCAGCCCAACTAAAAAAGCTCGAGGTTCCGCAAACTTCGTTGCTTCTCCAAGACAAAAAGCGCCCGAGTTTGTTATTCGACCCGAAGGAAGCAGCAAATCTCGACCTAGAGAAAGTCTTCAAAATCGGTAAGAGTGGCTTCGACGAGCTTCTAAAACAATCAGCTGTCTTCGAGCAGTTCGAATCAATATTCTTCTCCGAAAGCTCGCTGAAATTCGAGCGAGCAGTGCACTCGTCAATGGAGAACGAAAAACTCGACGCGGTAATCAATAATTTTCTAATTTACCTTTCGCCTTATTTTCTACTCCACACCGCGCACAAGACCCTGGAATGGTTAATCCGTAGGTTCCGAATCCACGAGCACAACCAGGACCAATTTATAATGTTAATCTTACCGTATCACGACACCAGAATTTTTGTACGAGCGCTGCAGCTAGTAGACTTGACGAAACCGACCAACAAGTGGCACTGGCTTGAGCCGATCCAGAAACCCGGAGTCCCACTGTCTTCCCTTGCAGTGGTGAACCGGTTGGCGTGCGACAACAGTTTTCTGAACTTACTCTGCTCCCACGTGCGCAATGCGACGGAAGTCTATGGAGTAGAATCTCACCGGCTGAGTACTCTGTACTCCTTCTACGCAACGAGAGTCATCGGAGCTCTGGAGCGGTCTGAAAAAATCACCGAGGTTCAAGTAAGTCATTTACTCCCAGTACTTTTGGATGGGCTCAGGAATTCCGTTGTTGACTTTATCGCGAGTACTTACATGGTTCTCACTCAATTATGGACCAAAGCGCGTCTTGATGATAAGACAATAAGATTTTTGCTAAGTAAAGCTCTTAAACATCCGCCTAATGAACTCAGAAATGAAGTATTGATGCTCGTTTACTACGTCTACGATACGCCTCATCATTCTTTCAAAGCAGTTTCGGACAAAATAGTAAATCGCATTGTCAACAAATCGTGGTTCTGCGAAGAGACAACCAAAATTCGAAATACCAAAATTGATACGTCTAAATTTTTAATTCTTTTGACTGAGAGCGCCATAAAAATAGTGGTAAAAGATCCAACTGAGGCTGAAGAAGTCCAAGAATTTATGATTAATCTTTTTGAGAAAATAAATTTTAATGACAAAGAAATCGATACTATTTTAAAAACCACTTTAAAGCCGAGTTTGGTCTCCGGAAAGCTTTCTATGGCTGGTAAAGAGTTTTTGAGCCAGCTGTTCAAAGCTATCGAGACCCGGTACCCGGTGCGCTTCGACGAGTATCTCAAAAACTTGATGGAAAAGAGCGAAAAAGACCTAGAAGCCAAAAGTATTCTCCAATTTCTGACATCCTGGCACTCGGGAACGAGAGACACTAAAAAATCAATGGAGATTTTAAGCAGATTGTTCCACTACAGCGCTGACCAAAGAGTCCTGGCTTTGAACACTCTCTCCACAGAGACTCTGCATATCAGCGACGGGTTCCAGGAGCTGTTAAACAACGCCCTGCTCCAGAGATTTAACGACGAAGATGTAAGAGTTGTCAAAGCTCTTTTGGACTTTCCGGTAAAGCGGCTGCAGAGTTTGTTTTCCACCGAAGTTCTAGTGGACAATTTGATGATTCTACTGTCGCAGTGTCACACGGCGAAGCGTCACACCCTGGCTAGTCCAGCGTTGAAAATTTTACTTGAAGTCTGGGACGAGGGAGACGACACCAGTATTTTCATCGCGACTCTGCCGTATTTATTCCCGAGCTGCGTTGAAGAAATTACACTGGCGTTGCAAATTCTTAATTCAGAATTCGCTAATAAGAATAAATTATTGCAGAAGGTAAAGGAAAATTTAGGACCTCATATACTCGCGAAAGATCCGATAGTCTCTGGAATAACAGCGGAAGAAATTGGGTCAACTGCTTTTCACAATATGATCAATTGGGAATTGATACCTCCTACTGAAAATATTTTGTCTACTATGAAATTGTCTGATAATGTCGACGCGACAGCTGTGTTTTTTAATCTGATGCTTCTCGGGTCAGTTGTCCGAGTTCCAGTTAAGAAATTGCCACCAAAAACAGCGCTGGAAGTTATTGAAATGGTCGCTAAAATGATAAAACAGTACCCCAAGGTCCAGGTTATGCCTGAGTACAATCAACTAAACGGACAAAACATCCACGAAGCTCTTAAAATGACTTCCAAAGAAATTCTACCACTCCAAGCTGGTACCGGAGTCCTGGAACAAGTCCACAGGCGCTTTGATCTCCAGTCAAAATTGAACTTAGACTTTGAAAACGATCCCGAAAACGCTAATCTTATTTTACGGACCCTCGAGATTCTGTTTGACGGCATGGCTTCGTCTATTCACAAAGCTCACTACTCTTGGTGCGTAAAATTATTTTTTCAACGTCACTTTTCTTCAGCGTCAGACTTACTGCGCTTTTTGTCCCAATTTTTCGTCAAACCTGTAGCACCTCAAACTTCATTCCACTGCTTGCAAATCGCTTTGGCAGTTTTGTCGCACTCTAAGTCATTCCAGTGGATTCACCAGGACAAGACCTTCATCGCAAATTTATTAATAGCTTTATCAAGACCGAATCCAAGATGTCGCGAAGCAGCATTGACTATTTTAAAGCGCATCACTCAGACCTTCAACATCTCCATGGAGGGAGCGTCAGTTCTTCTGAACCAAATCTCCAACCGAGAATCTGAAATTTTACTGGACCCCGAGCAGCTTCGAGTCGTTCTCTACCTTACATTATCTCCAGACCCAGCTATCAAGTCGCAGTTCAAAGAAAATGAATGGGAAAAGCTTCAAGACACCCGAGAATTTTTATTCAACATAATTTTAGACGACAGTGTGCCAATTCACACCTCAGCCCAGCTCTTGGAAGTGCTAATTTTCGTAAACGGACCAAAGGTGCTCCAGGAACTGGCTCCTAAAGGCGTGAGACTTCTCAAGCAGCTGAAGGAGTTCCCAGATAAATTCTACACTAAATTAGCGCTCAGCAATATCTTGCAGAGGTTCGAGAGCAGCACAGCAGAAGCTCTGAAGCAAGAATACACCTGGAAACTCTTCGACCAAGCAATTGTCACTCACCGAGTCGAAATTCCCTGGAAAGACAAGCAGAAGTCTCCCAGCATCGTCATCTTGAAGCAAATTGACCAGAGCTTCTACGACAAAGTCAGCAAAGTTGTCCCGGGGCTTGAAAAAAAAATAATCGGCAAGCTTGTGGACATTGTAGCTGACTGTGAGGTCGGTAGCATTGTTACAGCAGCCACCCGGGTGGTCAAGAGGATCCAGATTGACGCCCAGCTGATAGTAGATGAGCTCAGGGCGATGAAGGAAGCCAAGCTACCTGAAGAAGACACTTCCCAGCAGACTCCAGCGCAAAGACGACGATCTCAGCGCATGAAGCGCATCCACTTGCGACCGGAGATCATCAACACCCGAGAGTGGAGGCGTGGAATCACTGTGCTAGAATTCATCCAAAGAGGTGATAATCAGGAGCTCAATGTCAACAATCAGGAGCTTTTATTGCCAGTTTTGTTTGAACTTCTTCGACTGTGTATTGCCTTTGAAGAGCAGAGTCCTCTTGAGTACACCAACCAGCTGCTGCTCTCTGCGATCAATTATTTGTCCTCCAAAGGACTACCCATTCCAGATCCTCACCAGCAAGTAGATCTTATTTCTCAGTGCATAAGAATTTCCCAGAATCCTGGAACTCATCATCATGCTCTGCTGGTCCTGGTGGAATTATTCAAAGTTGCTGATATTTCAACAGCCTTGCACAACATCATGCCGATCTTTACTTTCATGGGAAGCTCTGTTCTTCGCCAAGACGACGCTTATTCAATTCAGATTATTTCTAAAACTATCGAGACTGTCGTGCCGATTATTAATGCCAATAATGATGAAACTCACGCCTGTGAAATTCTTCGAATTTTTGTTATTTCTCTACCAGATATTCCTGAACATAGAAGAATTCCGATATTTACTAAGCTACTACAGCTTTTGGATAATCACCTTCACTTGTTCTACCTTCTGACTTTTGAAAGTCATGTTTTGATTCCAGGAAAAGACTCTCAGTTGCAACAAACTTCATCACAGAGGCTTGAATTCGCGCTTAGTATTTCTCAAGAGTTTCCCGCTAAAACTTTGATCGACGTCTGTGTTAAATTAGTCGAATTTATGAAGATTTTGCCAGTGGAGATAAAAGATAACCATAGACAGCACATTGTCTTTACAAAAAATTACATTTTTGACGTCAGTAAAAATTCTCCTAAGCAATTAAGACACTACAGATACACAATTGTCCAATTTTTGAGCGCACTTTTGTCTTCTCAGGATTTTGTTGACAAAGTAGCACTCTTAAGCGACAAAGATCTCTCACAAATCAGACCTTTGTGTGAAAATTTGATTGTGGAGCTGATAGTCATCATCCAGAGTGCGTCTAAGAGTGCGGACTCGGCTCAAGGAAAGCCGACGGAAAAATACTGGAAAGTGCTTTTGCACAACTTGTATGAAATTTTATCAGCAGTGAACAGTCTTCTGCCGAGTGAAGTCTTTGTAATGAGCGTAGAGAAATTGATCAACCATGATTTGCTCACAGTAAGACGTAAAATTCTGGAATTACTTAACGCGCGGCTCCAGCAGCGCAAGTTTGCGGAACAAAACCGCACACAGCTGATAACTTTGGTAAAACCTTTGATGGAAATAGTCGGCAAGCATGGAAAAATGCTGAGCCAAGAGATGGAAGTCGTTCAGCAAACAGCTCTCATCACTCTGAAGCTCCTGGCCAAGCTATTGGCCTTTGAACACCCAGAAGAGTTCACGCCAGTTTTGATACTCACCACCAAGTACATGAGCGCGAAAGAAGGACCGTTGTTAGGATCTGTTGTGCTCTGCGTCGCGGAACTCAGCAGTGCGATGAAAATCCACGCGATTCCTCTGTTGAGCAAATTCATGCCTGGGATAATTAAGCTCGTAAAGACTCACTGTCATCAAGAGTCTCCGGATATTGTTGTGGTTAGTATAATCAGCGCGCTGCAAAAGATCGTCGATTCTTTCGCAAGATTCTTGTCCAGCTATCTTGACGAACTTCTTCTCGAATTATGCAGGCTTAATATTCTTTACACAGACCCAGATCATCCTAAAATAGGAATTGTTGTTGCTAAACTCAAAGCGACTTGTCAGAAAATTTCTTCAGACGTCAGATTGTCGCCATTGTTGCGCATAACTGGAGAAGTTTATGATTCTGTTAATAAAAAGGGGCAGAACTACGCGCTAATCCCGCCTCTGATGGCCATTTTGTCAGACGCCTTTGCAGGCTTAACGCGTGTAACTTTAAAAGGGGTTAAAAGCGAACTAACTTCGTTTTTCTTGAAGTTTTTACAGTTCCGCGAGAAGATAGGAACTACTGATGCCATGGAGACTGATGATGAACAAAATGAAATCGCTAAAAGGATTTATATGGTTGAAGAAAGCGTAAGCAAGGCTTTGATCGCCTGGGTGCTGAAATTTGACGTATTGACTCTTAAAGATTTTTACAGAAAAGAGTTGCTGCCTTGGACCAGAGGAGAATCGGAGCTCAAGTGCAGGAAGATTATCTTCTACAGGTTGTCTTCGAATGTTATGGACGGAATCAACGAATTGTCCGAGTCTTCGCCTGAGTCTTCTTCCACGGCCTTGACAGAGTTGGTCTCTGCTGTACCGAACTTCATGCTGCCGCTAGCGGCGCCACTGCTCAAAGACAACAACTTGAAGGTCAATCCGCTAGGTGACGACACTTTCAAGGAGGAGTTCTCCCGTGTTGAAGTCACGGAGGCCATTTTGTCGACGCTGAAGAAGATTTTTAAAATTGTTCCGAGTAATGCTATTAACTTGGAGTGGTTTGATATTTTGATACAGCCGATTGTCGACCAGATTGAGAATGTTATGGGAAGCAAAGAAGAGTTTGAGGTCAGGGCTAAAGAGCTGATTGTTCCCTGTGTGGCGTACTTTGCTGCTGCTACCCCAGATGCTGCTGTTCATAAGAAGATTATTTATCAGACGCTGCTCAAGACTCAGCATAAAGAGTCTCATGTTCGCAGCACCGCGCTAAATGCTGTTGTGGAAATTGCCAGGAAACTTCAGGAAGACTTCATGCCCTTCTTGCCGGAAACTGTGCCCTTCCTCGCGGAACTGCTGGAGGATGGAGAGAAACAGGTTGAGAAGGCCACTTTGGAAGCTGTTAGAACTCTGGAAGATATTCTTGGAGAACCCCTACAGAAATATTTCTAATTTTGTAATTGTAAATTTATTTTATTGAAGATTTATTAATAAATTTGGTTATTTAGAAAAAAAAATAGTTTATTTATAACTTAAATACAATTTCTTACTCGAAATACATTTATATAGTTTTTTTTTTTTATAATACAAATAGATTACATAAAAAAAAATAGCCCAAATTTAATTGTCAGTTTTTACATTAAGTAGTAAAAAAAATATAAGGTTTTATGGGTTTATAAAATTTTGTGGAAAATTATATTACGTATCGAACTTTGACAGTTTTTATTTGTTTAAATAAATGGACGCAATATCACGCGGTCAATATTAAATCAACTAGTTTTTTTTAAGTCGCTCAAATAGTAAGTTACTTTTTATGGTTTTTATCCAAAGCTTGGATTTATTGTTTTAGTTTATTTAATTCTTCTGTTAGTTACATTAGGCTCTTCGTTTTTTATTTTTTTTTTTTAAGTCGTTGAGGATTTTTAATGTTTATTGGATAGTTGTCTTGTTTTTTCAGCGTTGTTGGGTAATCAGACTTGTGGAACTTCTTGCGCTGGTCTCAGAGCCATTCCTTCTCCCGAGTTGATTGCCGGCGTTTTCCTGGTCATAAAAATTTTTTATTCTTATTAGTCAATAAAATTGGAATGGAATTTTAAATGATTTTTAAGTGGTAAAAATTAATATGAAATTCAGAGTCAATTAATAGAGAATTTTTTTAAAAACAATTGTTTTTTCTTCACACTGAATTTATGAATTATTTATTACAAGTTTACAAAATTTTATATTTATATTTTTTTTTGCAATTTTAAAATTAAAAATAATAAATATTTTTTTTCCTGATTTTTTTTAAACATAAATTTTTAGAGTATGATACAATTTTTTTTTATTAAAGACCATCAAAAATTAAAGGTAGTAAAAAAAATATTTTTTTTTTAAATGATTAAAGAATTTTTAAATCATTATGGTATATTTTTTTATTTATTAGATTAGTTTAAAAAAAAAAAAAAAAAATAGTTTGATATACTCTACAAATTTATCTTTCAAAATATTCAATCGAAAACTGGACAAGTATGTGTTTTTTTTTTTTTTTTTTTTTTTTTATTTTAAATTGAACCTATATAATAAAAAATTTTATTTTCCATAATTAACTAATTCATATTAATAAATTTGCTGCACTAAAGAATTAAATAAAAAAATTACTAAGTCAATTTTTGATTTTTCAAGATAAAAAAATAGTGTAGCTCCTAATCTAAAAACTTTAATAAAAATTCATAAATTTCCTAACTCTGGAACTAAAATAATTTTTTTTTTCTATTAATAAATACTATAATTATTATTATAGCAAAAAATTATAACACTAAAAATTAATATGATACCAAAATTATCCGACATTCAACAATTTTTTATTCATTAGATTAGAATTAGAAAAATATTTTTAAAAAATTGCACGTATAATTTTTAAAATTTTCTGCATGTGAAATTTTTTCTTTTAATAAATAATAAAAATTTTGAGATGTCGGCTAATTTAATTTTCATAAAAATAATTTAATAAATAAAATTAACTAAAAAAAAAAAAATAATAAAATATATTAAAAAGAGCGTTTACCTCTTTCGGTATTGAAAAATGATATAAACAATAACCGCGTTGCCAACAAAGAGTAGTACAATCAGGATCGACGGCACCACCATATCTGCGAAAAAAAAAGTTCATAATTAATTAATGCGAATAAATAATGTAGATTTATCGATTAAACTGTTTACAAATGAGTCACTCGAACGCCGCATGGCACATTGAACTATGAACTTTCGGTATATTTAAATAAATAAACCATTTTGCCAGGCAGAAGCTCGAGTGACTCTCTGAAGAAGGCTTGGAGAAAGCCCTCGACCTAACTCTGGCCAGGGTGCTCCATTTGCATGAAAATAATTTTAAAAATCCACTAACCTATGACAAAGTCCCCCTTCTTGCTCATCGCTGATTGCGCTGGATCTGCCATATCAAAATTACTTCCAACGGCGACTGCGTTCTCGATTCTTCCGATTCTCACCCCCGTTGACTGGATATTGCTGTCTGATAGGCTCGATAAATGGTTGCTGTCCGACTCCGTTTTCAAAATTGCCGCCGACGATGCTGAAAATTAGTTTTTTATCAGTTTTAACTTACTAAAAAATTTAATGATAATTTATTTCGTTATCTGTTTAAGTAGTTTTTAAATTGAAGTTATACTTATGTAGTGCTGATGAATCGGTTATTAGATATGAGATAAGAAAAATTTTTTTTAATGTTCAGCGTAATCTATTTTTAAATATCTTTTTTTTTTCTTTAAAGTTTAAATAACTTGGCCAGTTTATGGTAATAAATAATTATTATATCAGAAATTACGAAATAATTTATATTTCATATTTATGTCAATTGGTATAATAATTGATAAATTAATAATTATAATTAAATGGTCAATGACCATATTTTTGCTCTTAAAAAAAAATTATAAATTATAAAAATTTTTATTAATAAATCTCTGTAAATTTTTTAATAATAAAATTTTTAATATTTTTGTTATTATTATTATAAATTAAGAAAAAAAAAAGTAAATTATAATGCAATTTGATATTATTTTTGCTCTAAAAAAAAGTTATCATTTAAAGAAATTCGTTGTAAATTTTTTAATCTATCTTACTAAGAAAATAAGCAAAATTTTTTAGCCAGGGTATTTAGATGATAAAATGGGTTTTATGGTTAAATTTGGTATCGTTGGAAAAGTCTTGACCTGGAATTGTGCTTTTTTATGGTTTTATATCATTCTCACCAATAGTCAATTTATGATGATAAGAATTCGGGCTGCATTCGAAAATGCTCTATCTCTAGATACATAATTAAGAAATGACCTTGTATCTTGTGAACTATTGACATTTTTAAAGATATAAGCTTATCCCGATGTTACACTTATCAAGACCTTTCATTTAAGTACCCACATCATTTTTTCGTATATTTATATATAGTATATATATGTATATATGAAAAATTTATCAAAATGCATGTGGGTACTCAAATGAAAGCTCTTGACGAGTGTAACATCGGGATGAGCTTATATCTTTAAAAACGTCAATCGTTAAGAAAGTACAGGGCATTTTAACAAATATCCTGTGAACTATTGATATTTTTAAAGATATAAGATCATCCCGACGTTACACTCATCAAGACCTTTCATTTGAGTACCCACATCAATTTTTCATAAATTTATATATATATATATATATATTATATATATGTATATATGAAAAATTTATCAAAATGCATGTGGGTACTCAAATGAAAGCTCTTGACGAGTGTAACATCGGGATGAGCTTATATCTTTAAAAACGTCAATCGTTAAGAAAGTACAGTGCAATTTAACAAAATTCATTATTTAATAAAGCAAAATTTTATTTATTTATAGTTCACAAATCACATAGTAACTGCAAGGTTGTTAGTAGTAATAATAAGAATAGTAATTATAATAATAATATAAATTTTAAAAAAATAAAAATAAATCATAATGCAATTTATTATTATTTGCTCTATGAAATAATCGTATTTTAAAAAGCCACGTGGCTGTCATGCGTTAATATTTTTTAAAGTCCCTACTAAATAGAATCTTACATGTAATGCAATAAAATTAACATTAACAACAATAATAATAATAATAATAATAATAACTAAGAAGCATGAGGTCAGAATGAGGCTATCGCAGTCGACTTCTCCTCGTAATTCACTTAAAACACAGCGTAATATATAGTACATACATATACATATGCATATGCATATGTATATAGAAATACATTTAAAAATAATTCTCTGTATTTACCGAGTTACTTTCCGACCGGAAATTCAAATTCTTTGTTACTCTTTCTGTCGATTGTCCGAGCGTCTCTTTTAATGCGACACAATGGAGGAGAGATTAGTATGTAGTGAATGATAAGAGTGATATGAGCAAGTGTATCGAAGACGGGCGGACTAACACTGAAGAGCGCTTAATTATATAAAACGACGAATGTGTTGGAATTCGTTTGGAGGTAGATTGGGGACTTGTCTACAAATTCTCACGCTAATTCATACAACACGCTTCTGTTTGTTATTTGTTCTGTGGTTTAATAGACATGTCTTGTTTTATTTTTTTACGCTCAGTTTTTGTAGTTATTTTTCAAAATTTTTTGAGTTAAGATTTAAATTTTGTAGAATTTTTAAATTTAATAAAATTGAAGACAAATTTTTAATTTAATTAAAAAAATTTAAAGCTAAAATTTCGGATAAAAATTCAATAATAGAAAAATTCTAATTTAAAAATTATTAAAACATTTTTTATGTCAATTTTTAATTTTTTTTCTTGTACCTGAAGATAATGTTTAAGGAAAATAGAGTTTATTTATCTAGTCAACTTAAGGGGGGGGGGGGGTAAAGTTAATTTGTACAAAAAAAAAGCATGTTTTTTGTGATTTTTTTGCGACGATGTAGTTAAAATCTCTTTATTAAAACTAATGGTATACTGAAAAAAAAGTTTTTTTATACCCGGAATACTGAATATTTTTTAGTCGAGTTTTCTTGTACGAAGTAAAAGTCAAGTTAAATATTTTAGATTTAAGAAAACTGGTATTTTAAATCTAAGAATACCAAGTTTTTTAACAGGACTAAAACTAAATTCTATGTTACCATAGCAACCGTGACGGTGGCGTCACTATTTTGTCATTTCCCTCCAATCTACAGTGTACGCGTGTTTTTTAGTTATTAGTTTACCTCGTGCCTGAGTTTAGTTACCTAAATATTTATTTGTGTAAATTAAATAATTTATAAATTATAAATAAAAGTATTAATCATTAATATTACTTCCCCCTACTCCCTTACTTATATAGATTCTCGGATGCAAAAGAAGTTGTCAGAGTGGAATTTATCATCTCCAACAAATTTATAACTCATTTTAGCAATACATTCTTTCCTTATATAATCAATTTTTATAATAAGGTAGAAAACCCAGTTATTTTCACTGGCCTATAGTTGTTTGACACTTGCAATTTTATTCTAATTAAAAAAATAAAATGTTCTCAAAAAACCAATTATCTTAAAATTTATAATTCAAATATAATGTTTATCAAATTATCAGAGTTGATTTATTTTTTTTAATTAAAATAAAATTGCAAGTGTCAATAACTAGGTCTTTTACCTTAGTAATGTTATTAGTAAATTAGTAAAATAATGCTGTTAGCAAGAAATTGCAATTTTTTGACAACAATAAGAATTAAAAAGAAGAAAAGAAAGGCTTAATATACTACTTTCCATTTTTATTAATTTTAGTGTGATAAATTGTGTATAAATGAAGAATTATAAAAAGTATAGTTTCTCAAAATTATCTATCCTAAAGATTCGTGTCAACCAAGCGAGGTTAAGTCGGCCATATTGATTGTAGTATTATAATAATGAGAATCCGAACAAAAACAGTTTCACTGTAAAAAAAATCGCGCCAAGTCCACGTTCATAAGACTATTAAGAAAAAAAAATTAGTTTTTTCTTTACAAAAAGATATAAAATAAAAAAATTAAAAAATCCAAGTAACCGATATGATTGTATATGATTTTCCGAAATTAGAAAAAATTTTATTGTAAATTTAAAAATTAAAAAAA